GGGGGCTGCTGTAGCATTTTTAATGGAAAGGGGGAGAGGGGGATGATGAAAGTGAAGGCAGCAGTGTGTCTGTGTGTGGTTGTATAAAAGAAAGGACAGACAAACAGACAGACAGACAAACAGACACCATTTTTAAGATTAGCTGCAAGTGCATACATACGTGTATTGACTTTTCTTCCCTTTATAAAACACATGCAAGACTAGACAGGGTTAACTGTGGGAGTTGTGAACCTAGCAGGGTATCGAATTTTTAAAATTAATTATGGCTTTCTGGACACATGGGAAACTTGACAGTTTTCAGCCTAACATGGGACCAAAAAATCTTTTACATGTTTCTAGTGATTTTTGTTTTGTCAATTTATTTCAAGCCCCTTTCAACCAAGAGTGGTGCCAAAATAAGGCGTTGTCACCTGCGCTCCATCGTCCGTCTGCGATAAGACATGCTACTACATTTTCTACTACAAAGCTTTGAAAAGAAAGACAATCAGGGTCAGAAGTCCGACTCCTAAATGATCGAAATTGTTGTGATGGAGGCATAAAAAACCACCTACTTCAATAAAGTTCTATACTTCATCACCTTCCATTAAAAAAATAAACAAAAGACAGCACAGAGATAACAACATGTTTATTTACATTTTAAAAGACACAATGGTAAATGTACAAGTTCAGACAAACAATATAACAGTAGTGTAAGACTGTTAAGTACTTCTTAGATTTAACCAACTACAAGTGTTTATGTAACTAACTGGCCATATGGCTGCGACCAATGTCATCCTGTAGTACAAAGAAAGAAAAAGAAATACAATAACCAAACAGACTACTGCTGGTATAAGTTTACAATACTGAACTAAAACATCAACACTTAAGATGAATGACAAAAATGGGGTATATAAATCAAAAACATTAACAAAAGTATTCGATTATGTGGCACTAGAACAAAACAGGTAATGTTATACTTCTAGACTTTTTTTTGTCTGCTAGGTTCACTAAAACAAAGTTCAGTAGCCTAGCTAATTTTAAAAAACAAGATATGTAACAAAATTTTCATCAATTTGTTCAATCAAACATAAAGTCTAAGACTTCAAAACTGATCAGTTTTAAGAATGTTTTTATTCCTACAGCAAACACTGCTTCAGTGCCAAAAAAAACCCAAACATTTTTAAATGACTGTTCAATGTAAGCCTGTTCTAATCGCAACCTATAAATATAACAAATTACTTGTAAACCATACAAACACACACCCAGTACATACCTGAGGATATACAGTTATGAAAATAATTCAAGATTTAAATAAAAGCACCTTTTGTCATTTTATCATCACAGAGAATATCATTGCCAATTTCTATACCTACAACAAAATCTTCGAAAGTGATGTCATGGCACTGCATTTTCAGCTTACATTTTCACGTACAGTCGAACCTGCTTTAACGAAAACCTATACATGTAAGACGGAAACCTGTAATAATGGATTCTCCCAGCTCCATCCTTGATAAATTCCTCTATAATTACCTCTATAAAACAGAAACTAGTCTTACACGGAAACAGAAAGAAATTCCCTCCCTTCGGAAGATTTTTTAAACATGTCTGAGACAATGTTCACTCAGCCCTGATTTGGAACAAAACTATCAAGTTTGGTTTGGTTGGCTCTAACTTGACCTTTAGGCCATGCCACCTGGCCAGGACATGGAGTTGAAGTGCAATTTGGGGGCAGATGTTACCCCCTCCAAGTGAGCCTTTAGCTGTGCAGACGGTCAGAGTGGTGAGGGTATGAAATCTTACCAGTGGAAAGTGCTCGAGTGGCGCTCGAGCACAGAACCTTTTATGGGTAGCCAGAGGCCAGAGGTGTGGAATTAGCTTGACCAAAGAGTTTCTCAAATCATTGTTACATGCACGGGAGGGGTGGCATTGATTGACTGTTCTTATTGCATCGATGGGCGGGCCTAAGGGTGGAAGCAAAGGAGATGTTAAAACGTTTCTATTTTTAATAGAAGGTCAGTGGTCCTAAGAAAGGCAAGCAGTTGTGGTAATGGATAAGTAAGACTGATGAATGCCATTATCAGAGAGGATAGCATTTGAGAGGTGTGAAGTTTTGACCACTGCTCGCCTACCAAACAAGCGACCCTTAATCCCATCAGCTGGGCCTCTGAACCCCCCTCCATGTCCCCCAAAATTCTTCTGTCTAAAACAAAACTTTTTTCGGGCTCCCCTGCCATTCCGTCTTACACAGGTTCGACTGTATATGCCATTCTAAGAACACATGATCTTTCTCTACAAAAAAAACGTCAAGAGTCTTTTCTTTTACTTCTTCTTCATCTTCATTTTTTTTTTAAAAAGTCACTGTGCACTGAATATCTTCCTTACCATTAACACTTCTAATATAAATTTTTTACGTTCTCATGCACACTCCTGAACTCACATATTTAACAATGCAAAATGAAAAGAAAAACAAATAAATTATTCTATTCCTGATTTGTTAAAAATAACAAACTAATAGACAACAAACATGACATTCTATAAGAATAAAATCCGGTCACACTTTATTTTGGACAGTTCTTTTATAAAGCATATGTTTGCAAACGCAACAATGACTAGCTGGTCTGCAAACAATACAAGTCAATACCAGTTCTCAACAGAACACAAAGATGTTTGAAAATTATCTTCTAAACTGGAGTTATTGGGTAGCTAATGAAATCTGACCACCAATTTAAGTTAAATGATGCAGTCTACACTATATTCATGAGAAGCCAATGAAGTGATCATCTATTCAATACAATTATTTGTCTCAAGGCAAGTGATGTGCAAAATTCGTAGCGCAAGTTTTGTGAACGCAAACAAAGAGCAAAGTGGGAGCAGTGCCTTGTTTGCAGCAAGGAAATATCATCAGTACACTCTTAGCTCAGAACAGCACGTAATCAATAACTCAAAAAGAAAAAATGCACGCTGAAATTTTATACACATTTTTCTCAGTGGTTACTTACTCTAAATTTAGATTTTATTTCACAACTATGTTTCTTGAAAATTTAAAACGCTCAAAAAACTTTGGAGAGTCCCTGCTACACTGCTACAAAATGGTAGCAAATAGTGAAAATGTCCGCAGAGGGCGATTTATGACCAATGTTAGTGGGTCCCTCACTTACACTTAGATAAGCATAGTGTCAATACATATGCACATCAACCTTAAAAACCCCACTGTCTTCTATACTTCAATTCATATATAGAAGGTCAAACTGTTACAAGAACAAGTAGCTGCCGAGTCTCTGAGCATTTTCTTCCCTTCAGCTGACCAGCAAACAGGGGCTGGATTTACACTTTTCGACAAAGACCAACAATTCATGCCCCAATCCTCAGAGAGCAGGGGCCATTATCACAAAGAGCTTTTACCATTAGCTCAAAACAATAAGAGTGAAGATTTTGAGCTGCAACAACACCAAAAGTCCTGTCGGTACACCTGCTTCAGCATCCTATCTGAATCATCAGACCAGATATATGCGAGGCATAAATCTAACATGGCTTGGTTGGAGAAGTTCTAAAACAAAACAACTCTGATATAGCAGGTGTACATTTTGCACATCTCATTTTATCAGTGGTCAAAAGTAGAGCTTCTTTAAACATACGACATAAAAGGATAGTATGTCTGCGCACAAAAAACCCACATGATCAATTAAGTTAAACCAATTATTAGTTACCTAGTTGCATGTACAAAGATTGCTGAGAAGCATGTAGGCCTGCCTATGAACCCATTAATCAGAAAAATTATTATTACTTCTAAGTCATCGATTTTAAATGCATTGCCACATTTTATGTGTCAGAACACAACGTTTTAAGTTACTGTTGTATGTTATACTGTATTGTAAAGCGCTCAGACCCTGAGTACTTTAATCGGGTTGAGCGCTATATAAATGTCATTTATTATTATTATGTCAAGTAATCACAAATCCAAAACTCAATCTGAATCTCCATGAGGAGCCACACTTAGCATGTCTCGATTGTTCTTATAAAATATCAATGAATTCTAGGGTCTTCTGTGTAATGCATTAAAAAATTGGGTCAGAGCATTATAAACAGCCAGAAAACCATAAAAATCACTCTTCAAAGGTCTAAATTTAAATACCTTATCCTTTCTGTCTTTTAATAAAGATTCCAACTCAAATTTAAACTTTAGACCTGAAAATGTTATAAAGAGAAAATGATTCCCTGAAATAGTTTTAATAAAGGATTCAAATGTGAGCAAATAAATACTCATAAACAATAAAAATGTAGCACTCCATAATAATCTTAAAAGAGTCCCATTTTACAATTCAGTTAGTGATACATATCATTAATAGGATCCAGTCAAGAATTTAAAAAAAGACAAAAACTGAAAAATGGACCAAATGTAACTCACTGCTCTCAACACCACACAATGCCATTTATGATCCATGTAATGTCGTAACATTGGCAGACATTTTTACCATAACATGAGGTAAATGTTTCTCTTTTCATTCTCAAACAACAATACCATCCCCGCTGTTTGCCGGATTTCCAATACAAGCAAATGAAAAAAAAAATGTGACTGTGTCTTTGTGTGCTGCCACCACATATGTCCTGCAGACAAAATGGAATTTTTAAATGCATTATAATGGATGTATTTCTTCAGCCACAGACTTTATATTAGCACTACCTCTCAGGTATCACAATAGAGTTATTACTTTGATACAACCATCAAAAATTCTTTTTTCAGAAAGAAATAGATGACTGGTCCCTCACTACATCACATGCACAACAGTGTTCAATAAGAATAGCTTAAGTCTGTTTCAGATCTATCCTCTCGATAGAAAATTTCAGTAACAAATTTTGGACGGTGTTTTTTCAGATAAAAAAGAGTAAGTTAAGTGTTGCCAGAAACTGGAAATTCATAGAATTCGCTTGGTTTGAAAACACCAACACTTTAAAACAAACTATTCTCCACTGAAGACATTATCTTCTCTTTGATGCTGCTGGTTCTGTCTCGGTCTCGTCATAATCATCATCAGAGTCGTCCTCATCATCATCATCATCATCATCTTCACTGTCACTTTGTAAGTTCTGTAACACAGAGATAAAAATAGTGATAGATTACAGTATTGATAATTACAACAATCTTCCCACTTAAGACACAAAGAGTCAGTTAGGAATAGTTGTTTAGGGAGAACTAACTTGCCAGAATATCAAATTTGCACTGATTTCACAAAAGGATAAACAGGTAAGGTTACTGTAAATGGAGCCATCAAGGCAGAAAGTTTAAATATAAAAGGTTCACTCTTTTCCAAAAAAAGTAAAAAGAAAGAGTGGAAGAGTATTCAAAATTTTCTCACAACAAACAACCTCCCCCCCCCCCCCCCCCCCTCTCTCCCCCGATATTATGGCAAAAAGTAAACACTTGTCACAAAGAAATATTTCCTCTAATGAGTTCCTGCAGTCCACCGAGTCCTATCATGACTGTGTGCTGATCCAACCTGCTGATCCAACCATTCATAGAAAAACCTAAGAGATAGATTTTACAGCTGGTAACACTTGATACTCTCTGAACACTGAAACATTTCACTTATTAGAGTGGGCTATGTATTTCAGTGCAACTAGGCGTGTTACATCGATAAATGTAATTCAATGTTCAAAAACAGCCATAAGCTCTGCATGTGATAAGATAAGAGAATGCTGCAAAGGTCAGCCCTATTTCACATGGGAACAGACACTACTTTTTGGTTTAGCCTTTATGAAAAAGCTTCAATTTTTTAAGCTACGCTTGAATTTGTGTGTTTATTGGTGATTTCTCAAATTCATCATGATGACTCAAATGCCACAGTGTGTGCTAACTGTAGCCACCAGTGAGTAAATATCCTCATCTACAAGGGATGTGTTAAAAAAGATCTAACTTACAATAGGTGGAGGGGCAGGAATCTTTTTCCGGGTGTCTGTAGGAGTGGGTGGTTTGGCAGGAGGCGGCTTTCTGGGTGTTGTATTCCCCCTTGGGGTCGTGTTGCCGGAGGAATTCTGCCGAGATTCTAGCGACGCTTGAGAAGCTGAGCGAGCCATATCTGACCGAATGGAGCCGTTGGGTCGAAGCTGATGCCGAAACTCCTGCAAATGTACAACATAGGGTGAAACGTTTTTTCAGCTCCTCTAAATTTTAATGCCAATCAAAATCAGATCTATATTTCTCCTTTCAGGACAAGTACGTAACCACCAATGCAACTGTTGATGGAAAGAAGACACAGTGATTCAACAAAATAATATTCCAGAAAACTTTGAAAGAAAAGTCATGTTATTGGGAAGTCTGAGTGTGGGGGCTTAGCATTCTCTTGCTAATATAAAATTTCTTACAGGAGTTCAAATTTTGAACATCCTCCCTGAAATTAAGGAGGGAAAGGTGCATTCTCAGGGGCCTTGTACAAAAGGGGTAACTACAGACTAACTTCTCATGACAATAACGTTACTGAGGCCTAAAACAGCAAGTACTCACTTCTAGGTCAGCGTCAGGGTCGATTCTTTCAATGGTCTGGAAGCACTGAGTGTAAAGCTCCAGGGCCTTAGCGTGGAAGTGCATCTCAACAGTGACAAAGTCTTGCATGATTTTCTGAAACATGGGGTCACAAATTCACAGTGGTAAAACTATAAAAGCAATATTAATTGAGCAAATATGCCCCATTCATTATCACTGACATCATAAACAAGAAAAGGCACTTCAGGGCCTTGTTCACACATACACAATTTTTGTCTTGCTGGTGGAGACAGTACTATGACTTGTTCATAGAAGTAGTTTTACACCGAAATGAGGATGCTGAAGTTATTTCACACTGTAATATTTAGTTCTTCTTTTTTCCAATAAAAATCATTACAAAATAGCTAGGTTAAGTCAACACACACATATTACGACAGGGCTCAGAAATGTAAAAGGGTATATGGCTATGAAAAGATTAAGAAGTTAATATAAAAAGCAAGTTTTTTCCTCCTTTGTGAGTCTTGATAAAAGCTTATATTTGTCAATTGGATATCCAGCGAAAATTAAAAGTTGACCAACGAATGACTTATCCCTTTGAGCTCTTTAATTTGTCAACAACCTACACCCCACTTGAATGTAATCTTTGCACCATAATCAGCCAGTCTAATACATCTTTTTAAATAACAATGCTATAAGAGTTCTGAACCTGCAAAAGCAACAATAGAGTCAACATTTTCACCTTCATATCCTTCAGTTTCTTCGCTTCAAATGTGTCTATTTGCTGCTCTAAGGCCTTTCCACTCCGAGAAGCATCAATGCTGGCTTTCTGAAGTTCATTTTCCAACTGGAAACAAATGACACATGAACTGATTACAGCAGAGAGATAATATAGCTCATAGACAAATACTCATTACCAATATACTTTAGCTGTAGCGTTATTGCTACTCTTCTAAACAGAATAAGAAAACTGAGGAGATACTGATATATTACACATTTACAAAGAATTCTGAATAATGAAGTGAGAATGAGAATAAAGATTTTCACAGACTGAATGAAAACCGTCATAGTTTTTAAAATAGAAAATTGAAGATAATCAAGCAATACGAACTACAATGAAAATGAGAGAAGATTTTTATCCCTTAGAAACAAATTTTACAATATACTTCTATTCACAAGACTTGAAAACACTGTATCAGACCGGTTCGCGTTTGCTACTTTGACAATGGAACCGAACAATACATCACAGTACAATAAAAATACATCATCCGACAGGTAGAAAAAAGTGCTCATATAACCTTAAAACAAACAAATGTGTCACAAACCTTAAAACAGTGATTTGTAAGAGAGAATATGAAGATTATATTGAAGACTTAGAGCATCCAAATATCAAGGTTATATAAGAGTTTCACTCACTAACAATGATATGAACAAAGGCTGCATACTTTACAGCTACAGCAACAATACAGATTATGTTTTGCAAAGATAACTACCCAAGAATATAAAATACCTCATTCTAATCTAATTGCAAATTTATTGGGAGTCATGTTTCTAAAAAAAAATATTTTTAACTATGTGGTATCTACTGCCGTATATCACCAGGCCAACCAGCCTCGAGAGCCGACAACACCAAGCACTCACGCTATAAAGGAAGAGGAAGGCCACACAAAAGGTGGATCGAGGGTGTCAAGGAAACCTTGAGACTTGAGAAAACATAATAACCCAACTGAAAGAGCTGCGGAGCTGGCCTACCAAAGAAAACTGCATCTCCCCTCGACGCTTAATAGCAACAGAGGATGAAAAAGTAAAAAAGTAAGTAGGTAGGTATCTACTGTACCTGAGCACGACTTCAAACAATGGATACCACTACCAAATACATGTACTTAACAACGCAGGGATCAATTTCAAATTCTAACTCTTTTTTAAAGGACAATAATATTTACACTTTCTTTCTTTTTCAGAAACAGGAAAAATGTTTGCCCTGATAAAGAAAAAAAAAAAGAAAAAAGACAACCAGTCTCAACAAAACTCACCTCTGCGCACACAGAAAAAAATTTTGGTAGAGATCCCTGATAACATACTTTACTTACAATACAACGCATGTCTATGTGCACACAACATGAGGGTATATTCTTCTAGTGGACACAGACACACAGTCAGACCACACAAGCTGCTACCAAAAGTTACCTGTGCCTGGGAGTAGGTCAAGGAAGGAGAACACACCAAAGCTTGGCCAACTTCTTCCCATAGAGCAGTGGTAAAGCATTACTCGAGATACACTTACTTTAAACCTTTATTTGCAATAGTACTTTGAATGAAAATTATTCAAATTTTAAAACATTGCCAAAATTAATGTGGAGAGGTTCACCTACACAAAACTCACCAAAGAAAAAATGAGTGAATTCATCCAACCTCTGAGGTAAAAAAATATCTACAAAGAATACAAAACTTACCATAGACAAAATTTTTTCAACCATGGAACAATTTAAACATAATTATAGTCTTTAGACACTTGATTATATATGTAAGCATGGCACCAAGTACCATACAAATCCTAGTTCTCAGAAGGAAGCTGCACATTCCTTGTTAAACAACAGTAATGTCTTTCCAAATGTGTGGAATCGTGGTGAAACCAAGCATATGACAAAATAATGAAATCGAGGAACCTGATATTTTCCAACCCTCAACCCATTTTGAAATTTGCATACAAAGCTTTGATTTGGGCTCAACACCCTTTATGTCTGATTAAAAACGCATTTAACCCCTCTCCCCTTTGTTCCCTCCTCTGGGCTCCTGTCTCTTTTTGCAGTCTTTCTAGTATTACTCCTTGGCTCCTTCTTACTGATGTCTTTCAGCCACACCCCTGATCTTACGGTAGGTAAGATTTAACACCTAGCCTTCTGGGAAACGTTGAAAAATTTTGGAAGTCCCATACGCAAATTTCACATGTTAAAGAAAGATCCTTAGGTGGTTCAAAACTGATAAGAGTATGCTTTGGCTGCCACCCAGGCAAAGTTCAAAATTACTTCCTACCAAACTGAAAATGCTTAATGTGCTCAGCGTACTCATATAACCTCATGCAGTTGGGAGCGTTATAAAACACTTACCAAACTCCCAACACACACCACCACCCCACCCCCAAAATGCATTCATGGGTAAATATTACTGAAAAACATTGATCAAAGGCACAAAAAAAGTAAATTTGCAGTTTCCAAGGACAGTACAGCTTTGGAAGTTACCAAACTTTGGCGTCCATTTTCTTACTCACCTTACCACTGACATCAGGCGACCCCCAAAAGTTGATCTTTCCAACAACAAAACCCCTTTATAATACCACTCCACAAAACAAATTATACTGGCGAGCAAAAGAAAGTGGGCAGTTCTCAAATCCGTGCTGTGTGAGTAGTATCGTGAAATTTGACTTGATGATTGACATGCTGAGCTTGAGTCACTTTCTGCACGGACGATGGCTAAACCGCCAGTGGAATAGAGTGTTATTTTCTGACGAGTCCAGATTTCTTCTTTTGGATCGACACGATGGAAGGCAGAAAGTCTACCGGAGACGTCATGAACGTTATTTACCTCAGTGTGTCAGTGCTGTTGCTGACAAACGTAGCATTATGGTATGGGGGGGGCCATAACTAGTACTGATAAGTCTGATCTAGTAATTATCGACGGTAATCTGACTGCCCAGAGATACACCAATGACGTTCTCCATCCACAACTGCTGCCGTTTCTGGCTTGCCACGGGAACAATCTCGCATTCCAGCAGGACAATGCACAAGCACACAGTGCCTTTGTTACCCAGAGATTCTTACAACAAAGTAACATACATGTTATCAGCGTGGCCAGCATTATCCCCAGATTTAAACGTGATTGAGCACCTCTGGGACAAGTTTGACAAGGAAATTCGCAGCCTTCGGCCACCCCCAACGACAATCCCACAACTGCAACAATCATTCATTGATGCATGGAATAATATTTCCCGGCAATTTATACAGCAATTTGTGCAATCAATGAGACGGAGATGTACAGCAGTCATCAATGCTGGTGGGAGTTACACCCTTATTGATTCTGGGATTTTTGACATTTGAATAAGTGATGTTAATTCCTATTAACAGGTATGTTTTTTCTCGTATTTCTTGGGGGTTTTTGTCTGCACTAATTGAAAAACGGCAAATCTTTCAAAATTCATTAACAAGATGGCATTACTACGGTAAAGAAAGGAAATAATGCACAAAACGTAGGGTGCCCACTTTCTTTTGCTCGTCAATATAGTATACAACATATCCATGTATGTAGTTTCTTTTTCTCAGAATATAAACTTATAAACATGTGCTCTATACATGACAGTGCCTTTAACAATCCTAATCTGTAATGTACACAAATATAATATAAATGCGCAGACATGCAGACCGTTGATTATGACTACAAGTATACTGGTAAAACTATTCACTCATGCAACATAAAAACAATAAAACCAATACTACAATGTGAGAAGGATACAATTTTTTGTCTGTCCCCAGGAGTTTTAGCCTTCGTCACTTCCAACTTCTTCTTTTGTGTTTGCTCACGATCCCTGGCAGCAAAAGCCGCTTTCAGGTCATTCTGAAATCATACATTGATAAACTGTTACTAAACACGAGAGGTAATAGGTCAAAATGAGTGTAACTGATATCTGTTGAAAAATTTTTTTTTGCATCTTCTCTATGCCAATATTACCAGACTACACTGACCAGAATGAGGACAAACTAGAGCATAGTAACTAAGAGAAACTATGATTATACCAACGAAATATTATTTTTCATTATCTCATTTCAGATTTCACAAAGCTTATAACAAAACTTTCAGAACAAAAATAATTTCTGTCAAAACCACTAATATCATTCAAAACTATGTTATCCATAATCAAATGTTGAGTTTTAATGCGCAGATAATCTCAGCCCACTTTACATGAACATTTGTGTGTCTTTAATTGACATTCATTTTCCACAAAACATTTGGCTAATTAATTAAAACAGAAAAGTGGAGGGGAAAAATCGTTCATTATGTGTAAAGTTGTTCCCACATCCGATCCGGACATTGGGAATTGCCTTGTTAGTGAGACAACTTCCTTGGCCTTCGGCATATTGTTGTAGGGTGACCAGTTCCTTTCCACATCGCCTCTACTTCCCCAATTCGAAGTTCATTAAGTGTACTGTACATAAATCTAACAAAACCCAATTACTAAGTTAATCTGTTCCTTCTTTTTTCTCTGTCTTTAACTCATGGTTATTACAAATAAATGCATTTTATGAGGAATCTTGTAAAAGTACATTTTGTACTTAACAAATTTGAACTACACAGAGTTGAAGAACTTGAATACACACAAATGTATATTTGCATGGCTAGAGATATTGCATTTTCAGATCTTATTAAAGAAATATTCATTAGGAAATATTAAATACCTTTGTTTGTTTGCACAGGAGGCCATAATTCATGAGAGGGGTGATAATCTTGCCTTCAAGTCTCTTCACCTGATCCAGAAAAATAGGCAGTAAAAGGATCAAAAACTTCTAAAGGCAAAGCATTCAAAACTGACTGTTCTAACTAAAAAAACAGATGTAGATTAAGACATACAAAGAAATACAACTTCAGATCATTTCATTTTACAATTGAAACCAGTAATTTAGATTTTCCTGCAACTATATTATCAGTAAAATGCCGTTTAAGTTTTGAACATTCCAGATGTGATTCAAAACATTTCAGTGTGACCAGCACCCACAGAAACAGAGTTGTCAGATATAGCCCTAAAATGACACATCAGCATTAGTTCTTTAAAATTATTTTTTTAAATGGGTTGAAATCTTCAACAGCATCCCTTTTTTTTGCAAGAATAAATGTGACAAGAAACCTCAAGCGCTTCTATGGATTTGAACTGCACTCACTTCAGCCTCTCGGTAGTCTTGCACAGCAGACATGCTTTCTGCAAACTTCGTCATTCCATTGCTCAGAGAAGGATTCCACTTTTCAAACTCAGAGTATTCCATCAATTGTTTTGCCATCATATCTCCTGAGGAAGAGACAAAGAAGTTCAAATAGTAATAAGGACATTCCAGACAGTCCTGTTTGTTTTGTTTTGATAAGTGTTTTACGGCGCTCGCAACTACATATATAAGGTCATATGAGAGCGCGGGACACATTAAACACTTTTAATTTGGAAGGAATTAATTTTGAATTTTGCTCGGGTGGTGGCCGAAGTCTACTCTTATCGATTATGGACCACCAAGGAATCTTTAATGTGCACAACTTGCACACATGGCCTCCAGGATTTTTCGCCCTCATCCAAGAAGGCTAGACGTTAGATCTTACCAACTCAAAGAACAGGGGTGTGGCAGAAAGACAGCAATAAGAAGGAGTCAAGGATTATCAGTAGAAATGCAGTATAAAGAGTCAGGAGCCCAGAGGAGGGAGCAAAAGTGGGCGGGGGTGGAGATGGGGGCATAAAGCGGAGATGAAAGTAGACAACAGAACATGATTAGAGAGCAGGAAAGGAGAAGAAAGGAGAAAATTTTAGACACGAATAATTTTCATGGCTGTCAGGTTTCAAAACCGGGACCTATTGAATGAGAAACGATTACCATAACCTTTAGACCATAAGAGAGCCCCCCCCCGACAGTCTTTTCATACCCAAGGAAATACAAAAAAATCCTAATTTGATCACTTCACACAAATAGAAAATCATCACATTTCTACCAGTAAGCTTCCATCTCAGATGCTTAGCATAAAAACATGACCATTGTTTCTTTAACATTAAAGACAAACAAGTTGTATAAAATTTGAAATTTCGATCTTCAAGATTTGTTTCACCATTACATTAATAAGAATGTCTTTAACTGGCATTTCAAAAACATTTTACGGGTTGTGGTGTCGGTGGCTTAGTGGTTAGGCTCTCGGACTCGCAACCGTTAGATCGTGGGTTCGAATCCCATCAGGGGGCCCACGCTGTGTCCTTGGGAAAGGCACTTTGCACAAATTTTCCTCACTTCACCCAGGTGGAAATAGGTACCCGGCTATAGACAGTGTAGACAGTGAACGATCTTGTCAATTTGATAGTGTTTGAGTGTGTGAAATCCGCAACTTGCACTGTACGCTTCCGGGGAAGCCGAGTATGTTTCTGAGTGTTCTCAGAGGGTCTGCTGGGGTAATAATAATTGTAAAGCGCATAGAGCATGCTCTTGAGCATGGATATGCGCTATGTAAATGCAATTATTATTAATTATTTTTATCATCAAATGAAGGACAACAATATTTTAGATACTACACTCCAAGCTATAGTCAATGAAAAAATTACTTGGCAAAAGTTACAAAAAAAAAAGGGTCAAATCTTTCATTCTTATACTCACTTCCCAAGGATACACTTATCAGAAATATTCACATTAACTTTAACATATAAAGTCAACACAAGAGAGTCGTAAGTTCCATCATAAAAAATGTTGACTGGTAATACTAGATTTCCTCTTGTCCCAGCATCAAAGTATTAATATGAATCTGTTTTCCATGCTCAAAAGGATTCACCTTCTCTCCCTTTCTGACTAGATCAGGCTACAAGCAAAATCAAAATGCTTCTTATACAGAAAGCCAGAAAGAGTCTAATAATGCATCTCAGTTCGAGTTTTCTTTTATGAACAAAGTAAAAGGAGATGCAATGAGACAATGGATGAAGTGCTGATGATGCAATGGTATTATTCCTACCTTTGTCACGTAACCGGGCTGTTTTCCTAGTATATGACGATGATATATCACATAATTGGCCTAGATGTTGTTCTATAGCAGTAATCCGGTCTTGGATCACCTTCTGCTGGCTTTCACTGGGACAAAAAAAAAGAAAAACCATTAATGACATGTTAAAGAAACAATCTGCTACAAAACTGAAAATTCCCTTCAATCAACCAGAGTAGAAAAATTGCATTGAAATTGAATAGTTGCAACTTCTTGTATGTCATGTGAGTGTGCGTCAGAACTTGATGATGTGACAGACTGACATAAGAGAGAACTTTAAAATATTATTCAAGAAAACAGATTTCATGTGGAAAGCTCTAGCGATTTTCTCATTACTTGACTAGTCATTGCAAGCAATTGCTGTGGTATAATACAAGGCTTTTATTCTTAACTCTTAACTTGCATCTGTGCCAAGATGCGAGTCTTATCCATAACTTCTTACAGCTGACGTTCCAGCAGGCCGCCGAGGTCACTCAGCGTATACTGTTGGTGTACAGGGAGCAACCTTGGAAATGTGTGTATTTGCCGCGAATACTGTGGCGGTGTGTTAATCGATGATGAAAATAACACTCTATCTTTCATAGTTTTCTATTTATTAAGTTGTTACAAACACATGAATAATCCCCTCTCAAAAGCTGATAAGTCATTACGAGTAGTTACAGCCATTCGAATAACCTTTTAGACGCTTTCGTTGTTGAGAATGATCTGGGGCTCGAAAGGAAATTATATAGGTCAATTCCCTAACATTTTCCTCTCAAATTTTCTTTTTACTTGCATAATGGTATTCAAAACTATCAAATAAACTTTATATTGAGTAATATCATTTTATATACAAATCAATTAAAAGATTTAGAATAGAAAAATGGAAGTCTTGTCTCCTGGCTATACTTTTGAGCTCCTCATGTCTAAGAGGGTTAATTTTTTCTAATTTCATTTGACGAACATTTAAAGCTACCAACTTGATTTGCTTTGAATGAGACGTACGCCTCAGTCACAAACCAATGCAGGCGGTTCTAGAAGTAGGCCACAAATGCACACAAACTCTGAAAGCAGACTGAGGCACACACACTTGAGCTGTGGGAATACGGGACCTGGTCATCACATGGATGATGCTTGGGGCGTGTGTGATGAGCCAGGGCCGGACTGATACAGGACCAGACGGAAGTTGAGGTGCCGAAATACGCTTATCCGGGAACATAAACCCGGCACCCGTGGGACAAGGGTTAAGATAAAATACAACTCAACTCCTCAGCTTAACCATATTTTTACCCCGACCTGTATCCTTGATAAAAATTCCATGAGCTACCAGTCTACTACCTCCATTTGATTTATCACGGAAAGAGAGAGCAAGAAAGTTCTTTCAAAATAGCAGGATAAGGAAAAGAATCCAAATAACTCAAAATCAAGAATTATCACACTAGAGCCTCCTAGAGTCTAGATTTTATAATCCAAGGACAGTCCTGAGAAGTAATTTTAATCTAAAGATTTCCACAACTGCCCATTCCTTTTTTGGTAAGCTCTACTCTAGCTACATTTAAATAGCAATGACCACGAAAAACGTTTTTTTGTCAGAAAGTGTTTGCAAATAGGTGCATTTTGTATATGTATCTTATAGAGCATGGAACTTTTTGAATTTTTGAAATCCATCAATAAACAAAAAAGTTACGAATTTTTTAATCAATTAATTTTTGGTACACTTTTATATAATGGGAAAAAAACAAAATATGGGACGTTCTTTCGTGAGTTTTGAGACAATATTCGTCATAACTCGCTCATTTCTCGAAGTATTTAAATTAAACTTGGCAACCCAGTACATTTTCTAGTGCAGAATCTAGTCCTGCTTTCACATTTTTCATAGCTATCCTACTTTTTGAGTTATGAAGACGTTTATAGGTAAAAATGTGGTGGTTTTCGATGCGTTTTGAGACAATATTTGTCATAGCTCGCCTATTTTTTGGAGTATGTAAATGAAACTTGGCAGTCTAGTACATTTTTAAATGCAGAATCTAGTCATGCTGTCAGATTTTTTATATCTATCATACTTTTTGAGTTGTAAAGACATTAACAGGTAAAAAAGTGGCTTTCCTTACAGATTTACAAAGATTATCAGTCATATCTTCTCCCAAAGTCATGATATTTGAATGGAACTTGGCAGCATAAGAGGTTCCTTCTTGCCAAGCAATGCTCTGGATCAATTTGTCATAAAATGTAAGTAGAGAACTGGATTTATTAGTCTAATAAATCCAGTTCTCCACTAGTAAAAGAATGCATAATTTGTAATAGAAAATAAGATCGTCTCTGTGTATATCCATTGTTGGACAGTGCCCTATTTTGTGGTAGATTAAGATGCGTTTAGATAATATAGTTTACATGTCATGGGAATACAGTCGAACCTGTCTCAGACGGAATCGCAAGGGAGCGGGGAAAAAATTCCGTCTTAGACATTTTCCGTCTTAGACAGGGGAATTTAGGGGGGGGGGGGTCAAAGGCCCAGCCGGTGGGATCAAGGACCGCTTGTCCGATTGGCAAGCAGTGGTCAAAACTTCACACCTCTCAGCTGCTATCCTGTCCGATAATGACATGCGTCAGTCTACGTATCCAATTACCACCAATGCTTGCCTTTCATAGGACCACTGTTTGACCTATTAAAACAGAAAGGTTAGAACATCTTATTTACTTCCACCCTTAGCCCCACCCACCAATGCCACCCCTCAGTGCCATCGTTGTAACAACAACGATTCAAGGAACTCTTTTCTGGGCTGGTCGTACGATCACGGCCGCAGGCATTGGTCAATCTAATTTCACACCTCTGGCTTCTGGCTACCAAGGAAAGTTTCCGTAGTGGCTCACTACTCGAGCACTCTCACGGAAAGTTGTGAGATTTCACACCCACACTACACTGACCATCTGCATCGCTCAGGGCTCACATGATGGTGTAACATCTACCCCTAAATTGCCCCCCTACTCCTCTTCCTCGCCCAGCGGCATGGCCATGGCGTTAAGTTCAGAGCCGGCGGAACCAAACTTGTGAGTTTTGTTTCAAATCAGGGCTGAGTGGGCAAAGCATTTTCCGTCTTAGACAGGTGAAACCCTCGGAAGGGAGCAGATTTTTCTTTCCGTTTCCGCGTTGAACAGGATTCCGTTTTATACAGGTAATTAAAGAGGAATATATCAAGGGGGGAGCGGGGAGATTCCGTTAAGATAGGTTTCCGTTTTACACAGGTTTCCGTTACGGCATGTTCGACTGTATTTCGCATGTGTAGGCTACAACTCATACAATAAATGTAACATATATAACCCCCCCCCCCCCTTCTCTCTCTCTGTGTATCTCTCTCTCACGCATGCACGCACACACACACACACATGCACGCGCCCACACTCACGCACGCACGCGTGAACGATATCAATGTATAAACGGGACTATCTTCCCAGACTGGACTAAATAAGCACCGTACTCTTTTATAACAATCTTAATGCCTCACTTTTCCAAACAGAGCACACAGGACGAGTCCAAGTGTGAGCTTTCCCCAGAGGGGGGAATAGGCTTTCATAACGCAAACACAATGCCATACCACTTCTCAATATGTTTGCTTTTCTGTTTCTATTCTTCTGTCATGCAATCAAGCAAATAAAAATGACTACATCTATTGTATTGTGACTAAAATGCAACAAAAACGCAAGTTATCAAGGCCCCCGTTTAGTTTTCAAGTATCCTTCCCCCCCCCTTTCCGGTTCACATAAGCGGGACCTCGTTTGTAGCGCCCGAGGCAACCAATGGCTGATGACGTCACTCAGTGGAAAATTCCCAGCCGCCAGTCGTTCACCCAGCAAGCGCAAATGGCAATGTCGCTTTTTCCCTTAGTTACTCCCACATTTTTAAAGATTAAACCGCTAAACACAGAAGCATGAAATTTTAAGGGAATAAAGAAAAATGGTGTACAATGTATCAGTCAGTTTGACAAATCACAGCTCCGAAAAATCTTCAAAGCGCACCACATCAACCACTTTCGCAAACGTTTTCGACTGCTTCTTGGATGGGTACAAAGTTGTCAAACTGCATACTATGAGATTGACCTCTTTTCTGATTGGCTGCCAAGTTTCATTCATATCCATTCATAAGTCTAAGAAGCGACGTGAGAGCGAGTTGAAGACAACAACCTTTGCGTTAGTGCATCCCACGAAACACCCCCGCAGCCGGTAAGCATTGCTAATTTAAATCTTTGATTTGTTTGAGTGCAGAGTGACACATTGACACAATAATGATCATTTAATGCTGGGAAAAAGTAAGACAAACAGACACAACAATAGGTTTCAAGAAAGTAGTAAAGTAAGAAGAAAAAGTAACCTTTAAATTAGAGATCTAGAATCTAGATCTAGATCTAGATCTAGATCTAGATCTAGTAAAGGAGTGAGACTAAAACTAAAGAAAGTGGCATTTCTCACCCGCCCGGAAGTTCTCGCAAGATCAACTCCTCCCCTCTTCTCTCTCTCTCTGTCTCTTTCTGAATACTGTCTATCGGTGTGGACGATCAAATTGACCAAAACAAAGTTAAAATATGATGTTAAAACACAAAAGTAAATTAATTTGGTTGTCTACAAAGATGCTACTGCTATTTAACTTTTCGAATCGAGCCGAACTACGCGGGTCGCCATTTTGTTTTGCCCGGAAATTCTCGCGCTACTCCTCTCTCTCTTTCTCTCTCTCTCTCCACTGCCCACAGACAAAATTGTACTCTTTTAGTAGGCTACAGTTGTAATGGAACGTTTGTTCACGGCACAGAATTCTACAATTTTTACAGTTGTAATGGAACGTTTGTTCACGGCACAGAATTCTACAATTTTTCTGTTATCACAGTGTAGAATTCTGTGGTTTAGGGTGAACGCAAAATTTGGTGAATGCGCACCGGCTGAGAATAGCCACAAGACTCGCCTGCACTATAGAGGTGGCCAAAACTAAAGGACTTAGATCTAGATCTAGATCTAGATCTAGATTCTAAATGCTTACTCTCAGTCAATAGAAATGGATGATAGGTCAGTTGGTCAACAATCTAGCTCACAGTATCATAATAATATTTTATATCACAGTTGAATATGTAAGTTTGCGATCAGTGTCGTTCTCACAGAAATCACTTTTTTGGTCAATTCCTTGGCGTCTTCTCTTTGTCTTGTCTGATTGTCATGTTTCAACATGAACAATTCAACTGAAAGGAATTAAAATAGGAAATATAAATCTATGAAAACGCTTCGCTTCAGACTTCTAAGATTAAAATCTTATGATGAGGTCTATTGTCAGTTCTCAAATGAAACTTTGGGTAAATATCAATGCAATTTGACTACCTTCGGCGAATTTCTGCTCCCGAGCGACTCATCTTTGAAGCTGCTGCTGCTATTTGTTTGGCTTTGGGGGGTTTGATGGCCTTGTATATGCCAGTGCCAGCAGTTGTAAACTGTTTCCTTTTGGCTATATATTCAAAATCGTCGATCAAAACTTGCTATGTAAAGTCGTTGTACTTTGCTGATATAATAATAATAATAATAATATATAACATTTATTTAGCGCATTTCCAAAAAAAGTAGCTCAATGTACTTTACATTGGAATACCCATTTTTCAAAAACCTTTCTTACTACTTCCTTTCTTCTCTTGCAATATACATCAATGCACACACACACACACACACACACACACACACACACACACACACACACACACAGAGAGAGAGAGAGAGAGAGAGAGAGAGAGAGAGAGAGAGAGAGACTATTTTCATCCAGACATAGGAACATAACAACTATATAATGAAAAATAACGTTAAAAGCTTATGAAGGATAGGCCTGTAGGAACAGAAAATGTTTAAGATGTCTTTTGAAGCTATCTAGTGTTTATATTTGTGTTAGTTTCATGGGTAATCTGTTCCATATAAATGGACCAAGAGATGAGAAAGATCTCTCTCCTTATGATTTGTATGATTTTACAGTTGTCACAAGTAGGGTGTTATCGTTTGATGATCTTAGGTTTCTCCCTGGCTTATATATACTGATAAGTTCTTGTAGATAGAAAGGAGCAGTTTTATTTACACATTTGAAACACATGACGCAGATTTTAAATAGTATTCTTTCTTTTACTGGGAGCCAATGCAGTTCTTTTAATAATGGAGTGACATGGTCTCGTTTTTTAGATCTTGTTATCAGTCTAGCGGCATTGTTTTGAATTACTTGTAAATGATTCAAATATTTGTTGTTCAGACCTGCTAGGAATGAGTTACAATAGTCTAATCTAGACAGGATAAGAGATGTTACCAGTGTTTTTGTGTGTCTCTTCGTTTAAGTACTTTCGAACTAGGCATATATCCTTCTCAGCTGAAAATAAAGGGATTTGGACAGAGATCCTACAAACGAGCCCATTGATAAGTGGTGGTCAATATATACACCGAGATTCCCGACAACTTTTTACTAGATTTCATATGCCCATATAAATCAAAGTTGACACTTTCCAGATCTGTATTTAATCGTGGATTTTTTATAAGAATGATGTCTGTCTTTTCTTCGTTTAGTTTCAATTTGTTTACTGTCATCCACTTTTTAGTTTCATAAAAACATTGTTTAGTGATAGAAATCATGTTTGGTAGATCTTGAATGGTGCCATTAACATACATTTGGGAATCATCGGCATAAAAATGATAATTCGAAATCCATGATTTTGTAAAATGCTTGCTAAGGGATGTGTATAGTGTAAAGAGCACTGGTCCAAGAACGGACCCCTGTGGAACTCCATAATCGAGCCTGACCTGCTGTGAAAATCTATTTTTAATTTGCACTGACTGAACTCGTTCTAATAAATAGGACTTAAACCATGAAAGCACAGTACCCGATAAGCCAAATGAGCGCTCAAGTCTTGTGAGTAGAATAGCATGGTCAAATATATCAAAAGCTGCGGCCATAATATAAATCATAATGATATTGTTGTGTTCATGTTTGCAATTCATTGATATGATTTGATATCAAAATCATTTTTGTCTGATTATCAATTACCACAGATCTGTATTTGAATAGTTACTGTCTTAGATTTCTGTTGTGGTGGGGGTTTGTTTTTTTTAAATCATTCTTTTACAATTGCACAGTAGATCTAGGCTACAATAAAATGGTCGGGTTGTGGTCATTGTCAAGATTTAGACACGGAAGTGGAAGTAAAAGGAAAGCGGCAGGTTTAAGATGGGGTCCCCAGTTTGGGAAGTAAAATGACTTTTACGGCTCTAGATCTATAGAACTGTTATGAGGTTATATTGAATTACGTTAATTTGCATTTTAAAAGGAAATCAAAGCTTATTTAGTTCATTTGTCTCTGTGAATTATAATAGTATGTGTTTGGATTTGAGGTATTGACAAGGAAGTTATACAGTAATTGAGGCTGCTCAATGTGGGCCGCAACGCACGCCTGACAGAAGCCCTCTATCGCAGTGGAACCATGGTCAACCTTCGCGCGCTGCCTGACTCTCTCACTGAAATCTAGACAGGAAAGAGGATTTTAGTTTGAGGTCCTTGAGATTAGACAAGCCAGTAGACTTATTTTATGTTATAAAGCCCATTTATCTCATTATTATTACTGATTTATAAATGTAGGTGTCATATAGCGGCTCCATATTTTTTTAAACAATAGATACCTGCTTAACAACAGTGGCGAATACTTCTCTGTTAAAGAAAGACGATAAGGGGTGGAAAGAGTTTAAGTCTTAATAGTTTAATAGTTCTACCTGGTTTAATCTACCATAATAGTCTCCACCTAAGATCCCATCGTTTATATATGATCACGGTTCACTTAAGATTCTGTTGTTTAAAATTTCTCTTAAGAAACGAACCCCCCAAAAACAACAAATTTTACTACCCAAAAGTCACCCCTAAGATCCCACCCTGGAGTTTGAAGTTCCCGCATTTTCGATCATGTTTTACTGAACTAAAAACTTTCATAGATCATTCACACTCGAGATCATACATACGATCACATCCCCGCTCTAAATTTCTCTATGAGTGGTACAATAATCGTTTCAGGCACATGGGGCCTTATGATAAAAGTTGTAAACTTTTCGACACCTTTGATTCTCTGAACATCGAACTACAGCAAGGCGTGATTCGATAGGTAGGGTCAACAGGGCTGCGTCAGATGGGATATCACATCAAACTGAGATTTCACCAGTGCTTCTGTTTCCCTGATCATCTATCAGGTGTGCATTCGAATTTGCTAGACAGATTTTGCGTCTGTACTTTGGGACTGTCCGATCGCCTTTGTGTAATGTTGAGCCAGCCTTTCATTCTTCGGTTTTTAATTGGTGTGTTTACAACACAATGATGAGTTATGACCTGAATATGAGCGGTAATTTCGGTCTGAGATGAAGGCAAACAATAAATACATGTACTTGACAGGTAAAGGTGAGGAGCAATGAGTGAGATAATGCTTTTAAAATAATTATTATTATAGGCTAAGGAACCAGACGACACAAGCTAAGATATTGATTAGGACAGTAGTATTTTGTGCATCAATACAGTTTGTAAATTTATCCCATTTTAAAAGACAAAGGATACTGTTGTTATTATTTCTTTTCAATAATTAAAACCATTGGGGGATGGGGTGCACTCGTATAAAAAAAATAATTTAAAAAAATTACTGTGCTCAATAATTCATTACAAAGGCATCTTTGTTAGCAATCAGTTAAAGCTGCTTTTGACTCTCTTTTGCTCTATAATGTTCTTGTGTGAAGGCCTTTTTCCTATGCTTTCTAGACCTAAGGCAACGTATTATAAATACATGTAGTCCTTAACGTTCACCATAACACATGAAAGCTAGTAATGACGCTCCCCTTGAATCATTGTGTCAAATTCAATACTTTAGTGGTTACTTTGGAGAACTCAGCAGGATCTTATAGTAAGATTTACTCTCCTGTCATGTTACTCGGCAAGTCAACTGGGTTTTAAACATTTGTTTTGGGTTGTTGCTTTTTCTCAACCCTACCCCTTCCCCTAACCTCCAACCCACCGCCTTTCTTGATTTTTAAATTACTGATAATATACTGTGCTTCACGACTTGTCAACATGAGGATCAAAACATAAAGTTCATAATCATAGACAGTCCTTATCAGACAGCGCCCCCCCCCCCCTTTTTTTCTCGTTCTCTCTTACTCTTTCTCTCTCTCTTTCTCTCTCCCTCTCTCTCTCTCTCTCTCTCTCTCTCTCTCTCTCTCTCTCTCTCTCTCTCTCTCTCTCACACACACACACACACACTTTCTCTCTCTCTCTCTCTCTCTCTCTCTTATTTTTCCTCTCTCTCTCTCTTTTACTTCTACTTTTTCTCTCTTCATCTTACTTCCCCAGGCCCGCCCACCACCTTCACCCCTCTTTTTTTGCACGCATTCCATACCTTAGCCCACTGCCCAGCCCTACTATTATTTATAAAGAAAAGACTGCAGTTCGCGTTGGGTGACCATAGTTGGCCCCATTTTCATGAAAATGGGGCCAACTATGTTCCACTGGGCGTGCTGCGTGCGGTGCTGCGAAGAGGGAGAAGAGGGTCCATTTGTTCGTTGTAAGGTCCTTGGGTATTGATCAACAAAAGAAATATCCCTTGAGTATTGAACCGTAGATCTAATTTTTTTTTTTATGAAGTGCTTTATCTAAAAAGGATTATGAATTATGACACAGTGCAATGCCTCGTGTTTTTGGGAGGAGATCAAGGTCCTTGAGATCTGGTTGCAACTTGGCCTAGCCTGGACTGGATTTTAATTTTTGTTTGATTATTTCGAGAAGAAAATCTTATCAAAATCTGGGAAAGTCCTGTTTTCAATTTTGTAGTTTACACAGTGATTGTTTACTGTTTGCTGGTTTATTGTAACTGGGTTGCTGTTGTTTTTCAATCTGGCCCATATTTTCTCATCTACAATAACTTAAATCGCTGATTATTTGATTGTTGAAAAATGTGTGCAAGTGTTTCAGTTACTCTTTAGTTTAAGTTGGAATCGAAAAAAGAATAATAACTCGAAGAAAGATGTCTGTTCAGCACCACCAACTTTCAAGTTCAAGGCAAAATGATGAACCTCCGTTTCAAAATCATGAAAGTGAAACTGATGGAAGGACCATAAAGGATTCAAATTCTAACAATGCCAACGTTTCAGCATCAGAGAACTATTCCCGCAATCATGGTTTGTCTGTAAAACGCGCAGGCGAGAGAACTCCTAAACGCCAGTCTAGGAGAGTTTCCGAAGCAAAGTATCCAGGATCTGGGTCTAAAACTACGAGCAAAAGATCTTTCCGAACTCCTGTACAAATTCTCCCTTTGCTCCCAAGCAATGATGTGAGAAAATCTGCCAGTAAATCTTTCATTATGATGCCAGAGACCGGTGACCAAGATACTCCACGAACACATGTAAGTGGGCCAAGTGGGCACTTTTTCATTTTCGGTAGTTCCCCCCCCCCCCCCCCCCCCTTATTTTGGCCTGCTGTAGGACTGTGAAAGACTTCCGTAACGAGCGACCACCCCAACGAACACTTGTAAATAGAAGATACCTTACCCTAACCCTGGCCCTACCCTTAGTACCCCTACTCCAAACCCTAACCCTACCCTTACCCCAAACCCTAAGTCCTAAGCCTAACCCTAACCCTCTATCTACTTTGTTTCATAGTTGTCACTCATTACAGAATTCACTGTAGGCCTACTCCTACTACTAAATCATTTAACTAAGACCAGATTCTAGATCTATCTAGATCTATACTACTGGTAAGATTGTACTTTACCGGACCACCGGTCGGAACTACTTTCGCTATGGCGCCCGTGGTGCCTAGTGGTCCGCTATTCTTCATTTCCGAGCTCCCCTACTCACTCTCCTACTCAGTTTTCTACACGTCCTCACTGTTCCACTGCCAGCAATCGACTGACGTCTCTTACTGGGTTTTTCAGTCATCACAACTGTGCCCTTTGACCCTCGACCTTGACACCTTGAGGCTAATTGGTCAATCTAATCACGTGGTCCACTATTCTTATTTGCTCGCGACTCTGCTGGTTTAGCCTACTCCTGGTCCGGCAAAGTACAATGGAGGGCTAGAGATGTGCACGAGAGCTCATTTGCATAATTGCAACCCCCTCGGCCATGCTCGCGACTTGGCGAGTATCTACCCCGATTGTCCGCTCATGCTATTGTTTATATGTGTGTGTGTGTGTGTCTTTAAATTATTGTTGCCAGGGGGAACCCCCCCTCCTCCCCACTGTTGGTATGATACACGGTCCACCAAAGTTAAATCCCCTGCTCGCCCTCAACACCCACCTCTCGCTCACCTCGCCTCGCCAGTCGCCGCTGGCTTGCGCTGTGCGTGCACGAAGTCGCCCGCGGAGCTACCTTTTGGCCGCATGCAGAGTACTATGAGTGCGTAGTTAGGCTAGGTGTGCGTAATAATCATGGGCCGAGACGGGTGGTCTGGTAAAGTACAATCCAGCCTTACTACTGACTAAATTTATAGGCCTACATAGAATTACTTATTACGGAGTGTCTACGTACACGGTAACCAGGCACCTAGCCTCAGTGTCTACGTACACGGTAACCTGGCACCTAGCCTCAGTGTCTACGTTAACGATAACCGGCAACCGGGCACCTATTCTCAGTGTCATCATGTACACGGTAACCGGGCATGTAGCCTCAATATCTACATACACGGTTACGGGCAACCGAGCATGTAGTCTTAGTGTCACGTAGGAGGGTAACCGGGCAGTTCAGAACTTCAAGTTCAGTTTTATCATCCGGTGTAACCTTCATGTCCACCCCTCCCCCGACTGTACCTTTAAAAAAATCAATAATTCCCCCCATTCCAGAGCCCTATACTTCGCAGCGCAAAGACTTTGAATGAACTTTGGTGACCCCAACCGGTACTCACAATGTGATGCACGCGCAAAGGTTCACTGACTGGTCACGATGGCGAGCCCGACAAGATGCTTGTGTGACTTTCTTTCTTTTTTTTTCCAGGAAGTGACAGCACAGGACAAATATTGATTTATTTTCATTCCGTTTACCATGTACGTAGATTCTGAGACTAGGTGCTCGGTTACCGTGTACGTAGATACTGAGTCTAAGTGAGACTAGGTGCCCAGTTACCGTGTACATAGATACTGAGACTACGTGCCCGGTTACCGTGTACGTATACTCTCCATACTTATTAAATTTCAGTGGTCTTTGAAATCATCCTTGCCTTTGTAACGGCTTCTGGTGTAGCTCCACAGTCACATGATGCAATTGACCCAAATTCTGCAGTTTCTGAGCCAGAAGACAATTTCTGTTTAGTAGGGCCTAGGCGTACTGTATTATATTAGGGTCTTTCTTACTTTCTACCGGCACCCGCAAATTTTTTCACTCTCAGCTGGGGATGGTCCTGGCAGGCAGTTGGATACCTTCCTCTAAATGATTTAAGTTAAGTTGTGTTGATTGATGGAGACATAAAAACGCCTACATTTAGATTTTAAAAAAATAGAATCTCTGGTCATCTGGAGTTGGTAAAAAAAGAGCTGACATAGACTGTTTTGATAACATTCAATAGATTTCAAGGGATGCTACTCGGCTCAAGGGAATATACCTGTTTTTCAAAGTTGAAATATGACTGGTAAATGATGCTACTCAGTAGATTTTAAGATCAGCTGAGGGGGAACAGAGGCCTGATCCAATCAAAAACCACTTAGCAACTGGCCGGTCCTCTTCGCCCATATATATGTGAGCTGTGTTCTCGTACATGTCTTAGAAGTTAGTTTTGTACTAGCTAGTCCATGCCTCCCCAACACTTATTACAAATCTTCCTCCTCTGCTAGGCCTATTTTGTTGGTTTTTTATTTTTCAAAGGCATGTGTTAGGTTTTGGTAGTTATTAGAAATATTTGTAATGAAACAGACCTCGAGGTGTAGAAAGTAGAACATTTTTTAAAGCTGCACTATCGTTTTTAAAGTGTGCTCCTTCTAGTTTTTGCTCTGTAAAATCGTTTTCGCAAGTGGTTTTCTTTCTTTCCTTTGCAGTTTGTTATTGTTTGTGAAACTTCTTAGTCTTTCATCATGTGAAGCTTAGTAAATTGATATGTCATATTCAAATTATATTATATATTTATATCTATTGATATATATCTATTTATATATCGACAGCTGATATTGTGGCTGGCCTAGTTGTTTGAGTTTCATTAACATTTTTGTATGAATATTCCCAGATTGAAGCATTTTTGGCCAATGTAAATTCTGTTGAGGCCAAAACTGTACGAAATGAACCAGGGCCCAGTGTTTCAGCTCAACAATCAGCTCGGAGACATTCTCCTAGGAAACAGATGTCAAGAGACTCATTCAAAGTCCCGACTTCTCATTCTTTGCTGAGGAAAAGTTTCCCTAGTGTAGATATGACTCCGAGCAGCAAATTGACTCCTCGGACACATATATGGAATCTGGTGAATGCGGGTAAGTTTTAGTTTTTATCTTAAGTCTGGCTTGATGAAGTAGACATTTAACATAGTTACATTCAAAGGCTTAGATTCCGTGCCTCTCATCTTTAAAATGTTACTGTGACTTCTATTTATACACTACATTCAAGTGATTTGTGTTTCCTAAAAATTCAAGACCAGTTGCAAATAGTTTTGCCCATTCCTATGAATAGTTAGACTAGTAGTACCCTAGATGTAGTGGCCGTGCAGTTTTTCATGCACTCCCAACGAATGAAGTTGTAGTGAGGCATTTGATATTATAGAAAGTTTACTTATGAAATCCTAAGTATTATCGAGAGAATGTTTGGTCTACAGTGAGGGAAAATTTTGGCTTGTTGTGAGTGTTTAAAAAAAATTTACTTTCAAAGTTATGATTTAACTACAGTGGAGTCCATTTATAATGAGAAGTCTGTTATAAAGATATTATTCTAAAACCCCGTTTTTTTCCTTCTTTGTCTTTGTAAAGATATGACCCAGGACATATTAAACCTAATGGAAGAGAGAAGAAAGGCAAAATCAAATGTGGAAAAGTACAACATCTTAAACAGGGAAATAAAGAAAAAATGCAACGAAACAAAAGAAACATGGATAAACAATCAGTGTCAACAAATAGAGAAAAACCAAAACAAAGACAGCAAATACATGCATTAAAAAATCAAAGAAGTAAGTGGGATAAAAGGATGCTCAAATACAGGATGCATAAGATCAAAGGGAGGGGATATTTTAATGGACAACGCGGATGTCTTAAACAGATGGTCAGAATACATAGAAGAACTTTTCAAAGAGGAGAAAAACCCGGTAATAAAGAATGAAATAAATGGACCTCCAATACTGAAAGCAGAAGTACAAGCTGCCATTAGGAAAATGAAACAAGGAAAAGCCACAGGGCCAGATAATATTCCAGTTGAAGTGATTGTCGCGCTCGAAGAACTAGGCACTGAAATAACAACAAAGCTCCTAAATGCTATTTATGACAGCGGTCAGATCCCAGAAGATATGATGAAGTCAGTTTTTATAGCTTTACCTAACACACCAGGTGCCACTGAGTGTGATATGCACAGAACAATTAGCCTTATGAGTCATTTTACAAAAATATTGCTGCGAGTAATAATGGGAAGATTGAGAAGAAGTGTAAGACCAGAGATATCTAAAACGCAATTCGGCTTTGTTCCTGACAAGGGCACCAGAAATGCTATATTCACCTTACAAATGTTAATGGAAAGATGTATTGAAGCACAGAAAGATCTGTATTTATGCTTCATAGATTATTCAAAGGCGTTCGATAAAGTTAGACATGATGAGCTATTTAAAATACTGGAAAAACTAGACATAGATGGAAAATATCTAAAAATTATCAGAAATTTGTACTGGGACCAAAACGCTGCTGTACGAATTAATGGAGAATACAGTGAATATAAGCAGATTAGAGGAGGAGTGAGGCAAGGATGTGTTATGTCACCAAACCTCTTTAACATGAACAGTGAAACAACCCTTAGAAACATAGAAAAATGTCCAGGCCTCAAAGTAAATGGAGAAAATATTAATAACATCAGGTATGCAGATGACACGGTTTTAATAGCAGGCTCCGAAAAGGACCTTCAATTGCTTTTAGATACTATTGTAAAAGAAAGTGAACGTGAAGGATTATTGTTGAATGTAAAGAAAACAGAATGCATGGTAATATCCAAAAAAGCAGCAAATCCTAGTTGTAATCTCATTAGCAAAGGTGAAAAGATCAAACAAGTCCAACAGTTTAAATATCTAGGATATATGATAACATCTGATGCCAAATCTTCCGCAGAAATAAAAAGGAGAAATGCAATGGCTAAGGCTAGTTTCAATAAAATGAGCCCAATCCTGAAAAATAGAAACATATCAATGAACACTAAAATAAAAGTCCTGAAATGCTATGTTTGGTCAACCCTTCTTATATGGCTGTGAATGCTGGACAATCACTAAAGACAGTGAAAATAAAATAGAGGCAACAGAAATGTGGTTTCTTAGGAGACTGCTAAGAGTATCGTGGAAGGAAAAGAAATCAAATGAGGTAGTGCTTGATGAAGCCCACGTGGGACGCTCAATGTTAAAAACAATCAGGAAAAGACAAATGCAGTTTTTGGGACACCTGAATAGACATAAGTGTCCTGGACATCTAGCTCTCACTGGCAAAATTGAGGGCAAGCGAGGCAGGGGTAGGCCCAGAACAACATACTTAGGGAACCTAAACAAATGGGTAACAGGGAAAGATCAGGGAAACGTAGCTTTTCTGAGAGCATCCGAGCAAAGGATTGAATGGAAAATCATGATCGCCGATGTCTGTCGCAGATCTGGCACTGGATGATCTTTGTAAATAGAATACTACTATAGCCACTTAATTCTTAGAATACTCCTCATACATCTGTTGATGAAAGTGTGGCCTTTATTCAGTACTGTCTTTGTTGTCTTCCAAGTTTCGCAGCCGTAGAGGAGCACAGACTTGACGTTGGGGTTAAAGAGTCGAATCTTGGTGCGTAATGAGATGTTGCTTGCTTTCCAGACTTTTGATAATTGATTGAATACTGACCTTGCCTTGACGGTTCTTACTTTAACATCTGCCTCAGTTCCTCCGTTACCATCGATGACACTACCAAGGTAGGTAAAGGAGTCCACTTTTTCCAGGAGAGTGTCTTCCACGGTCACAGCAGGGCTTGAAACTTTTCCTAGCTTCACTACTTTTGACTTGCCTGGATGTACGTTGGCCAACACTCCTTGATAAGCTGTTGAGTTCCTTGGTGTTTTCTTGCATCTGAGCGTGTGTGTGAGAGATCGGTGCAAGGTCATCGGCGAAGTCCAAGTCGTCCAGTTGCTGCCAAGGGATCCTCTGTATTCCATTACGCTTGCCTCTGGTGGCTTCTTTCATGACCTAGTCAATTGCCAATATGAAGAGAAAAGGTGAGAGCAAGCAACCTTGTTGCACTCCTGTCTGTACCTGGAATGGTTCTGAGAGTTGTCCTTCATGGAAGACTTTGCAGTTTGTTCCGTCTTAGGTGGCCTTCACAAGGTTGACGATTTTGTCAGGTATTCCAAAATGCTGCATGACCTTCCACAGAGTTTCCCTGTCCACGCTGTCAAAAGCCTTTTCATAATTAATGAAGTTGACCACGAGTGGTGAATCACAGTGCATAGGCCAATTATAATATAAAATTTCGCCAGTTGAGAAACCTGTTGGTGACCTAGCGAAACAAAAAATGGGAGAGCCCACGTGTGCCAACGTTGAGGGCCGGAGTGAATGAGTGCAGACAAACAGAACGCATCACGTTATAGGCCTAGACCAGCCTAGTCTAGATCATCTAGTCTAGGCCTACCATGCCTCTCACTTCTCCACTTCGGGGATGGAGAGATCACATTGCTGTGATGGATGGAGTGAATGTGTGACGTGCACAAGTGGATGGAACGCACCACAGGGTGTGGTGGGGTTGGGGACAACACAGCAGGCGAGTTAGCCTAGAGTCCTTTCTGTCTGATCGCCAACACCGAGCTGTCAACATTGCTAGCGTGAGAGAAAGAAACCTGATTTGATTTTTGATCAAGTAAGACCTAGAGGTCATGTTGAACAAAATCAACATCAGGGGATAACAAAAAGAAATGAAGAACACCAAACTCTTACTTTATTATTTCCCTAGCATTTAATACTGGAGCCCTTCTAACGAGAATCCTGCTTTAACGGACATTTCGTCCCAGTCCCCTCCCTCTCGTCATATAACAGGATTCCACTGTATTTTTTATTTTTTTGGGGTTTGTTTCAAGGTGAGGAACAAACTCCAGTAACTCGAGTAGCCGTTCCAGCTGATACTTCTGCTCCCGACAATGGGGCCGACTTGAGGACGCACAGTGGTCTTGGACAAGAGGTCTCCATGTCTCCGATCACAAAGTCTTCTGAAAGGTACACAGAAAAGATTTTTTAATGACATTGTGGGGATGTCAAGTTGCCCAAAGTATTGATGTGCATTTTGCCACATAGTTATTCTCGTTCATTCCCCTAGTTTTAAATGCAAATTCTTATATTATTATTCTCTATATATTCTATTGTTCCTAATTGTATTTTGATTCTTTTCTTAGTTTTCATTCATATTTTTTGTTTTACCTTTGATAGATAATACCCAAGTATTTGTCTTTATTAGTTTGCAAGCAACAAAGCCCCTTTTGTAAAGAAGTTATCTGGCACTTTTCTTGTTCACAGTGAATTCAGGGAAGATTTTTCATCCAGAAGTGGATATCAGAAAAAGGCAGCTCGTCGATCTTTTCACCTTCTGTCAGATGAACATGGTAAGGACAGTTGTAGGTGTCAGGAGCTTATACGTTGTTACTTTTTTAGTGTCTTTTGACTCAAGACAAATATTGTGTGCTTACTGAATCGTATCAAGACCACATTTTTCTGTTTCATTCTGAAAATTAGCTTTTCCTTCATGGGTGTTGAGTTAACTTTTCACTTTGAGCGGTAAGTACGGCTTATATGCAGTGGCGATACAGTATGTCCTCGAGCGGCAAGCTGGAATATGCCATCTTGCACTAATACACTGGTAGTCTAATTTTGATTACATCGTTTCTTACCTTCTTTGTTTAAGTAATTTTGTTTATGATACAGTCAACCGTTTGAGTGTTAAACTTGCATAAAGTCAACAATTTGGGGCTAGATCCCAAGATGAATTCAAGAAGAAATATTTAGGGACTGAGCTAGTGGTGTGCACACCTCCAATTACTTTGTTCCTTCATTATTTCTTGTTTTGGTGACTACTTCAGAATTATACACACTGAAATTAAGCTAACATCTTGTTACCAGGTAGCCTACTTTGTAATTTTGTAGCTGTCATCTTAAATTTTCAAATGGCCTGTAGTACAATGATAAAGTCAACCTTGCTCAAAGTCAACACTTTTTTTTGGTCCTGAGATGTTGACTTTATCAAAAATTCACTGTAATTTGTATTTATTTGTATTTAAGGCACTTTTGACATTGACATGAGTCTGAATTTTTTTTTTCATAAGAAAAAAAAGAGTGTGTGCAATATTTTTCTTGAATGATTTGGACTAAAAGTCCCCCAAAAAGTGTAAGATTATATTTGAACAGCCCCAAAGGGAAATTTTTTAAATTATTATTTATTTACACATCAAATTTTGGAAAACTCGTACTTAGTAGCAAATGATCATATTCATCAAGGTAGAACTACACTGTCATGGTGGTGTTATCAAGACAACTTTGTGTTTTCATTTTTATATGTTTAAAAAAATAAAATATATGCATGGCATTAGTGTTCAGTTAAGAGATCATCTCTCAAAATGTAGCATTTTCACAGAAACCTCTTTACAGCATGAGCTCCTTTCTACCAAGACAGATGCTTTTATTTTATTAAATTTTACTTTGAAATTTGATTATTGATAACTTTTAGTCTGTACTTTCAACAGCTGCAAGTCATGGGGGGAAAAGAAGATGCTTAGGTGTGTATTTTTCAATTTGCTTCAGTTTTCTTTTACACCTATTCTTCCGTTTTCTCCTAACTTATACAGCTGAGACAGAACAGGGCCAGTATCCACTGAGCCAGGGAGGTCAGGAAGTGCATTTGTCCCCTATGAGCAATCTACAACAGAGGTGAGGGGTTATGCATTGACCTTGTTTTTGATTGAGATCGTTTCGTGTCTTTTGTAGTTTCTAATTCTAGAACTGACAATTAGTTTTTTACAATTTCCTTCCACATTTTTTGGACTTCTGCTGATTCTTTCCGGTTGAAGTGTATGCTTTTTAAAATCTATTCTGAGAGTATTAAAGTAGTAGTGTATCATGATACCACTTTAACATTTTGTGGAAAGCTGCTTTTTTTTTCATGGAATGAGTTGAATAAAAGTGTCGAATTTGTGTCTGTAGTCTGTAATTCTATCTTTTTTGTCTTGAAAATAGATGTAGTTACATAAATAGAATAAATGTCTGTCAGTAAGTATATTTTATACATTTTTGAAAGTCTTAGTTCAGAAGATTGTTTTCATATCAGAAAATACAAATTCTCTGTTTTCAGTTTTGCTCTTTATGAACTTGCTGATGCTGAAGAAAAATTATGAACTTTCAGTACTGGATATGCAAAAAATTAAAAATGTGAATGAAGCCCATAGGTCAGTGGGGAAAGATCTGTTGCTGCAGGTCCATTTTGATTGAAAAGCTTGAATTTACTGAACGTGGAAAAGTGTGCTTGAAGGGTTTGTAGGGAGAGAAGTTTGCAGCTGTGAGAAAAATGTGTTTTTTGTTTCTGATATTTATGTTTTTTTCTGTGTTAATTATTTTCTTTCAGTGAAATATTGGACAGCTCTGCTTCCCCTAGTGAAAGAAGCAAGAGAACTGCACGGCGCTCTTTCCGAATTCCCTTCTCAGCAGACATGGACCCAGTGTTAAACAAAAGTATGTAAATAGAAGAATGTAACTGAGTTTTACCTACTTGCCTAGTGTTATTTATTTCAAGGAGAATATTGACTGTAACAGTCCGAAACTGTGCATGTCCAAAGTAAGATCAAGTAACATTTTTGCATCAAGTCTTAATAGAAAAAAAGCAAGTTTACTGGACAGTAACCATAAAATTCAACATTGGCACAAAGTGACTATTACATGTGCATTTTATGGTATGCTTGACACTTGTGCACTGATCCCCTTGAAAGTCATCGTTTTGTACATCATTGGTTTTCGATTGTTACTGTCAAAATGTGATATCTGTTGTGGAACCAGGCTATTGTTCTTGTAAAAAAATAATTCATTTTTTGCACATTTATTGCGATTGATCCTTATGGTACAGTTAGTGCTGCAATGTTTGTAAAAACTTGCTTACGTTATAGATCCCTTGGTGGTTGAAAATCGTAGAAGAATAAGCCGTTAAGTCGCTCTGCAGGCAAAATTCTTCCTTGATTCTAAAAGTATTGATGTCTCTCCTTTGGAGCACATTAAGGAAGTCAAGACCTTGAGTTAGGACATGAAGAGAGGGAAGCAGTACTTAGGCAATCTACTTCCTCTGTGTCTACTGCCTAGGCAAAGCTGTATCATGTATGCTGCTTTATCTTGAGGATCATCTGGCAAGATGGTAAAGGTCATAATAGTAGTATATCAAAAGTACAATCGAACCTGCTCTAGCTGCCACCTGTCTAAGACAATCGCCTGTACAAATGACCATTCCCATTCCTCCCCTTGCATTTTTTGTACACTATACTATAATTACTTTGTCCATGATGTCTACATGTCTAAGACTATCACTTTTTTCATTGACAGCATCTTGGACAATTTCAACTGCATTTGACTTTCACTTGAATTGTATTTTTTTTTCAGCAACAGAAAAGAAATTGACACCTGGACAAGAAGTTTCATCTCCGAGAAGAAGTAACAGATCTGTTGAAAACTGGAACACCAGTGCACTTCATAGCAAGGATAAATTTTCCATTTCTGATACTTCTGCTAAAAGCAGTAAAGAACAGAACAATTTGGAAGATGCATCTTTTGAAGAAAGATCTGAAAAAGATGTGTACAATGATTTACCTTCAGATGAAAGGTCTTCTGCTGTTGTGGCTGATGCTTCAAACAGAAAGAGAGAAGAGCAAGAAGTTTTAGCAGACGCATCATCATCCGGAATAAAAAATAGATCTGCTATTAAGAGCATGAACGCCAGTTCATTTCATGGTGAGGATGAGCTTACAGATATGATGGACATTTCAAAGAAAAGCCGAAAGGAGACAAATGTATTGTCAGATGCAGCGTCTCCAAGAAGAAGTGACAGATCTGTCAATAATACAAACACCAGTTTATCCAATGGCCAAAACAGGTCTTTGAACCAAGCTGACGCAACTACCTACAAAAGCAGTGAAGGGCATGAACTTTCAGCCGGTACGTCATCTCCAGAAAGAATGAACAGATCTTCAATGAACAGGAAAGCAGATTCATCTCGTGGCACAGACAGAGCTTCCAATGTGTTTGATGCTTTAAGCAAAAGCAATAAAGAGCAGGAATTTCTGGCAGATGCATCTTCAAAGAAAAGTATTTACGATATCAGTGATAATAGCATCGAGGATACGTTCCGAACTCCAACAGCCAGGCAGCTGAAAAGAGGCCAGTCACGTGATACTCTCAGTGCTTCCAGATCTGTTGGTGAGGGTGCGAGATCCACGCCAAAGACCTCGGGGAACAAAAGAAAACTAACTCCTTCAAGCACTCGCATGTCTGACCTCTCTAAAAAACGGAAAGAAGGGGATCAATCAGATATGTTGGCCCTAGACCCAAGGTCGTCGACCCCCCTCAAGAGATCAAAATCATTTTTCCACTCTACCAAGAGACAGAGTGCAATGGCAGCCTATTTATCCAATGCTGAAGACTTTGCTGCTGAGAATGTCTCTATGGGTGGCTTGCCAGACATAAGTCCCATCCGACCGTATTCGAGGAGCGCTCTGGGTGGTGATGGGGACCATGTGGAAGCAGCTGAGCCAGAGGAGATTCCAGAATATTCTTCAAGTGAGTCGCTCTATATTTTATTGCTCTCTGGAACTTTTCAGCCTTACTTAGTTTGCGCTGGGTGGTTATTTTATAAATATTTCTGCTGTGGTTTATTTCGGATGTTTCATGCAGGTGGTTGGATGACACCACTGGTAGATCCCACATCTTTTCTTTCCCTCTGATGTTTCTGTCTGAGATCATTGCTACAACTTTTTTGTCACTATACTATCGCCGATCGGTGTCCCGTGGGGAAAAGGGTCAGCTTCTTGGTCTTACTGTCGCCGATCGGCGTCCCATGAGGGCAAAGTGGTAACCCTTTTTCTAGCCATACTGGCTTTTACTGCTGTAGAGACGTACCGACTTTTACTGGCCTGACTCCCCCCTTTAGTACAGGCTTAGAAATAATAACATTCCACTCTAAATTTAGATGCTGTCGTCCTAGTTCTTTGAATCTTAAATTTCATAGATGAAATAATTCGCTTGGATCAAAAGCAAAAGCAATTTCTTTGCTAGCTCCCATGAACCTCTGAAAAACACTGAAATAATTCAGTTCTGGGAAGCCATCAGCTGGCCACCAATTTGGTTCTGCCGTGCTGACCTGCTGACCTATTTATGGTGTTAAGAGGATAAGGGATCTCAAAAGTCATGCAGGGTCTTTTGCCAATTTAAGGTCAAGCTAAATTGCACAAATCAGACTATGATAGCTAAAAATCAATATCTACCTCATAATGGCCTTCATAAGCAAAAACATCCAGACTGATTAAAGTAATTAACCCTAAATTTTGACATCTGAAAATGCGTAGTCCCGTTTCAAAATTTAGCTTGTTTTGCTGTCAGAGACTAAATGACACTGGGAACAAATTGTGTATTGGTTCCAAGGTTTCGAAGACTGATGAGAATCCAATAATTTGAAGCGATGATTGGTCGGTTTTTATAAATTTCATTGCCTTTTGTCGCATTAAAGACGGTATTCACATGTTTTCCTCTTCAATTTCAGGGTCTAAAGCGAGAAGTGTTCCTTCAGCCAGCAAAGAGCAAACGGTGAGGATTGTTTGTTTCTGTATGTTGCTCTTTACTGACATTTTATTTTTCAAAAAGTGAATGCTTAACTCAACACTCATAGTAAAGTTGGAGGAAGAAGAAAAGGACAAACACTTTACTCCCTGTGTGTGTCTCCATGTCCCGTAACCTGGTTTGGTGCCAAGTATTGGCAAGTTAGAAATAAAATGTGTTAACGTGGTAGTTTCTGTTACCATTAGCTTGTTCACAAATATGAAAAAGGGACATGCTTGAGTTTTTAAAAATTCTTTTTTAAGAATGATAAATTAGATGATTTACACAGATGATGATGAAAGGGTTCCCAGTGTATAGGGGGAGAAAAACGACCAGATCTGGATCTTCTACCTCATTACATCGTGTGCAGCTGTCTAACTTTAACATCCTCTTTGCATTGAGTCCTTGCAGTTGCTCAGTGCCACTTTGCTCCTAGAAAAATGTTGAACTTTAGTGCCAACGACAGGAGTAAGGCAAACATTGGATTGACATGGTGTTAGAAAGTTCCTGCCTTTTTCTATTGCGGGTGACAACCTTGGCCATTGAGAGAAAGATGGTCTGTGATGATCTCCCCCCCCCCCCCGGGACTGAAGTGTCTTTAGGCCTTTCCCAAAGGGGGGACATTACATGTTCTTATGCATAGTAGAATTGTGAATAGGCTGATTCATCAATGTCATGCTCATAATTGTGCCTGAACTGCGACAGGGAACTGCTGCTTTTTCTCTCCTAGTCCTTACTTTCGTCATTTTTCCTGTACTTCCTTTGTATGTTTGTCACACGCTTGTGACCCGCTATTTCGGGGTGCCTTGATAGTCGAAGCAGACTTTGTCACTTGAGCTAGAGAGGTGAGCAGAATAAGCTTGATTTCCTGTATGGACTTCTCTGTTGACATCCACCCTTTGGTGCTCATATGATCTTATGCAGTTGGGAGCGCTGTAAAAACTACTAAAACTCAAATTAAAACTGATGATGACAGGGATGAGTCGGGTCTAAATGTAAAGGATTATTTATGATGTGGATTAATCTTGGTGTTAGTTTAGTTCTTCGTTTGGTGCCTATGTCAAATCCTCTCAGGCTGTTCTGAGAGGCAGGATACAATTTTTCATTCCTAACTCCTGGCATAGAGTGACCAAAGTTTGGAAATACTTTACTTTACATTTTCAATCCAGCAGCCATCTTAACTTCTAGCCCTTTGGCCTGAAATTTGGAAATAAGTTGTCATCTGAATCCATAACTTTTAATAAAGGTATGCCTGAAAATCACATGGGGGCTGCTTCTTGGTAATGACTTTGTTAGTGTTATGATTCCCTTATCATGCTCCATCATTAGATTTTCAAAAACAGGGAAAAGAGTGGGGCTAGTTATCTATGAATTAACTTTGGTGGTAAAAAAAAACAACCCCAAAAACCACCATTCGCCAGGGTAATATTAAAGCATTTCTCAACAAGTCGGTGTATTGATAAGTTATCACTATCTACAGTCCTGAGGAGACACTTCTACAATTATAATAGTTGAAGCATGTAAAATGCATGAAAAACTGTTCTGTTGTCCATGGCTAACACTTTACTCTTGAGTAATGTTGAGCAGGTGCATGTGAACATTGTTGTTTGTGTTATTCCAGCTTTGAGTTTCAACTTTTGATGACACAAATGGCAATTACGTTATTTGTTTTCTGTCATCCTGTAAGGGGAGCAAAGATATAGGAAATGGAAAGCTTCAATTTCTGTTGTAAATTTTATGTGTAGATCTACTAAGATTTAGGGAAAAAATTATTTTTTTTAAAGAATTTATTAAATATATATAACTTTCCTTTCTCATGACATTGCTTCGACCATGGGATAAAGCTTCATGTGGTGTAAATCAGAATGTTTATCACTCTACCTTGCTTCATTATTAAACTTATAATGTCGCTATTGTTCTTGCCATCATTTTTATTATGGTTTTTCGTTTCTAAAGGAGATGCAAGACGATTCCACAGATGATGAACATCTTGGGTGAGTAGGTACTACCTAAGAGAGTTTTCGGCTATAACTTAAAAGTAAAAGATACTGCAATTGTTCCTTGTGTAAGATTCACAACAGATTTGTGTGGTGTGTTTTATTTAATTTGTGACTTAGTGCTGAAAGTGAAAGATCTTTTCAGTATGACAATAGTATAGACAATTTTCTGAAGTCCCATGAAAGTTGTCATTTAAATAATATGTATTTTGTTGCAGATTCTTTTTATTTCTACTTACTCTTTCTGATGTATGTGAGATTAGTGAAGCACCATGCCTGGCAACTTTTAGCTGTGGTTCTTAGAAAGTCTAGGTCAAAATCGTGTATAGTTTCATTCACTATATTGTTGTGAGTATAAAGCAGTATTCAAGAGGCTGGTAGGCACTTTTAAAAAATAGAGTAGCATTGAGTGTGTAAACTTCATCTACTTTCTTTTGCTGTCAGCCAACAAAAGGTTACTTTGTTTGGGTCTTGATTGTGGAGCAAAAGTGTGACAATGATCTACCAGAATGACCAGACAGGCTTGATTGTGTAAAGAATATCAGTGACAATGATGCCATGAGTCCATGACTCGACTCTAGTCCTTTCCCCTTGTACTTGTACATGGGCATCTCCAGATACTGAGAGTTTGATGTCTGTGTTTAAAGGAAAAGAAATATTATGCAAGGAAAAGGGGGTGTGATTTTTGTTTGTTTATGAATGGACTTGATCCAGTATTCTGTCAGTTGAACACTTGTCTTTAAATTGTTGTTTACCATCCATTTCCCAGGCAATATTCACCTCTTAAAACTCCACACATTGACATGAATGTGAGGAAGGAAGTTTCAACCCTGCATAAAAAACAAGGACGTTTGAGGCCAGTGAATTTGATTGAGAATACCAACATGCAGTGAGTACTACCCCTTGAGCTTGTATTGTTTTAAACAGACACTTTCCCTGAGCTGAAATCCAGACCGGCATTTATTATAAGTAATATTACCGACTCTGCTTGGAGAAAGTTATTTTTTTACATTCTCTTTGAAGTCCTATAACTAGATCACGTATTCATGTCAACGATTATTGAAATGTGACTTCTTGTAATTCAGCTGTATCTTTATAAATTGAAATGATCAACTAAAGACAAAAATTTTGTTGCATGTAGCTTGACCGCAGAAGGTATGCTTTGAAATGCAGTAGATTCCATTTAACACAACAAGATTTCAGATCTACCCATTTCTCCTCTCCACCCTATTTACTGACACACGCTATGACAGGCCATGTGTTTAGTGCAGGCGTATCAACAACACACATATGTTGTTGTGAAAATTAGCTTCTGACAGGTCGCATATGATGTATACAATGGGCTAGGCTAAGTGTTGTAGGTGCGATCCACGGTCCCTTGGAATAGAGTAGATCTTCATTTTTAGAGAAAAATGTGTGACCCCACATCAGTGGGAGGCTGTTTGCCCTACAAGTGTCTTCGTTGAATCCAAGTTTGCTATTTGTTCACTGAATGCGAGTTGTGTTGATTTTAATGAATTTTAAAAGCTGGTTATCCGTCTCCTTTCATTGAATCTTAGCTTCACTTAGACACCTGTATGACCCATATGTGTTGCAAGTGTCATAAAACTCGCACTAAAGCAAAAGAAGTTGCCTCCCTTTTTTTGTTGTCTTTTTCATTAGCATTCAGCTCCACACAAAATCTGCTTAACATAAACAAATCCTCTGCGCTCATGAAGTTTGTGTGAAGAGGTACCTTTATTGTAGTTGTTGAATACACACCACTCTGGAGATTGGGAAAGTGAAAGATAAGAATGTTAAAGTTAAAATAAATGTTGTACTTGTACCTCCCTGGGTTTAATAATTTTTAAGATTGGGTAAGTATCAACATACCAGAGCAACAATATGTTTATTATATATCTATTATAGCCTATATGTGAAAGTTCATCAGTTTAGTCCCCTAAAACTTCAGAGCCACTCAACTTTCAAATTTTAAAAAATTAACAGTGATTCACAGTTATATTAAGGAGTCTGAAGTCATTGTAGTTTAATTTTCAGTTTTTCATTAGTTTCGGTTAGATCTAATCTTGGGAAAGCCCGTCTTCTAAGACGCCATTGTAAACAAGTGAGGCTTCAGTTTACAAGCTGTCCGCTCTATCTCCCCAATGACTTGACGATCGCTTCTTTTGAGTCTGTTCATCCAACGGGTACCCAGCTAGTTGTTAATAATGTTATCAATTTTCTCAGATCTAACCAGCCCAAGGAAGGACTGTCTCAGAAGCGGCGGGTTAGAAGAACACCAGACACCACTTTGCCTCGTCGATCGGTGAAGTTTTTCGCCCAGAGACACTCAAGCTCGAAACTGTCCAATGATGCTTTGGAAGAAATAGAGCATGCGTAAGTAGGCCTACAATGTGCTCTGTGATTATTTAAACTAGTCCAGTACAAAATAAATGAGATTAGAAGAACAAGCATTACCTTTTTTCTTCCCTCTCATAATAACATCTGGCAGTCATGTGGTTCGAGGGTTGTACTTCAATAAGGTCTTTTGTAATGGTTGTTCTGTGTTTAAAACATATCACAACTATTATTTATCTGTTTATTGTAAGCAATTGGGAGTAAACCTAGGCTGGAGTTCTATTAGCAACTTATTTACAGAACTTGAACAGTGGGAGACAAGGAAAGCATAAGATACTGTACATGTCATGTTTTTTTAGAGCACCCATGCAGAGAAATAAATGGTGAATGATGATCGCCGACATCTGTTTCAGGTCTAGCTCTTCATGAAGAAGACCTTATGGTAATTTTCATATATATGGTCGCTTTTAAGCACAAGGGGGTTATCCCGAAAAATGCTGTTATGAGAAAATCGATGGTAAAGTTTTTTACCCTTGTTCTGTTTCTTTAAATGACAAGGAGAGTTTTCTATATAACCCAACAAATATACACACCAATGAAACCAAATTTCTCCTACAGGTAGGGCAATGCCCACTTTTTGTGTAGGTCAATATTTCTGGAAACCCCCGAAATCTCGGTTAGCCCGCTTGTCCTTAAAGGCGACCATATAGGCCCTAGCTAACAGACTGTTCTGTTTGACAAGTTCAAAAGAAGGGCAAGAAATTTTTATTGGTTTTGAAACCAAAATATGGTAAAGGGTGATCAAGTATGCCAGTTCACTGGTCAAGAGCAGAGGCTGCTACCATTTTTTCAAGACAATCAGCAATACAGTAAAACGTCTGTGTAACGTACTCAGCCGAAAACTTAATCAAAGCTGTAACTTAGAGCAACTTTTATTTTCCTAAGTCCCAGTTAGAATTGTTACCATTTAAACGTTATATTTATTTTAAAAGTACCTCAGTGAAAAGTTCATTTTTCAAGGAGTTTTAGTGATCTAAAGTTCATTTATAACTGGCATTGTACATTGAGAGAATAAAGAACATGACAAAAAGTGCTAAGTTTTACTGTACTCAGGAATACAACTTAATCATTTTACACAGAGGTAGGCCTACATATTAGGTCACAGTCTACGCGTATTGTCAGTAATGTTAGTATTGCCGTTAGTGGGCGCTTGCAGCCACCACCGACCCCCCCCCCCCCTCCCTTTTTTTCATTCTCCCAACAACATAAACTCATCCGTAGTCGGCTGTATCTGTCCAAGATATGTCGGGGATACATTTATTTACAACAGTTGTCCTCAGCCAATACTTGACATATTGCAAGTCAGTATTGTGTTGGTACCTCCCCAACCCTCAAGTCTCTTCTGTGTCTCATATTAGGTCGGAGACTTTTTGGGCCAACACCTTCAAGGCTTTGGAAGTTTTTGCACTTCACGCTGGAAGAAAAACGGTCAACGAAGAAGATGTTATTCTATTAATGAAGACGTAAGTAAACAAATTTGAGTAGGTCCTTATATAGCTCTATATCTCGGTCGATGTTGAGAAAGTTATAAGTTATAAGTTTGGCTTTCCTATGTTACATCAACCTTTTCTTTTAGCAGAAAACAACTAACCTTATGAATGTGTTAAGGGGGGGGTAGTTGGAGGGTGTCATTGGTAGGCCTTATATGTCTTTTCTATACTTCTGTTTCTGTCCTCATTTTCCCTGCACTAAATGAGTGTTGCCTGGTCAACAAAGAAATCTTTAAATGATTTGCCTGCCTTTCTTACTTTGTCGAGCCCCCCCCCCCCCCCCCCCCAAAAAAAAGCTGCTACCTCCCCTTCATCTTCTTCCCATGTGTTTTGGTTTTGCAATGGTGGAATCTAAGACTATAAAACCAAGAAAGGCACACTGTAAGCTGGCACTACATGATACTGTCTAGATCTGTATATTTTCTCAATTTATTTTATCTTGCTATATTCTGCACAGTTGCTTCTTTCAATCTTGCTTGAAGGGGTTAACCGGCTTTGGGAACTCCGGCCTCCGATTTAAAAAAAAAACAACTATAGAATAATAAAGTTAAATTATTTTTTAAATAACACTAGGTCTAGGCCCTAGAAAATCTAGAGATGTCTATTGCTAGATCTAGCTACGCTAAACAGACTTGTATGTTCACTGCGAACAACCGGAGAGGCTAGGGAAGCCATCAAAACAAATCCTAGATCTAGATTCTAAAACTTTGTTGATCAAGGGCAACGGAGATCTGTAGATCTATACTTTGAATACCACAGCAATATAATCGTGGAAAGTACTGAAGGCTATTATATATTACATGTATAATCTCAACAGTTTAGATTCTGGATTAGCTCAAAACGGCTAAGACCAAGACATCGAATCCAATCAGGATATGGTGATAGACAGACGAGAGAAGACGAATAAGAAGGAGCATGTGTTTGGTAGGCCTTGTCGGGCCGAAATACTACACAAAATTGCAAATGGAGATGATAACAATAATTATTCAGACTATAAACAAGATTTATTAGCGTTGAAATCAGCAACACGATACAAAACTCTTTGAAATGCAGCGAAAACGTTCACGTTCTGTCTTGCGGCACGCAGTGTAAACAATGGCTGGCGAGGGGAATCCCCTTCGTTGCTACCGGCTCGGCGAATGAAAATTCACGGTCCGGTCACGTAACGGAAGTGGCCAACCGGTATTTGGTACGGGGTCTTCAAACATACCTAAATGGGTCCCCAGAGTAGTTCCGTACAAAAATGAAAGTGCAATAATCGAATAGTTCTTATCACGGCCTTTCCAATGATACCAAACTTGATTTAAATTACCTTGCAGCCACGGAAAGTGTTGTTGTCAAGGGGTAAAGTTTAGCATTTCTTGACGTTATGTTTGAATTCCCCCCCCCCCCCCCCCCCTACCGCTTTCAAATACATTTTTATGTATGTTAGAGGTCTCTTTAGTTCTTGGGACCTTGTTAGCGATCCAGTAGCATCTGAGCGTTAACTCTTCTGCATGTTCTTGGGACCTTCACAAACGGATTCTTGACACATATTTCTGTAAGAATATCCAAATACTCGAAGTTCCAAATTTTTTTAGCAAATACCCGATTTTCTAGGGGATCGAGACCCGTGGATTCCCTTAAATCTCGAACTACGCAGACTTTCTTTATAGGGCAGGGCCTATTACATATACAGGCCGACCGGATTGTTTTCTGGGCCGCATGGCCAATCGTAACCTGTAACAAGAAATGCTGCTCAAACCGTAGACAAACACTCTGCGAATAGCCGGCCTGCTAGATGTCAAGAACCCACAGCCGCTGCCTGTGAATTTGACATCCGGCCTTGAGAGGAGTGCCGACTAATCTTTGAAGTTTGCTGCGCCGAGGACAACAGAACTAATTTCAAAATTATAGAAAATCACGTCGTAGATAAAAAATAATATCAGATTCAGAACCAGCGTATCAAAATTAGGAAAATGGCTAGAGAATGACTGGTTTTGTCTTGTATTTAAGGATTTTCCTTTTCTGCACTTTTTTATGTTTTGCATGTGTGTGCTTGTGGGTGGGTGGGATGTTTTTTGTTGGTTTTTTTAATTACTCAGCATGCATTTAAATTTAATGAAAATCTTAACTTTGTAACCAGTGTCGGTAAACATTATGAATTTTTTTTCTCCAGCCAAGGCATTGTCAATAGTACCAGAGACCTGCACGATCTGATCCGGGAGTACCTGCCCATGGAACTGCGCTCAGAGCTGATTCCTGTGGCCAAGCCCTAGTGCTGGAACTGGCAAGAGATAGCTCATTTCCTGTTTTATTCCAATGCTTCATCCCCACCCCCCAAATATACACATATTTACTCTTACGCTTTGTGTCTATACTAAAAACATTAAATTTCTCAGTCATGAACAATTGAAATGAAAATGCATAGATCTACATAGATGAAAACAGAATTAAGCCATGAAATGAACTTTTTGTTTCAGTTTTTTGGGGGGTTTTTTTACAGTTTCATCGCATACATGGAGCTTTCAAAGGCATACATACAGTCGTAGTTGTCTAAGATGGCCACCTATTATCAAAGGGAAAATTGGCCATTTTACAGTGCCATTATAAAGTAAAAAAGCAAATGCGGAAAATGGGAAGTGACCGTTAGTACATGTTATTGTCTCACAAAGGTGGCCATTAGAGCAGGTTTGACTGTATATCATGTACATAATGATAGACTTTTCCCCACGCGTTTGATACAAGCAGCCGAAAATTTCAGTCACTTAAAAAAATTACTTGTCACTCACCACTCACCGCTGACCTCACCGAAGAAGTCATGTGGCGTCATTCAAGTGCTGCTTCACCCTTCGTGCAAGCCGTTCGTAATGTAATGCACTTGTTCATTAATTTTGTCTTCCATTCGCCGTTGGACGGACTATGAACAAGTGTCAACTATTATATTCCTGCTTTTTTTAAGTTTGGAAACGTTAAAAAAATTATGGCTACTGAACTATAATTACAACATTTGGATGAGGCAGAAACTGACATCAATACGAGGCTAATTTATCTCGTCAAAGAATGTCCATTTATTTACAACGCCATAATAGATCCCTTGTTGTTGCTTGTTATTTTTGTGACAGAATTGTTAACTCAGCTAAAAAGAGTACAGTGAAACTCGGATTCAGCGAGGTCGCCGAGCCTGACATAAAATCTCGTTGAATCCGAGTGTTCGTTATAGCAAACACGAGGTTTTATGTAGATAATTACAGGCTTTGAGCAAATAATGTATAAAGAGAAGTAACAAGTGGTGCCTTAAATGCCTCCATATTATGAACTGTGAAAAAACCAATTCGTTCAAATGCACGCCTGTGTCATCTCACTTGTTTGCCAAAAAGTTGTGTTGCTGTTTAGAGCCTAGCATACGGCAACTTTTGATTCCATAGACCAGCATACAATTCATTACGTAGATCTACGTCTAGACTAGCTTATCATTGTAATAATGATTAGTTGCCGACGGGGAAAGAAATACTGTGGCGCGTTTGTGTCTGCGATGTTCAACTCCCGGGCCGCTAGAGCCCCCCCCCTCCTCGACACGCACACACAGCCACACGAGTGCCCGCCGCCCATCCGACCCCAACACACGCCAGAGTAGACACGTGTGTGTGCCAAAAACGCATGTGTTGGTATGAAAAAAGGCCGCTGATTAAGTCGCATGCAATTGGCAAAGTGCAATGGATGGTTTCCAAGAATAGATAAAGTTTGTTCTGGGAGAAAAAATTAGCAAAGCCACGTCTGCGGGGAATCTATCACATCTCGTTGAGAGTTCCACTGTATAATTCTCATTGTTATCACCATACATTGATCTGGTTCTGAAATTTTTTTAAAAAATGAAACTAATTTCTTTCTTGCGTGTGTGAATGTGTGTAGGTGTGTGACAAGTCTTTCCTCAGAGCACATATGGACTTAATGTAATTGGTCGATCTGTGAGAATATGAGGTTTTACAAATGACAAAAGCTCATAGAATAAGGACTGCGACATCGTTGCGTAATTTATAAAATTCTCTTCATCTTTGATAATCTCTTTAAAAAAGTGTGATATTCTCCTTCAATAGAGGCATAAATGGGCCGCACAAACATTGAATGCCTTTTATTTTTTCTTTGATTATATTTTCTAGGTAACCACCATAGATAAATCAGTGTTTCATTGTTCGCCAAGTTATTAGTTGTTGACATTGACACAGGTACGAATGTTCTGTGTGACTAGTGGCCAAAGTTGTAGGACTTATAAGTTTTTTTTTCGTCGAATTAGCGGCATGTGACAAGTGTCTATAATTTCTCATTCCACTGTAAGCGGCATATGGAAATTAAAGATTGCGGCAAGTGATATAACGAGTGACGTATGGAATATGACTTTTTCTGTGAGCTTCAAGCCTTACCCAGTGTTTGCCAGTGCAGACTGCATCTTATTTTAGCTTTGTTAGCACTCTGTCTGGGGAAGCTCTAACATGAAATGTTTCTCTCCAAGTCTGTTCAAGAGTCCCTTTTCTTTTGCTTTTCTACCTGGAGCCCGAGCAAGATACCTGTCTGAGATGAAGCATGAGTTCAAGGAGTTTCAGTATCAGGATCTGTTTTTACTCAGCCACAGTTTGTCACATGTGCAAGAGAACATTTTAACCTTTTCCACAATTCTATTGAGCTCCTATTGACAGGTAGGTAGGCCTACTCACCCATCATCAATTTTTTTTAAAATTACATTTTCAACCGAACTGTTGCCAACCAATCCAAATACACAAAGTGTGTAGACATAAATGCACAAAACAAGTAAATGTGTTCTTTTTATTTTATTTTGACATTCCATGAGGGCCCAGTCTTGGTTTATTTTATTCAGACAATTTTAGATTAACCTGCAACAAAGGAAATCCAGGTACAATTAACAATGTATGTAGTTTCATGTCCCATAAAGGTTAACAACGCCAAAGAAGGAAAATTTCATAGTTTTGAAAATGGGTAATCAAATCATGCGTACGATCAAACCTCGTTATGCCTCCACCCTTTGGACGTGCATAAAGTTGGTTGAATAGCGGGGCTCGCGGTCAATCAGGGTTTTTCTATTTAAATAGCCCTGGCTGCCCAATGTCCATGTAAATAATTTTATAAATGTGTCTTTTTGTGGATGATTTAAGTTTACAGTCAAACCCCATTATACCACCTATCTTGGGACAAGCATGACGCTGGCGATACAGCGGGGCTGGCGGTATAACAGGATAGCACCAATTGTCATTTTGAATAGTGGTAGAGACTTAAATTAAGAGACAAATTGTGGCCAGTCTTGACGCATTTAGATCAGGGGGAAAATTTCTGGGGGATCAGAAGCTGAGTTAATATGTGTCTGTGACCCTATAGATACCATGTTGGCTACTTTTAAAAAAAAATCAAACCCGATTCTCGCCAGTCCTTGGGTTGCTTCAGACCTTTCATGTCGTATTGTAAGTCCTCATAATATAAAATCTTAACTCTTTGAATACGCGGGCCAGATCTCAGTGTGACGCAGCTCTGGCGGGCAGCACATTTTTTTAACATACATGTGATACAAATTTCAATATACTGAAGTTACTAAACACTTTAGACATAATAAACTATATATCAAAATAAAGGAAATTGAATGTAGAATGTATATCTGTGTGGTTTGTGTTGATTTTTGTACACTGTGTGTGTTGAATTACAGAGAAAGACAGAAAAAAAAGAAGAAAAAAAAATTCACACTAAATGTTTTTCTACTCACCAAATCAAGTATTATAATCCAATTGGTCAATATCCATGAAGATGAGCTGAAGTTGTTGGTAATCCATGTAGCAATAATCCAGGAAAGTTTCATCACAATAGCTCCAGTAGTTTTTGAAATATTCACATTTATCTACACGACAGTTACGCCACAATATCGATGAAAAAACCCCACCAAAAATGTCACACTGAAGATATTCACATCTTTACACTATATACAATCCTGTTCCGTCTCATTGCCAAATTAGACATTGTGGTAGGCTTGGAAACAGTCCTTAGGGTGCAAATGGGGTGCACCACTGCATCCAAGGCAGACAAAGTGAGTTCTTTTTCTTGCCCCATCCTTAGAGCACACCACACAGTTTCTGTCACGCTTCACGTAGGAGATGATGTGACGAGTACCTTGAATGCGCTCCATTGGATTGTTCTCCGGTTGTCTGCCTGGAGCTCTAGCCTCGTCATTGTTATCGTTGTTGTTGTCGTTGTTGCTGTTAGCAAGACTTTCGACAATTTGCCGAACGAGCATCAGTTTGAACTTTTTCAACCCGATCTTCTTCTGCGCGTCTGTTCTTGTGAGGGTGTAGAGAATGAAAGCATTGACCTGAGTTATCTCCATCATCCAAAAGAACAGCTTCTTCCACCACTTCACTGATTTGCGGGAGAAGACGGGGTAATATGTGACCTTCTGGTCAAGAAGGTCACAGCCATTCATGTGACTGTTGTAGTCATGGATGACAGTCGGCTTGTCAACATCTTTGACTCGTGTTGTATCCACCTGTGCGTCAGTGGAAACGAGAACAACTGGATTCTTGGCTTTTTTGTCCCGAAAAGCCACACACAGGACATCTGCATTCTCATGGAGAAACCAGCGCATTTGTCGATGTTGCAGACTCAGGTTTTTCAGCTGAGGTGGAAAAGATTTTCTGTTCAGCATAAGCGTGCCGGTGTAGTGGTGCCTTTTTTTGAGCAGATGGTCAACAAGAGCCCTCGTTGTGTAATAACGGTCAGCATAGATCTTGTGACCTCTGTCAACACAGGTGAGGAGCGTGTCGAAGATCTTCACAGCTGCACCACTGTCTGCATCTGCTTCAGGGTCATATGACGTATTGGCGCCGAAATATGTCAGTATATTCATCACATACCCAGTTGATGAATCACAAAGACCAAACGTCTTGATGTGATACTTGCTGGGTTTGCTTGCGTTGAACTGTTTGAATTGCCATCGACCCTTGAAACCGATAACCATTTCGTCAATGGACAATTCTTGGAACGGATAAAAAGCCCCACGGAATTTGCCAAGAAGTAAATTCATGAATGGCTCGATCTTATCCTTCCCTTCCGCATCTTTATCACCAGCATGCAGCATGGAATGATATATGTCCTGGAACCTCTGTCGGGGAAACATACTATGGTACCATGCTGTGCAGAACTCGGGTGACATGGACCAGTAGTCAGAGATGGCGGGACGGCGATCTAAACCTATCAGGATTAGCACTGCCATAAATTTGTCGAACTCCTTGACAGTAATTTTCTTCCAACGCGCAAAAACCGACCTAGGACTAAAGTTGCCACTTTTCTCTGCTATTCTCTTTTCAGCATAGTCATTGATGAAAGTCACAATAACTTGTTTCACCTCACGGTCTAACAGAACAGACAGACAGTCCAGGGCACTTGAATTCTCATCCAAGCCAGATTCTGGCAACACACCTGGAACCTTTGTCGGAAGAAAACGTATGGTGTTTGCTGTTCCTCCATGCTCAATATGACTCCACCCACCATTGTCTCTAGCACTAGCAGTAGCAGGAGGATCAGAAACAGTAGATCTAGATTTAGCAGTTGCAGTTGCAGAAGACTGAGTAGACCTAGATCTAGGCCTAGTACTAGACTTGCCCTTTCCTTTCCCTTTGCACTGTCTCTTTGGAGCTGGTTCCACCTCACCGTCACTGCTCTCATCAGCACCACGATCTAGATCTAACGTTGGTTGCTCTTCTTCATCACTACTCAGATTCAAATCACAATCACTGGTTTCTTCACTCGAGTCCGAGTCATCTCCAATCCATCTCTGGATAAGGTTTCTAGCTTGATCTGCCGAAAATCGGCCTCTAGAGGTACTAGGTTGTGAGTCTGGATTCATCTTCAATCACCGCACTGCTTGGTAAACAAACTCTAGCGTGAAGTCGGTGAAGAATACTTCTTTGAATTTCGCGAAAAATCGACCGATTTGACTGCAAATAGCGTCTAAAGGAAGTGGGAACTCTTCTTGAAGAAAATAGAAACAGTTCTTATAGTTTTACTTAAAAAGCGGTATTGAGAAGTTGGGTTATACGAAACAACCCATCGTGGCGCACAGTGCGGCGAAACGTATAAATTTTTGGTCGCCTTGGCGCAGTGTGCGGCGATACGTAAAGAAAGAGTTAACATGTGCCCGCCAGCATTTTGGTCATCAAGCTGATATTTGGCGATGCCGGATATTTTTCAGACAGGCCGAGATGATCCACTGTTTGAAGTTTCTCAAACAAAATATTGATGGAGGAAGACAAAAACTGAAAGCCTTTTCTCAATCAGCGCAAATCCGAGACATTTTAAATGCAAAAATATGCCGAATTCACAGAAACGTGTGGGAAAAGATAATCAAGCAGCCACAAAGTGAGTGCTGTGTGGTGTGTACCTCTGGCAACCAATTCGCTGGTGGGACAGCAGGGCAAATTTACATTAGTTTAATAAGGACCATACAACTCGGGCAATTGGTGGATACTGCAAGATATTTTTTAAAAGTCATACAAGGTAATCAAAACAGTCAGCCTAATTATGGTTCAATGATATATAATTATCTTAACAATAATTTTATGATGGGCGGGGGGAGTGGTTTCTTACATTGCTCAGAAACAAAATCATGTCAACATTGGATGGCTTCAAAGCAGCTTTTCTAATGGAGATAAGCTCCCCATTTTTAAAACCAGTCTCTCACTGGGCACGGAAGTAGCAGGAATCGCAAGTACATCTTTAGCAATTCGAGAGCCGCTTTGTTGATGAGTCTTTATTCTCTCTCCACCAGTCTTGGCGTCCTTTTGGGAAAGCTCTGACTCTAACTTAGTGTAAGTAGTGATGGACGTCCAGTTCTGCCCATTACTATTGGCTCTGCTGTCTTTTGCTTGTTCTTGACCAGCCGGTCAAAGTGTGCCCAGAGTTGAAAAACTCGTTTGGCAGGTGAGGGAGCTATGTCTCTTTCTCCGGTCGTTTCTTCTTGCACCGGTGGCTGTGCCAAAGGAATGGCCCATGCCTGCTCTTTTAATTTGTCTACAGGGGAACCTTCCCATTTGAACCTAGAGTCCCATGAAATTGCTTATCTCAAATGATTTCTTTCGTCCAAGTTCCTGAATCTCTCGTGAAGTTGGTCATTCAGGCACTTCCCCAGTGGTGAGCTTTGGACACTGACGTCTGCTGCTCGCTTGACATTTTCAAGGTGGCCCCGTAAAATGGCTCCAAAGTCTGTAGAACTTTCTGAAGTAGGGCCAAGTCTCCAGAAGTCAGGCACATTTCCTGTCTGCCATTCAGGCACAGTGCAGTAGTCACTTGTTCATGCTGGTCCATGTGCGAGTTGAGTATGTCGTAGTCGTACATGCTGTTCCACCTTGTTTCCTTGTCTTGTACCAACTTTTGTGGAGAAGTTTGTTTTGCTTTGCACGCCTCTTTCAATGCTTTGTTTGCCTTTGAACTGTGGTGAAAAAAATGACACAATCTGTTTGACTTCAAGCACGTTCCGTCTTCCTGATGGCTGATCGCATCCACCAAAGCCAGATAGCTCAACAGCTGCTCTCATATTGGCCACATTGTCTGTTACCCGAGTCATGATTTTGTTGCCAATGCCCCAGTCAGTGAATACCTCTGACGCCAAAGTTTACCTGTACTGTATGGTGGTGCTCCATACTCCATGATAGCCGTGTTCAAAACTCTGGAATGCAGCTTCCATTCGGGTGTGATAAAATGTGCAGTCACTGTTGTGTAAGACTCGGTCTGCTTTGACGTCCAATAATCAGTACCGATAGTGACATTGATGGGGGGTCAACTTGGTCCATTTGCTCCATGAGAAGCTGTTTCTGGTCTTTGTATTGTGCTGGCAACAACTGAGACGAGATAGTGTGCCTGGACACAATGTCGTATCTTGGGTCCAGTTCATGTACCAGCCTCCTGAAAGCTTTGTTTTCAAGAATTGACAGAGGCTGGATATCAACAGTGATAAGTTCCAGGATGCACTTGTCAGGTTCCTTTTTCCTATCACTACCTGACGGGTATTTTGTCACTCTTTCCAAAGTTTCTGCAATGGTCGCTTGCTTGCATGATGAACTTGGACCAGCAAGCACGGCAGAAACAGTGGCAGAAGTAGTTGCAGAGCTTGACGTGTCTTCAAACGACGCAAGTTCATTTAGGGTGCTTTGCTCGCAGGTGTCTTAATTAATTTGATGTCGATCTCTTTGAATAAATAAATTCAGTCTTACAAATATCACAGATAGCAATTTTTTTTATCATCCCTTGTCAGGGTCATCTATTTCTAACAAAGACTTAGTTTGTAATTTGAACCCACTCGGTGCCAACACTTCCTCCTCAGTCATGCCCACAATCAGTTCCATCTCTGTGCCCTTGAGCAACTTCTGCAGTACCATCTGTCACACTGATCACACCTAATCCATCCATCCTGTCATTCCCACATTCAAAACACTCGACTCTCATCATACCTAGACAACATATGCTCAAGAGCTTCCATACATTCTTCATCCGAACTGTCCATGTACTAGTAGTCCATTGCATCAGTCACTCTCAACACTTTCCCCTTCATTCACCACAACCTGTCTTCCTCTTTCTTCAAAGCCTTTCCCTTTTGTTTTGTTTTTATTGGCATTAGCCTTCCTTTTCGCCCCTCTTTCCTTTTCCATTTTCTCTTTGTTAGCCTCTCTTTCCATTCTTTTTCTCTTTCTCTGCATCTCTGAAGGGTGAGAGCTCAACTGCAGAGGGAGATGGTGATGAGCTAGGGGCAGCTGGAGATACCTTGTAGACCCCACTAGCCTGGCATTTCGCGTAGTCAGGTCTCACAGGGTTCCTCGGGGAGAGACCAGCTGCTTCAAACACATGGGCCATTTTCTCTGCAATGTGGGTGAGACTTGATCTATGCTTCCTTGAAAACAATGGCAAGTTACTTTTTCGTCATTGTGCCAACGTTTGAGATGCATTTGTAGTCCTGGACGCTCTTTCTCCTATGGTGCTTTAACTTACTTTAACCCTTAAAGTCCTATACAGAAAACTGGTTATTTCCCCCTGAGGACTGGCTTGAAATTTTACTTTCTCATGAATTTAGGGTATGTTGGAATATTGCAAGCTGAATAAAAACTATTGATCTCAGACAATAACATGTAGAGAGTTTTTTGTTCAGAAATGAATAAAGATTGATCCTGCGGCAAATGCAAAAAAATAAATTTTGTGAAGTGTGCATAGTTTCATCATTATGTAATCATGACTGTAAAATTTGAGGTATTTCTGGGCTGTCATACATATTTCAAAATGACTTCATACTATAAATGCTGACAATGTTGTCCACAGCTAAGCGTCAAGAGTTAGTAAAACAAACAACATAACAATTTTCTGGGTTTGTAATGAATAAATAAGAAAGTTGAGTAATATTATGGAACAGATAAGAAACGGAAAGTATGTACAGTAATGTGCACAATGTAAATCACTAACCCCACTCATCCTGTTGCTGCAGCTTTTTACATGCTGCTATCCATATGTTTACTGGACCCTCTGCTTCTTGTATGCCCCAAACTCCTTCCTCCTTGCCTCTTGTTTATACTCCTGCTGTGTGGTAGAGGATGAAACACTCTGGGTAGCACAAGGCGACACCACATTCCTCGCACCAGTGGCTTGTCTGGATACGCTTGAATTTTTCTCGTGCAGTTGGAGGCACATTACACACAATGCAGTCCCTGGCTGCATGCTTCCATTTTGATCCTGGAACTGCAGGAATGTACTTACTAAAGTGTCGCTCGGTTAGCCATGGTTGTTGAGCTTCATCGGTAGTTTGGCAACGTGATCCACCCTGACTTGCAGGCTTTTTGGTTGACTGACCTTCCACAACCAAAGCACTGATGACGGACTTCCTGAATTCTGAGTGAGACAGCTTTTTTCTATCATGAGAAAATTTGAGATACAGCTGAAAGGCATTGACCATACATAGATCTATCAAATAGAACGCTAGTTTCCTCCACCGTTTGAATGATCTTCGGTAAATCTCGTAATATTGTGTAACTTGATCCATCAAGTCAACACCACCCATCTTGCTACAGTAATCCACAACACAAGGGGGTTTCATGACTGTAGGTCGCCTTATTTTATAAATCACCTGCCCTGTCACCCCATGTATCGTTGACACCATATGCACAGTTTGCTTATGCTGAAATTTTATGGCGATCATTGGCCCTTTTTGGTGAGTGACGGTTTGAAGTTCCTTCAACTTCTGATTAGACGAAAATGCGGACGGAAGGCCTCTTCTGTTGGAACGGACAGTTCCACGCGCATATGTGTCGAGCAGGTGCTGGAGAGATGCTCAAAAAGAGCAGGCGACGTGTAGAAATTGTCCATGTAAATAAACATGGTGTCCCTTGAGGAGACAATTTGCCTTCGCAAGACCAAACGACGATCGTCTCTGTGGCCCCAACAGTGTCAGAGACGCCTGTAGTGCACGCAGCTGGGTACAGAGGGGAAGGTTGTACATGGTATATGTCAAAGTACTGGCAATAACCTGTTGACGATTTGCACAAAGTGTACAACTTTATGCCAAATGAGTGCGGTTTCGCAGGGTTGTACACTTTGAATACGAGACGGCCTTTGAACGGGCACTGGGAAATTTCTTCAGGCACATGTCGATGAGCGGCCTAACCTTGAAAAGTTTGTCTTTAGGTTTTTCCGGATCTTGGTCCATTTCCGTTTGTAAGATGGAAATTCCAAAGAATGTGTTGAAATCTGTCCCAACTCATTGTCTTTGAAAACCACGGTGTTCTAGTGGAACCGCCTTTTACCCAGCAGTCTTTCAAATTAGTCTTTGGGACAAGGCCCATATTCAGCAGCACTGCAGAAAAGAAAAGCACATTTAGATCTAGATCTAGAATCTATGTCTTTTGAAGGTCCCAGCAGATTTACATTTGAAATAATATCTAGACCTAATGGCTAAAAACAAAGAACATAATATGTTGCATATTATGCAACCCTCCCTATTTCGACACACCATGAGCGCAATTTCTACTCTAGTATACAGTGGGACCCCTGAAAGACTCTAGATCTAGATAGATCTACACTTTTATTAGATCTAGGTCTACAAATTTATAAATTAGATCAGTTAGATCTACCTGCAAGAAACAGCTTCATTTCAGCGACTGTCACATCGCTTCACGACTCTAGATATTTATTTTCTCCCTCGTCCGACGCCATCATTTTATGGTGGGCAGTCATTTGTTTCACCAGCACAAGTATTGAGAAAGTCATCGCCCACAAGCATTTTGAAAAAAATTATAGGTTTGACATCAACATCCTCTGGGAAAGGTGTCAAAAGTTGGGACTGTCCATTGAAAACACGCGTCTTACTCTTAGTGGGTACCACAAGCGAAAATTTATTTGAACAATACTGACATTTAAACCTCAGGGGTTCAAATCTACACTATGAAACAAGAACATTAAAAAAAGAATTATCAAAATCCATCAATAAATAATCGAGATATGATATTTCAAAGTTTTATTTTTTAACAAAACATTTTCAACTGCGACTTTCACCCATGTTTGAGGTGTTCTAAAATACAAAGTGCATGATCAAATCAATGAAAACTTTGTTTTTCCCAGAGCTGTCAACCCAAATATTGATATCTCTAAATCAAAGCATGTTAGAATGACTGGTTTCCAAGATATAGGCCTTCAAAAATTGAAAAAAAAAAGGCAAAATTTGTCATTAAGAGCTCAGAACCCTATTTTAACCTCTTCCAAATTAGTCAAAACTGCCTCCTCATTAGTGAAAATCACACAATCATTACAAATACATGCATAGACTTAGCTGAATTTTTTTTAGACCTCTCTGACCATGAGTAACTTTTCTGGACTCCTCTGAAGTGGGCTTCGGTGCAAAAAACGCCTCTTGGAAAAAAATTAGGGGAACTCTGGTACATCCTCGGGCAAAAAGCATCACAACAAGTGAACAAATTAAGCTACAGGGCTAAATCATACATCAAATTAAAGCTCAATGCAAGCTCTACGGGGCCAAATGAAAATTGTTTACTAAAACCTCTCATAACACTCCATAATATGGCCGTAATGCCCAAAAACCTGCCATTATTGAGTGAAAATTATAACGTCCTCCGACTGGAAAAAAATTCATATAAAATCAACAAATTGTGCTACAAGGTTGCATTATATATATATATCAAATGAAAGCTCTTTTCAGGCTCTATACAATGAATTAGTTTATAGAAAGAAAAAAAACCATCCAAACATAAATTCAGATATGGACAATAATGTGAAAAAAGTCATCAATATTGCTTCAGAAAATAAAGATTTCTGCTCAGGGGGTTTAAAAATTGGAATTAAATCAACATACTGTTCTACCGTGGTTCATCTTGTATAATATAGATCTAGTTCTAGATTTATTTATCATTTTAGCTGAGAAAGAAACCAGTGGCTGGGGAAATACAATGTATCATCGTGCTCCAATTAGCCTATCAGGTGACATCTAAGTCTAAGTCTAAAAATACGTAAAAAGGCTGGTTGATTCAATAATTGAATATCCACCAATCAAGAACGTAGATCTAGCCTTTTTTGTTACCGAATTAAATGCCAAACAATAGATCTACGAACATTAACACTAACACCCGGTAACCCCCTTCCGAGTGTTTAGTAGTGTGTGATGACATGTTACTATAAATAGAACTCCCAGTTCAACTCTTCGCGGCTTTATTCTTTCACTTTGTCGACCAGAGATGCTTAGATTTCAATGCATTTAGAATAAATAAGGTGTTCTTAGTTGAAAAGACAGCAAAAATACCACCACGAAGCGATACATTTGTATAAATCGCAATTAATTCACTATGAGGTGGGGAAAATGTAGGTTGGCGTGATTCCCACCAAACAATAACAATCCAACCACACGGCAAGTGGTGGCCGATTAGTCTTATTTTTCAAAACACGATATTCCTTAGTATCCTAAAAGAAAATTATGATAAAACTTACATAAATTGACGCCATAAACAGATCTATCGAATGTTTCTTTTACTGAATCATCATTATAATCGTCTGCTGGTTGGGTCAAGTCAGAGGGGGTGGAAATGGGCGATGGAACAGCCGCAATGCCAGAATGACGATCTCCCGAAAGTGGTTGTTACCCCACTTCAGAAAAAGTAATATTTCTACTTCTTGGAAAGTAGTTGGCTTTTCTAAACACATATAAACTTGAAGGTAGAGATGTCTAGGAATATGACCATGGCACGGATAGCCCGATTTGTGTCGAATTTCATATTTTAAAATGCTTTCTTCGTCTTTACATCGTACCACTCAAGCTTTCCGCTCGGAATAAAAACATAAACACATTCCCCGGAAATTCTCCTGAAATCCCAGATTTTTATGTTTCAAACCGCAAGAAAATTCGATGATTCACGACTGAGAAATCGAAATTTAAAACAAGTACCCTCCAAATCTAAGCGCGCAAAATTGCAAGACGGCCGAGTTTTCTCGTGTTAAACTTTAGTCAATTAAGAACTAAATATGCTATCATAAGTATCAGTTTCTCGTTCACCATGGTGAAGGAAAGACACAGAAAACAGTGGTATAATTTTTATTAGTGTTTACCAAAATTAAAACCAGGTAATAGTTGGATGAAGTTGTCCAAATCTGGCTCCAGCCGTAGCTGTCTGCCTTGAAAACGGCCCGCCTGCGGTACCTAATTTCAGGCACTACTTGTGACTTCTCTTTTATACATTACTTGCTTAGTGCCTGTAATTATCTACACAAAACCTCATGTTTGCTATAACGAACACTCGGATTCAACGAGATTTTAGGTCAGGCCCGGCGACCTCGTTGAATCCGAGTTCCACTGTACTGATAAAGACAACTCCAATTACCGCATAAATGTATCCAAATTGAGCCTTCTTGTCTTGTATGTACCATGTTGTGACTACTTTCCTGAACATTTTCTGTGTTCAGTGAAATATATGTATTTCCTGAACATTTGAAAGGGGGTGTGAGTGCAAGTGAAAGGATAAATGAAAACTTCTGTATCGTATGTGATGTGTATAAATACAATGTAAATAGGCCTACTAATTATGTGCATATTATTATTAAAATTCAAAGAACCATTTACACGTTTTGCTACTTGTTCACAAATTTTTATTATCATCACCCACATCATCATGTTCATCGAAGTCATCATCAATGTGATCATTGTCAGTTACACTCCTGGGTGTGGTCATGGACAGGAAGTCCTGTACATCTCTTTCCAGACGTTTTTGTTTCACTTTTGTCGACTCTTTTCCAGCCTTGGACCTCATTCTTATCCTCTCCAAACTGGCGAGCTTCTCACTATATTCTGAGTAATCTTTAGAATTTATGACAGTTTCTTCATCATTCAAATGTTTTTTGCTTTTCTTTGCCATCACCTTCTTCATCAAATCCTCATGAGGCAAACTGTAAACATTACAGTGAAAGTCTAGACCTTCTGCACTGAAATATTCACAAGTCAAGTCCCGAACAAGAGTGCTGTCTCGAAGAGTTGATATGTTGGAACTGTCAACATTTTCTGCAACTTCACGATTTGCCACATGAACATTAATTTGATTTTCACTGAGACTCGGTTTGATTCCATTTCCATCCTCAGTCTTAGAGACACTGTTATTTGTTAATCTGTTTGTTGACTCTGCACTTTTATACCAAGTGGTTGGCTTGTAATCAGGCCCATAGTCCGCTACCTCCAATAGTTCATTGATACGAGAGACACTGCTACCTTTGCCCTTTGACTTGACAAACGTAATGGCCGGTATACGGCCTAGAACGTGGTAGGATATCAGCAGACTTCTGGAAACAAAGGAAAAAAGAAGTCATTCATTTGTTAGTAGAGTATTTCCAAATTGTATTTGACACAACTGTTTTAATCTTCAGGAGAAGCAGTTTTAAATGCTGAACCAGTTCCGGAAAGATCACAAGACTACACATAGACGACATTTTGACAGCCGAAATTTTACATTCTGGACATTTCTTCCAATGAGGAACCAATAATCTTATCGTAAAGTACCCACAGTACGGACAACAAAACTGCTTCACACACTTGTCATTAACATCTTTAGCCTCCTACCAGCACAAATTTCAACTTTCATAAACTGAGCACTCTCAACCCAAGTGCTCCAGTCTGTGGGAGACACATTGGAATAAATAAATAAACAATAACTACACAATATCATGTCCAAACTGGGTCCATGATGAAAACCTTCGGGCCTCTCCAGAAGAGACGAAGTCACTTTTACTCGATTGCATTATATCAGACACACCTCCCTGACACATAACCCACCTCCTGCAGAGAGATGAGAAATCTTTCTGCGTCAGATGCGACTCAGATTTCACCATTATTAGACACATACAGTATAATCCACTTATATCGACATCCAATTTATCAACATAAATTTGAAATATTTTCCAATTACGAAATTTTTCCTTCAATATCTTCACTAAACAATTTTTCTTATATTTACTTTTTTTCGGCCCACTCTGCTTCATCGATATGCTTCCTGGGTACTTGGTGAAGCCCTTGAACATAAATAGGGGGGGGGGGGAGCCACACTAACGGTCGACGCATTAGTTCATTAAGTTCGCATACCCGCCAAGTAGCCTATATCGACACACCAGGCTTTAGTAGGTCATGTAGGGCCTACACAGTGTACTCAGTAGTAGTCTCCAACACAGTACAGTGCCTCACAGACGTGAGTGTCTCGGGCGCTGGGCATCACCTCCCCACCCCCACTCCCGATCGCTCTTGCGCCTCGCGTTGCTTGGACTTTGGTACCGTAACTCCAACATCCCCCCCCCCCCCTTGCCTCTTGTTAGTTTCACCAAAGATCGTAAATCTTTGGTTTCATTGTACTGTGTAGTTGTGTAAGCCTACATCACCTTAGAGGACCTTGAGATCTATTCTTAGTAATCTTAGCTTCACGTCCTCAATCACATTCATTCTCTCACCGCACGTTGCAGAAGTACAGTTGTCTTTTTACCGCTGAACTCCCCTTGTTTTTTCCTCTTTGGCTTTATATATTTTCAGACATTTTTATATATCGACATCAAATCCACTTCCCAAAGCATGTTGATATAAGCGAATTATACTGTATTAACAGAATGTCTGTACGTTGGAAAGACTCGAGGAAAGTATTTTAAATGTACAAAATTACAAGATCTGTTCCATGTCATTGATCCCAACAGAATTCTCGATTTTGTGAAGGCCATCGGCATTTTCACGAAAATGTTAATGTTAATATAATTATTTTAATATTATGCAAATTGTCATTTTAAGACTGAGATTTTAACATTTTAATCTGATCATTGACCAAAACCAAGCCATGCTCTAACTGTTGTGAATGCAACCAACTTGTGTTTCGCGTGCTCGTCACATGACCGTACGCAGTTGCGAGCACAGTAAAACTCAGAACTAACAAACTAAAACCAACTAGTCCCAGAGTCAGAGGCAAAGCAAAAGCACTAAGCTTCTGGCACACCACACTTCTCTTCAACAGTCAACAGAATCAACAAAATACATTTCTAAAGCTAAATCGCTGACTGAAATGGACATAACATTGATTGTCATTGGAATCTAAAAATAATTGTTCAAGTACCTGATTGTGCACCCTGAACGCATCCTACACAATGTATAATAATATAAAATCAAGCCCTTTCGAGGCAAGTCCCAAGTCCAAAAGATGAATTCATGGTTTGGTTTCGAGTGCAACTGCTTTACTGTCTCAGCCTCAAGAAGTTCAAAATGAATTAAAATGTATTGTAAATATCTTATTCCATTATACGAGTAAGAAAGGGAAAGTACTTAGTCGACAAGCTGTTATTTTACTTAATCTAGAAAATAAAATTTTTCAGGAGGGAGAAAACATTTTCATTCTTTTAGCAATTGTACCTACATTCAGGGTTGGTGATTTTTTTGATTTTTTTAATTAAAAATTTAAAAAATCGATTTTTAAAATTTAAATCAGATTTTTAAAATTTAAATCAGGTTTTTTTTGTGTTTTTTTTAAATGTCGACACAGTTTGGGATTTTTGGTGGCTAAAAGTATGTTCTTTTAGTGCAAAATGCATTGTCTTTATTTTAACTTAATGATTAATTTAAACAACTGCAATTTTAGAAAGCCTTAATCTGCTATCAGTGAATTATGGCTACAGACAAAAAATGAAGAAAATGTCAGTCTAAAAGGAAGGGGGGGGGGGGTAATTATGCATAGATAAACTTGCATTTTAATTTTATTACCGTGTGTGTGTGAGCACGCGCTTGTGTTTGTCTAAAAAGAAAAAGAAAATGCTAATTTCAATTATGAAAAAAAAGTAAATTGAATACTGTATTATTTTACTACTTACAGTGACAGGGGGGGAAAGCAGACTTTTAAGCAATTTTAGTCTACTAAACCTTATATCTGTTTTATAACCCAGGAAAGGAATTCTGAATGTTTAAAGATGTAAAAACAGAAAACATTTTTTTAAAGTGATTTAAATCACTGAGTTTTATTTTTAAAATCAAGTTGATTTAAATTTTAAAAAATCAACTGATTTAAATCGACCGGATTTAAATCAACCCAACCCTGGTTTTCAATTATGAAAAAAAAGTAAATTGAGAACTGTATTATTTTACAGTGACAGGGGGGAAAGCAGACTTTTAAGCATGATTATATAGTCTACTAAACCTTATATCCGTTTAAAATAAAACCAAGGAAAGGAATTCTGAAAGTATAAATATGTAAAAACTGAATACATTTTTTTGAAAAATGATTTTTATTTTTAAAATCAAATTGATTAAACATTTTTAAAAATCAACTGATTTAAATCAACCCAGCTCTGGTTTCAATTATGGAAAAAAAAGTAAATTGAATACTGTATTATTTTACAGTGAAAGGGGGGAAATCAGACTTTTAAGCATGATTATATTAGTCTTCTGAACCTTATATCTGTTTTATGAAACCAAGGAAAGGAATTCTGAATGTTGAAATGTGTAAAAACCGAATAAAAATTATTTTAAAAAAAAGTGATTTAAATCACTGATTTTTATTTTAAAAATCAAGTTGATTTTAATCAAAAAAATCAACTGATTTAAATCAACCCAACCCTGCCTACATTATGTGCCAGACATGGACTCTAAAAAAGCCCTAGAGAGGAAACTGGTCACATGCGAGATGAAATGCTTAAGAAGAGCGGTCAACAAAACAAGAAGAGACAAAATTAAAAATGAAGTCATAAGGGACACCGTGGGAGCAACACCAGTCCTACCACACATTGAAAAACAAAAGGTCAAGTGGTTCGGACACCTCACGCGGATGCCCTCAAACCATCCAGCTCTGAGAGCATACAACATTAAATATTCTGGATGGAGAGCCAGAGGAAGACCAAGGCGACGATGGAGTGAATCTGTGGCAGACACCCTTAAAGATCATGGGATGTCCCTCCTACAGGCCAGGCCACACGACTTGCTGCAGACAGACACCTGTGTCTCCCCGTGACACCCCAGGGTACAAGCGGAAGAAAAAAGTAAAGTACCTACATTATGTACTTCTTGCTTTTTTTCAATACTCAGAATTTGAATTTCGACAAAATATTCCTAGAGCACAAAAAACCCATACCACAAATTAAGAAACTGCAATTTAAACAAAATTTTCAAAATGTTGTGCTAAGTAGCCTACATCTGAACAGGTAGCCAACAACTTGTAATGTGGCCTCTAATTTCAATCAAGCGTAACGGTTCGCATTATGTGAAAAGTAACACATTCGCAAATACATACCTGAGTCTACCGCTGTTAGCAAAGAGCAGCTCCTCAACTTCCAAAGCATCAGTTCTGTCTGCATCCCAGTAAACGTTCATCCCTCCAAAATTTGGATTCATTTTTACCTGCAGAATGGAAAACAGGAAACCATAGCAAGAACCACACGTTCTTCAGTTCATTTTCATTTTTAAAATTTCATTTCTCTGATCTAGCGGCCACCAGAATTTGAGCCCTTTGGCTAGTCGATATATGCAGTTACACAGTGGTGGGGGGGGGGGGGGGGGGGGTAGCCCTTACAGATCCGGTTCAAGAAAGAACTCAGTGGGATGTGTTGTGTTCCCAGTTGGAAGATAGTGACCTATTTTCTACTGAGGAAATTTAGTGCAACTTTTAAGTTGTGAGCAGTCATGGGTGCAAAGTCTTCAGAACAAATATTGAGAGGGGGGGTGAAGGTTGCAAGCATCCACAGACGGCAAAAATACAAACAATACACATTATGTACCTCTCTCACTGCAGCTGACTACCTTGTATTCCTGAGTACTGTAAAACTATCATTTTTTGCCATTTTCTTATCCTAACAAAGTACAATATCCATTATAATTATAAACAAATTTAGATCACTCAAATCACTTGTTAAGTGAACGTTATCAGCAAAAAGAATGTTTTTACCCAGACACACTTTAGACAGCTTTTAAAGAGTAAAATTTCGAACTGGGATTCCAGATTTCAGAGAGTAGAAGTTGCACTAAGCTGCAATTGAGAGTACCTTTTCAGCCGAGTATGTTATACCAAGGTTTTACTGTATTACTCATTGTCTTGCAGTGCCCTGTACCCTTTGGTCTTGCGGCTTGAGGGGTGGGGAAACAACAACAGGTGTGGTTGTTGTGCCGCTGCGTCAAATACATACCGGCTTTTTTGCATTCCCCTCACTGTTTCACAAAAGCATTAGGTAGGCTTAGGCTATTTAAAATAGCCTTACCTAGATATATAGACCCATTATTACTTTTTGATTGGCTCTACATAACTGTATTTTTACGTTAAGTTTCACTTGTGCCAAGACTGCTGTGGAACATCTGACGCTACACAAGCAACAACAAAAATATTAACACAACCATTGCATACTTGCAGTAGGGAGTCTCTTAAGTTGAACCTAAACTACTTGACTTTAACAAACGTAAAGAAGAAGGGGTGCTGGACCCCACAAAAACATCAAACTCAACCAAATATCAACTCAGGCAAGTTCAACACAAATGGAGTCGACTGTATATAAAAATATACACCTGGGTGAGGAAATAAAAGAGGTACAGGGTAGTAAACCTTGAACAGCATCAGATGAAGTCACAAACGAAAACCTCAGAAAGAAAAAGGCAAAAGCTCTCTCTCCTTAAAAATTGAATGAATACTTTTCTTATCTTATACTATCAAGCAAGTCTAAAAATCCAGCAGTCTTTAACCCACCAAAATAGCTAGCCAGTAAAGAAGCCTTACTGATGTGACTTTGATCTTTTACTGTTCATCTCTCTTACAAAATGTCAGGGGAGATTACACAGGAGCACTTATCAGGGCATGTTAGGCCTTGTGGAAGAAAACAGCACAAGATAATTAATATCTCTCTCCCTCTCTTTCCCTTTCTCAAAACACAATCAGAATGATTTTAGTGCAGTGAGGTTACTGAACACACAGTGCTACAAATGAAAAAGAGAGAGAGAGAAAGAGAGAGAGAGGGAGGAAGAGAGAGAGAGAAAAAGAGAGAGAGTGTGTTTACACAGGGGGTTGTCCCAGCACATGAGACATATTGTATTTACTTGGCCTAAAGTCCTGTCTTGTGCGTTTGCGCGAGTGCACCTTTAAGTCTAACTTTCGCAACGTCTACTGCCATTGTTAATGACCAAGACAAATTTCTCCCTGCGAGATGAATAAAGATTGTCATTGTCATTGTCAAATTAAAATTTGCAGTTTCCAAGGACTCTCATTCAAGCTTTGGAAGTCATCATACTTTGACGGCCATTTTCCCTTGACGAGCGCCTGATTCCACCACGCCGCGACACATATATAATATTGTACGGTTACAAAAGCTGATGAACAAATGGTAAGACAGGAACACTTGCCGATGTAATAAGCACTTGTTTGTCTTGGAGCTCTTGAGCCAACTCCCCGGTGTTGACGATTTGTGTGATCTTGTCATACAGCACGTGACCCAACTGCCGGGCTCTCGTCCTCTGAGCTTCATTCTCTCCTTTCTTGACAGAAGCCATTTTCTTCCCCAAAGGTTCCAACGGCTGTTTGAGTAAAGAGAAGTACATTGATGTAACAAAGGCCATTTAGAACAGGGTAAAGGAAAGAGGAACAATAGATGGACAAAGAAAAGAAGTAGAACCTCCAGAGGTACCCATCTCTAATGGTTATAAGGAACAAAACAAGCAATAATGCTGAGAACAAGCAGTAAAAAAAACCAACAACCTGATGATAGGAGGAGCTTAAGAACCAATGAAGACAAAAAAAGGCAAAAGAAACTGGAAATAGAAAAACGAAAATAGAGGGGGGGGGGGGGGGGGGTTATTATAATAAACTTGTGCAAGACTTAGGCCTATAGCAACAATGACAATAAAATAAAATAATATTGACTAAAAAAAAGGGAAAATTTCATAGAAAGTGGCGCACACCATTACGACTACTGTCTCGTTACAAACACTGTAAAAACCTTCAAAGAGACACATAAAAAATTTTAACTGATTGGTATAGTTCACAAACTGCCATTTAACTACTCCACACCATAGTATGTTGAGTAGACTTATTCACATTCAACACCTCCTACTAAACTAAGCTCTTGGGGAATCCACTTAAACCGAACAATGTACAGTTAATCCAAAAACGCAGCAAACTGATTTTCAAAAATCCTCGTCTTTATAAGGGCACTACGGATTATCCAAAATGCTCCTATTTTAAAACCGAACAGCACTCCAATGGTTATGTCATCTAAATCTTAACAACTAGCAACCATCAAGTAACACAAATTATCATGTCTTACACACTTCAAAATAACAAAACAGAAGAAATGGACATGAGAACGCACATGAGTTGATTGCGGGCCAGAGACCGGCATTGCCAGTGGACTGTTTGTCTACGTTTATCACACATATCAATAGGCCTACACACTGTCACTTATTGTGTACAACCACGAAAGGATAGGGCATGTACATTTATCATACTCCCATCAGTTGGTTCTGGACTACTGCCTTTGTAAAGCTAGCTCATGTGTGTTACACCTGAACACGTAGCATTGGGCTCTCTCACTTCTCTAGTCTTGAGTGAAAGTGCAATAAATATACAGCGTGCAGTACTCTCCGCTTTTTCATCAGTACTGTGAGGCTGTTTGGCAGATTAATAATAAGCTAAGATGACAAAGCCGAAGACAAAGCACAATGCGTACAGCCTGCAGTTCAAATTGTAGTTACTGAAGAAAGAGGTAGAGAAAAAGCATGGCATTCCCAATTATATGTTTTCGACAGTCATTGTTGGCTGTTTGAGATATCTCTTTAAACTGAAAACACAGCTCAACTGAAGAAATTTCGGCATTATTTCAGTTTTTGGTTTAAGCAAACTACTGTATTCTCCTGACTACATTTTACGACCACGAACATGACAGACCAGAGAAGTTCATAAAATTACCTGAGGCCTGTTCTTTCCCTCATCCTTTTCCCCTTCTTCCTCAAAGGGAGATATCCCGAGTAGCAACCACAATACAATTACAGAACAAGGCTTGCTGCTTTACTAGAGTTTTATTTATCACCAACCCAGCTAGCAAAACGTTTTCCAAATTTTTTCTTCATTGGGGTAGAATTTTATTTTACAAAGAAGGGAAGGCAATTTTCAAACATTACAAAGACATTTCCACATTTTATTCTAATAATATGATTAGAATCAGCGCTGTAAGTTGTTCAAAGCTTAAATGAACATGTTTCTAGTCCAGGGGTTATTTCTTTTTTTTTTAAAGAGAGAAAACAGGGCCTCATTTTCTGTATGGTATTTCTGTTAAATCAAATCTTACAAAAGCTGGGTTAGGATGGCTAGACTACTATTACTATCTAGTTACAAACAAGGTAAACCCTCAAAAAGGCACATAAAACTTTTTTTTAAACTTACCTCTGCTACGTGTGGCTGGTACCATTTTCTCCTGAAAAAGATGTCCAATAAAGTACATTTTGATCAGAAATTTTTATAGAACAGAACACAACTCTACTTCTACACATACTTCTAGAACTACAGATATGAAGTATTAGTATTATTTTCAAAATTTGTACAAATTATATACATCAATACATTTGTAAATTATATGATTTGATTAAACTGTTAAATTGAAGAGATCCTGCTCCAGTCACTTCCACTATCAATTCAGTCAGGACTTCAGGGTATTGTATAAAGAGCAAAACTTTGTGCAGAAATTTTAAACCAATAACACACATAACTTGACAACAGTTCAGGATCAAGAATGCCAGGAAAGTAATGTAGTACTACGGTAACAAAAAAACCCACCAGAGTAAAAAAAACAACAAGAGTATTGTCTTGCTGTCTCTCCTGTCTCATGCTCAGGTATAGTGGTGTCCTCCAAGAAGCAACCCCCTTGGGAAGTAGCCTTTGGTTGATTTTAGGCAGAGATTGCTGATATTGCTGCTAACTGAATTTTTTAATATTTTTTTTTAAGGGGGGGGGGGGGGGGGTTGATTGCCCACCCACCCAACCACTTCAAATACACACACTCTCACACATGAGCCCTAATCATGAGATGTGGATGCTGTTACACGGTGAAGTAACAAAATAGGCGGTATCAACTTTCAAGTGAGCCCATGCTCAAACAAAGGGTGGTATTGTTATAATATGCACAGTGATTAAGATTTTTACCCCCCGATCAAAAGACTTAAGAAAGATGGTTCTTGGCGAGAGGGTATAAACATTACTGAGCTTCTGTACTAGGTACAGTGCATTTTTGGCCCGAGAAAGTGTTGAGATGAGATATAACAAGAGATGAGGGCACACACTGAAATTATAGACGGTTCTCATTGTTCACACTGTTTTTTACAAATTATGGCAACAAGGGTTCCTGTTACAATGGGATTATTTATATGAAAATGTCCTTACACTATCTCAAGTTCCTGTTATAGCTTTATTGCTGATAAGTAGACACCATTGTGTTATAATGCATTTTTCTTGTTCATTTTTTTCGATTTTACATAAAGTTCAACATTATATCTATCACAAATCATTAGTTTTGGAAATAGAGTTGAACCTGCTATGACAGCCACCTGTACAAACGACGACTTTACATTTTCCCCTCTTGCCTTATATATTTCTTTATAATTCAACTCACTGACTACTGGCCCCTTTCACCAGTCACTAACGCTGAGTACTAGCATTTTTGGGGGTATTTCAAAACACCACCACAACTCTCAGAATTACCCTATTGTAATTATTTTTTGACACAGTAAAGTTACTTTCAAACTTAATCTATTGCAAAAAATTTAAGTCGTCTAGGTCTAATATCTTAATTCTTATGATTGTTTCAAAATTGGCATGAATTCAATTTTTCGAAAAATTTCCAGAGACGTGACAGATAGAATGAAATTCACAACAACAACAAAAATAATAGTTCAAAGTGTTCTGTTTTGATTTGTATCCATGTGCGAGTGTTTGGTGAAAATATAAAAGCTGATATGTGCGTTTATTCAGACCCATACACTGAATTACATGAGACAGTTGTAGGGAACGAAGTTGTGATTTCGTCGCGCGAACAACAACACCAGTACTTGTGCTAGATCTAGCCCTAAAACTACGACTCGGGCCGTGTTTGGGTACATATCCAGGGTCCTAACTATCAGACACATAATATCCTGAGTCACTAGAACTGGCAAAACAAACAGGAGTATCAAAAACAGCGAAATTATAATGTGATTCTTGTTCATGCGACCGTTACTTCGACGCGACTGTCGGATTACTATCAGCTGTGTAGAAAAAAAACATAGCGCGGGTTCCGGTCAGGTCGACCCCAGATGAGGTGACGTGTCTTCACCTTCAATTACTTAAAAAGTTACCATGAAACTTCCGCCAAACTCGGCACGAAACGAAACAAGTGGCAAAACTAGCACTGGAGTCTGTTCCCGTACATGTGACAGGAACCATAGTCAGTGAGTTAACTGTGTAAAACGGTCACCTGTCCAACGCGGCCGAGGCCACCTTATTTTATCTACCTTCAGCCAAATTTACCTGCTCGAGGTGGCCAGGGGTGGTCTCCACTCAGTTATGTTATGCCCCCCATATTAACCCATAATTTGATGTTTTGCATAAGCTTTGAAATTTTCTTGAATACAATTAAACAATTGATTTACCCTAGATAGATCTAGATCTAGATCTAGTTTTAGTCATTACATGTGTTCTGCAGCTGCAGCCAAAAATGGCAGTTTGACCCTCAAAACTCAACAAATCAGGGCGCAGAAGTGAAAGTAAAAATTTACCAAATCAAGAAAAGGAATGAGGGGATTATCAAATAATAAAAGTCATACTTGGTTTTCGCCCCTTTCTTGTTTATTAGTTTCTGCATTGTCTTTCCCTCAACATGCTCCGCGAAACTTTTGTTGGAGTTGGACCTTGACGTATTCAAACATCGCCAAAACACATTCAACACTGTTGTGGCGGAAGGGTGCACCATGCTTGGTCTCCATAGTTTGCAGAACATTGTGGCATGAGGATAGTAAAGAGATGAAAAAAGCGACGTAGGCCTTAGGCTCAATTGTCAAACAACAGGAACCCTCGTCTCATCGCAGCATGAACATGAAGTCGGTTGACAGAGTAGACAAGGCTCGTTCGCTGCTGTTGTTGTGTGTTGTGTGCTGCTGACTGCCGACTGACTGGACTGCTGTGTGCTCTTTTCTCCGAGTCGAGTAATCAAGCAGTCTTTGACAGTCTGACACAGTTTGATTTCTTCGTGAAATTTCCCATTCGCTCAGGTGTGTTGACGAACAATACAAAATACAAACAACACCCAAAAAATGGGTAAATGACAAGTGTTGAGTATTGGAGACCTGCTGTTTGGTGTTGTTGTTTTTTGTTGCGGTTTTTTGGGGGGTTGTTGTATTCGTTTTGTTTTGTTTTTGTTGTTTGTTGTTGTTGTGTTTGTTTGTAAGTTGAGGTTGTTTTTTGTTGGGGGGGGGGGGGGTTTGGGGGGGGGGGGGAGAGATCGTCTCTAGACCATTTCTATGAGATTGACGCTGTCAGATTTGTAAAAAAAAAAAAATAGGGGGTGTGTATGATAGTGTCCAATTTTCTATTATGTACATAATTAGTGTAACATGTAACTGTTACAGATATAAATTCACGGTAAATAGATGTATGTCAAGCATCTGAAAGCAATTATTATTTTAGATATAATGGTGGTGGTGAGTGAGGATGTGAGATGCAGCTGAGTTTACTTTTTTAATCTTCCTCTGTTCCAGTGAGTCATGAGGAATGATGCATGGCACCCTCTATTCCGTTCCCTACTGGAACCATCTTTAATTAATGTCACCATGAAGTTCCAAAATCGTGGGCATAGTCTCTGCTAAGGTGGCCTTGTTAATGTTAGCCCATTCTATCGGGCAAAGAAAAGTAAAGAGAGGACCTTTAGTAGGTAGATAATCCAGTAGCAGATATGTTGGGGTCTTCGTACGCGAGTTGTAGGTAGCAGGTTCACTAACAGGTCCATAGACTTACAAAATACAGTAGTCATATTCTATTCCCTACTCATCTACACCAATTATTCCTTCAAAATCTTATTAAACTGAAGTTGCTGAGATTCCAACACAGGATCCTCGAACCGAAGTCGAGAGGGAATAATATACACACTATATTGTATCTCCTTGCCTCAGGGGGAGCAGTGGAGGCCTGCTGTTAAAGTTCAAAAGTAAGAGTGCTCACTTTTTGTGGAGAACTTTTCATGTGCAAGAATGTTTAGCAGTGGAAGTGAGATATGATAAGAACTCTTATACGGGGTGCCCACTACGGATGGGATCGGCCGATTGGGCCGATCGCCCGACTCGATCGCCTCAAAAACAAACGTGTTTGTTTTCAGTTTCAGACGATCGAGTCGGGCGATCGGCCGATCCAGCTGTAGCAGGCACCCCGTATTATTCTAATTCTAAACTTAGTGGCCCCTTTATGACTATGAGTCCTTCAACATGAACTATAATTTAAAAGGCGTTTTCACGATTCTCTACCCACTGGGCTTAGTCCTACCAGTAGCAGTGCCTCGTGGGCTCAGTCCTATAAGTAACCAACATTATATCAAACTTTTATATATATATTATATATTTTAAATTACCTACTGAATTGAAATTGGTTTTGAACTCAAGCCGTACATAACAGAATTAGGGAAAAGCATTGCAAAACAAGAAGCCATTTTGAAAGAGCAGAGCTTTGGGAGCTACGTGAAGATCTGATAATCATTAAATCTTTTTTCAAGTACGAAACGTCTTTCTCCCTTTGACTGGACCAATATCCCATCGACCACACTCCTATTAAAGAATATCAACATCCATTTCAAGGAAACTTCATTGGTAATATGGTATAGTGGTAAGAGGAACAAGACTAGAGTATCACAAAAGTGATGGCTCAAGTTCTCTGTATGAAGAAGAAATAAATGTTGTTTTTCTCTCTAAGTGCCTCGTTGACTCTCGTTATAAAGGATCCAGTAATAATTTCAAGGTAAATAAGAAATTAAGCTTAATCTATGATTTTGGTGTTTTGTTTATTTCTCTTTGTTATGTCCTCCCTTGATGATTTTGTTGAACATCACCTCTAGGTCTTACTTGATCAAAAATCGTATCAGGTTTCTTTCTCTAGCGCTAACGATGTTGACAGCTCGGCATTGGTGATCAGAAAGAAAGGGCTCTAGGCTAACTCGCCCGCTGTGTTGTCCCCCACCACACCACACCCTGTGGTGCGTTCCGTCTGTTTGCACACATCACACATTCGCTCAATCCATCACAGCACTGTGACCTCTCCATCCCCGCATAGGAGAAGAGAGAGGCATGGTAGGCTAGATCCCACTGGCCTATCGCGTGACGCAATCTGCTTGTCTGCGCATTCCACACCCTCCCCACTCATTCGCTCCGGCCTTCGTTGTGGGCTCTCCCATTCTTTCTTTCGCTAGATCACCAACAAGTTTCTCAACTGGCGAGGTTTTACATATATGTTTAAATGGCCTATGCGCTGCAAACAGCAGCAGCAATATTCCGGTTTACCCGACTCGCGTGTTTGTTTGATTGCGCTATAGAAGTATTTTATTTACAAAGGTAAAGAAGGAAAAAAAACGGAGTTTTAGAAAAGCGTCTTTACAGTATACTTCTCGTTATTTCAGGACTCGTTATAAGTGGACTCCATTGTATTGGGGAAAGAAGAATATAATGGTACAAAACTGCTGAAAATGTATCACATTCAGTCTTTGGGTTGATATGGAAGGGAAGTGCAAGCAGTAGTTTAACAAGATAGAGTGATCAGGCTATGACTACTATGAGGCACAAGGGCAAAGGCTCACTGAATTGATAGCAACAACAAAACAAAGACAAAGAAATTCAACAGTCAATAGCAACCTTTACTGTCAACTGTTTAATAATAACTTCTCTCTTCCTTAGTGCTGCCACTGATAACAACTCTGTTACAAAATTCAACAATATATGCCAAATTAAAACATTTGGAAAAGCACTGTTGTACAACAATTCAAAAACATGGTGGTTGTATGGATATTGTCTTTTGAATTCTTAAAAAATACCCATCCTAAAAGGAAGAGGAACATCACTACACCAGAAAGACATCTGGAGGAATGGGTAGATCAATGTGGCTTCCACACATCAAAAAAGGAAACTATCACACACGAATATTCAAAAGGAGGTATACATAATACATGTACATACAATAAAACTTTTACCCATCACCAGTTTACATGATAAAAAACAACTGACTCATAAAATAAACTTGAATAATCTACAATCAAAATAAAATCACGTCGACTTGTGCTTTATTTGTTGGCAGCAGGTAAAAGAACTTGAAGCTTGGATGTTTACCAAATATCTTTTTGTTTGTTTGTTTTAGTAGATGTTTTACGGCGCTTGCAACTGCAAAAGGTAATATGACCGCCAAGGGGTGGATGTCAACACAGAAGTCCTTACTGGGAATCAGGCTTACTCTGCTCACTTCACTAGCTTCAACAACACAAAGTCTGCTTCGACTATCTAGGCACCCCGGAAATAGCGGGTCAAAAGAGTGTGACAAACATACAAAAGAAGCAGAGGAAAAATGACAATAGTAAGGATTAGGAAAGAAAAAGCAACAGTTCCCTGTTGCAGTTCAGGCACAGTTATGAGCATGACATTGATGAATCAGCCCATTTACAATTCTACTGTGCATAAGAACATGTTAATGTCCCCCCTTTGGGAATGGCATAAAGACACTTCAGTCAGTAGCACCGCTCCGGGTGGGTACCTAATACCTTTAGAAGGCTTTAAAAACCAGAAAATGACTTAAAATTTGTTCAGACAATGAAGCTTATGAAATATTACGAAGATTAATACAACAGCTTTGAAAAATACCCCTTTTCTTGTGCTCAGTACCTGCGATCTAAAAACAAAAAATCTCTCTGTGTGTCACACAATATCATTAAAAGAATATGAATATAACGTTTAATATCAATAACATGTAAAATAATACTTGTGTGGCTTATGATTAAGGGTTGCTTTTCTATTTTCTTAAATTAAGGTTAGACTAGGCTAAACCATTCACCCTGCCCACAGACCAGAAACATTTTGCAGCGAGAAAAAATTTTCGTCGGAATGATAGCTGTGTAAGAGAAAATAACTGTCAAATATCGCAGAATTTGAATCCACCTCATTTACTTGCAACTTGAATCCATCTCATTTACTTGCAACTTGAATCATTAAACAAGTGTCAGGAGGTCACTTGATAAAAGAAGTGTTTGCAGATAATGAGAAGTACTAAAAATGTAATATCATCAGGATGAAAAAGTTCACCCTCAATTCTCTGTTCGAGATGCACTTAGCATCCTCCAAATAGTCTTTTTTAAAGGATAAAAGTAAAGATGTTTCCGCATCCGATCCAGACATTGGGGATAGCCTTGTTAGTGAGACAATTTCCTGGGCCTTCGGCATATTGTGGTAGGGTGGCCAGTTCCTTTCCACGTCACCTTTACTTACCCAACTCAGTCAGGTACCCATTACAGCTGGGTTGGCAGGAGGGGGCGAAAAAAAACTGTGTCCGAACCGAGGCTCGAACCCAGACTTTTCGCTTCGGAGACGAGTGCACTAACCGCTTCGCCACCACACCCCCTTTTCAAGGATAATGATGGAAAATTGCACACCATGCCCATTACTTCCCCTGGTCTGTGGCCCAGCACCTGAATTCCACAAACATGTTTTCAGCATTTTCAAATTCAGTCACCTGTCCAGACTAGCATCTCTGGTGTACCAGTTACGCTTTTCAACATGGCACAAAAAGATATGACGGGTTCAATTCTTGAGTAGGGTTGTTCGACCAGTTTATCTCTCTGTTAGGATGTTGCATCTCACTCAACCCAGATTATTCAAAGCAGCCCCCCTCTCAAATTATCTAAATAATGTTCTAGAGGTAAAACAATCACAATCATTCCCTGCCTGGCTTTGAGCACAAAATTTCAATTCATCTAGTCCACATAAAAGGCAACTCAAACCGGTGTTGTTACGACAAATCTGTGATTCAAGCAACCATGATCACCGGTAAATCTACCATCTATCAAAGGCCCCATGAGCCCCATAAATAAAGTAAGAAACTGAGTTACTGTATCTATTATATCTTGAAATTGTTCATCTTGAGGTTGACACTCACAGTAAATGCTTTTGTTACAAAACACTGTTGTTGGCAATAGCTACTGAACCTTGCTGCGGAACAAACAATATACATGTATGCACCATCCCTCAAAAATTTCATTTTAAAGACCACAAAAACAATGGACGGAAAATAAAATCTGTTTAGAAATACAAGCATTCTTTGCATAATTCAATGCACATGTACCTAAACGAACGACACCTGTAATCCTTTATCTGTATCTTGACCTCAAAGATCATCGGGGACTCAAGACAATGGAAGAAGAGACAACACCACGAGCAGCATATGAACAAGTTTGAAAAATTCTAACACAAATGTGAATGCTTTTTTTTTTCAATTAACAATCTGATTACACGTTACAGTATCATAATCAATTATTTATGACTTCAAAATCTTGGGAAAATGAGAAAATGAAAGACGACCCTTGACCCCCCAAACAATGGCCTCACATCTCAACAGGAGCAAGATGACATAATCAGGCCTACTCCCAGCACACACTCACACACATACACATGCACACATACATATGTGTCTATCTGCATTTGCGTGTGTGTGTGGGTGAGTATGTGAGTGCATGTGTGTGTAAGTGTGAGTGTGTGTGTTTTTGGGGGAGTGTATGTGCATATATGTATTATGCGTGTGTGTGTGTGCTTGAGTGTGTGTGTGCATACGTATTATGCGTGTGTGTGTGTGTGTGTGTGTGTGTTTAAGCTGAAAAAAACACCTTCAGTACAACAATATATAAATAGTTGCAATGTAGTCAGACTATCTGCACAGCAATTTGTCCAGACCACAATAAAACTACTTTTGTCATTTTTTTAAAAAGCTGACGAAAGTTCATCATGTTACAACAAAACTTGTCTTTGGTTCTGACATATTCCAAAAGTAAAATACCAGTAAGAATAAGCAGACTCACCAATGAAATCTATAACTAGGACAAACATATGGCTCCCCCCTTCCACCCCCTCCACATACTCCCCGCCCTTTTCTTCCTTCTCAATTATGTCTGACAGAAGGAAAGTTATATCTCCTAAATATCAACCACAGAAAAAAAATTCTGACATTTGTGCGAGGTCCAGAAACCTCCACTATGGAGAGTACTAAGAATCGCTGGTAGTGGTAGAAGATCTACCAGCTAAGTATGTGATTACATTATCTGTAATCCCCACAGTGCAAGTGCAAAAGACTGGTCACCGGTGCATATGACTCACCAAAATAAATATTTACAAAGCAACATGAATCTATAAACTCTGAAGCTTTTGAGAAGATTATGTGTGACACCATATTTACCTTAAAAGAAGTCTAGCGGGCTCTTAGCAGGCAAAATGAGCACATTGAGAGAAAACACAAATCTTAAACATTGACATTCAAAATAAAAACTTTAAAAATGTAATCACCTGATCATCGTGTTAAAGCCTTGCACTACCCACTCATGCAGCATACCAATTTAAAGCTAAATAAATTCTGCATTATCCGACAAATTAACATTTCATCTATGCTAAGAGACACCCAAGATATAGTCACTCAAAATTGACTTTTAAAAATCAGGTGTGTTGGCGCATGTAGGCCTATTGAGGGGCATCAACCGTGGTAGAATGGGCATGTATTGAATATCAAATGGAAAGAAAATATTATTGTCTCTGCAATGAACAGAATCTTCTGATAATAATAATACTTTCAAACAGAAGGAAAAACAGAGCAGGCACAAATATCACTCAAAACAAGGACTGAAAGTTACATGTGCTTATTAACATGATTTTGATTTAATTTAGAATTTATTGTTTTCACGTAGAGCTTGAAAGCTTTTTGGCACATGGACTGTGTTAGTTAGATTTTGAACATAATGATATGTCAGTGAGGCACAGAGGCCACAAAACAGCCATGGTTCAGGGTGGTCTGGGATGGAATAAACAAAACCTCCCTCGTGAGAATCACCTGATCGTTTCACTTGGTGGCCTACATTTCGCAAGTGCTGGAGTGTCATATCTTACTCTTAATATTTTCATTATTGTGTCATTCAAATAGACATCTCCATGCATAGCAAATCTTTTACTCACAGAGCCAAATGCCACTAGACAATTCTTGGAAAACCAAATCATATCAACGTTGGAGTGGTCACCAGTTAAGGGCCCCGATTTGAATCCTACAGGTACGTGAAACCCCATGACACAGTAGCTGAAATAAAACGACTTTGCTACAAATTCAGACCTTTTGTTTGCAATTCTCTGTGACATTTGGGATGAAATGACAGATAATTATGTCCAAAATTATATAGAGTCAATGCCAAAACTAATAGATCCCAGGCAAAATAACAATGAGCACATTTAATGTTAAGTCAAAATTTTGCACAGTATTTGTGATTGCTCTGTTTTCCGTTTTGTTTGAAACTATAGTAATAAAATATTGTTTTTTGAAGAAACAAAATTCTCGATTAATTGGCAATGCAATGTAGTCCATTCTAGCAATATTGATGCTCTTCAATACATGACATGCGCAAGCACAGTTTTAAGTTTCTTTGGCTTAGTTTTTTAAGGTCAGTTTGGAGTGACTATATCTCAAGTGTCTCTTACCATAGAAGAAATATATGTCAGAAGATGCAGAATTTATTCAGCTTTAAACTAGTATGCTGAATGAGTGAGCAGTGCAAGGCTTTAACACGATGACTGGGTGATTACATTTTCAAGTTTCTTTTGGACGCCACTGTATTACATAGGAACTTCAGTTATGGGTGTCAACTCTTGAAGATGTAGGCCATTGTACAAATTATAGAAATCATTTCAATGTATTCTAGATATACTCACATTCATAAATATTTGAAAACATTATTGTCAGTAAAATGTCATATTCATTTGTCACAGGAAAAGTAAGCATTGCTTTTTAAAACTTTTTGTCTTTTCAAACAACATGTCCAGTGCAGAAACTAACCACCATAAGGATAAAAAGACAAAATTTCTTACTTTAGAAGCAGAACTTGAGTCTTTAATCCAGAAAAAATCTGATTAACATATCACTAAAATCAGAAAAATGAAATCAGAATTTTCTGAGAACACCCTCCAAACAGGGGCAACTGTCACAGTTTTTTATATTTTATTTTGCAAGGGTTTTTATTTGGTTCACATTTTGACACTGAAGAGACAAGTAACACACACTTATATCCAGAAAGAGCACTTCACCAGCTTTGGTTGAGAAATTCGGGAAAGACTTGTTTAGTGAGCTCCTTTTTATTTACTTTTCCCATGGCATTCCGTGGAAGAGACTCAAGGCATTTGATCACAGTGGGAAGCTGGTAACTGGCAAGATGCTCCGACCCCCACTCACGTAGCTCTGACAGTTCTATGGTCTTGTCTCCTCCAATAACCAGCACTGCAGCAATCTGCAAGGATCAAGATTATATATATTATACGTGTGCGTGTGTGTGTGTGTGTGTGTGTGTGTGTGTGTGTGTGTGTGTGTGTCTGTGTGTGTCTGTGTGTGTCTGTGTGCGCGTGTGTGTGCATGTGTGTGTGTGTGTGCATGTGTATTTGTGTGTGCGTGTACTTGTGTGTGTGTGTGTGTATGTGTGTGTATGTGTGTGCGTGGGGTGTGTATGTGTGTGTGTGTGTGTGTATGTGTGTGTGTGTGTGTGTGTGTGTCTGTGTGTGTGTGTGTGTGTATGTGTGTTTGTGCATATTTAGTATAGTCAGTGACGATTAAGAAATCTTATCAAGGTGGAAGAAAAGTATAACAATTAGAGTAGACAAATCTCAAAATTACAAAAATAAACATCTGATTTCAATACGCTTCTAAGATAGATTGATGCAGACTTTGTCAACAAATTTCAATTTCAATTCTCTCAACATCCAGTTTACACACTTGATGCAATACTGCAAAGAAACATGCCCCAAAATTAGAGAACAATCAAATGAAATCAAGAAAATCGAAAGGCAAACTTTAAAATGGTTCCTAAATCTTTTTTTTGTGATGTTAGCAAATGACAATACACAGTGAAGAAACCTGATATTTGAACATTTGAGGATAAATTTTAGCTTCTTTATGAACTTTCAATTATACTGAAATTACATTTGTTCGTATCATAATAATTTATTAGGAAATTTTTTTAGAACATAGTCATTAACTGTAAATGAGCACCGGGACTAGTACAGTTGAACCTGTCTACAACCATCACTCAAGATCGCTATAAACAGTGTCATTACAGACCAGTGGCCATTATGGATAAGGTCTGTGTTATGGCTACTTACAAGACTTGACAAAGTCCACAGACGGTTTAAAACTGATACCTTTATTTCATCTTTTCATTTCATTTCCATCAAACTTGTTCTCTATCATAAGAAGAGCTTCTTTGTATTAATTGAATGTACACTTTGCAAAAATCTTTTGAGGTAAGTGAACGCTATGTTCAGGTCTTAAGGCCAGCTTGTCACAAATTTAACTGACCAGAGACAGGTTAGAGGATAGGAAAAATGCAATGATGTCACAGAACAGTGGCTATAAGTACAGGCGACAGCTATGTTCAGGTGAAGTGATCTTTAAGGCGGGGTGGACGGTCAATACGTAAAATGAAAATAGATTGCTGCATTACAGTAAAAATAAATTTTATTTTTATCAATTCGGTGCAGTAAAATTTAATTCAGTAATATTAATATCTTATGTTACTGGGACATAGATCTAAAAACCTTTTAGCTGTAGAACTTATAACAGCAACAAAGAAATGATAATTCCCTTTGAAAACTCACTGCTAGATGAACTGAGCAAATAAAGTACAGTCAAACCTGCGTAAAATGGCCACCCATTGTCAAGGAGAAAAGTGGCCGTATAAAACAGGTGGCCGTCTTAGGCAGGACTGGTCAAAATGAAGAAAGCAAACTATTCCCTTCTGAGGTCCAAACCTGGGCTGATCTCGGGATTACGACTACTGTAAGAGTAATTCAAGAGGGTTTTTGTTTTCTTTCAAAAAAGGGGGGTGGGTGGTGTAAGAAGTTTTTTTGTGTTGTTGTTTAGTTGGTGTAGCTTTGGGTTAGCTTTTTTTGTTGCCGATTTTGTGCAAGGGTATAATGAACGAAATAATGTTTTATGTAAGTAAGACAATGAAGACCGAGTGCCACAGTAAAACAAACACACGGGTCACCATCACTTGGAGAACGAGCGACGCATCTGTTACAAGTTCAAGTCAGTGCCCAAAGTAACTTTGTTACAGATTAGGTAAACAAAACAGTGACCGGTCACCTCACACACAATTTGTGCATGAATTGTGGGCGGGGCTTACAGGTTATGACGGATCACGTTTCCCTCACTAGCAGTTGAAAATTTATTGTTAGGCCTACCCAATGGTCAACTCGGGTAAACATTCATTGGAAGGACTAACAATAACGACAAGTGAATGAATTATGATGGCCCATCTACAGCGTGAGGGGCCAAATCAAAATTTATGACAAAACATCGGGTAATAAGTGACAACGCCTGGCCGCCTGAGGCAGGTAAATTTGACCGTGGGTTGATAAAATAAGGTGGCCGCGGCCGCGTTGGACATATAACCGTTTTACACAGTTAAATTATATAGAAAAACACAAGGGGGAAAATGGAAAATGGCCGTTTGTACATGTGGCCATATTATACAGGTGGCCGTCAAGGCAGGTTCGACTGTATCATCTTCACAAACACATATCTCGAAAAATAGTCAAATGCTAAAAGGTCCCAAAATCTCAACACTTTTCTACTTTTCAAGATTTCGCTTAGATTTACAGTACAGTGAGAAAATCTTACCTTCTGACCCCAGGTGAGGTCAGGCAAGCCAACCACAGCACAGTCCTGTATGTCCGGGTGAGCCAGCAGGTGGCGCTCCACGTCCAGTGCGCTGATCTTGTAGCCCCCGCTCTTGATCACATCCACTGAGGTGCGGCCCACGATTCTGTACGACTCGTCCTTGTAAATGACCGTGTCACCTTCGATTCATCAAAGTTGTAGAAGGCCATAAATGTCAACCACAAAAGAGAAATGTTTAAGCTTCTTCATTCAGTTTTATCAATTATAAGTGCTCAGATTATATCTTGAGCTAAGTATGAGATTGGATTCAAGTCAGAGATTTATTTTGGCTTCGTTTTGTGTGGACGTTTAACATCTGTATAAGCATAGCGAAGGACCTTTTGAGATTAGAGCAATAGGTCCTTGCTCAGGACACCAGTCTAAAATAAAAACTTTTCAAGGAGAAAGTTCAGGGTACCGATCTGATTTGAACCACTCGATGGATGGAGTTTGAACCATAGCCACTGCTTCAATCAAAGACAACTTCCTAAAAAATATCAAAATCAACTCTAGCAAAGCTGTTGTATCATCTTTTAACTCCTACTTTGACATTCAAATTTCAATGGCATCAACATCTCACTTTTTCTTTTTAAATTTTACACATTTAGGCCACACTCAGAAACTTGGTCAATTCTCTTTTCATCACCACAAGTGATCTATCATGGCTTTGCTTTTCCTTATTGACAGAGATGGATTTACCTGTTTTGAACCATCCATCTTTTGTAAAACTCTGCGCCGTAGCCTCTGGTTTGTTCCAGTACTCTCTGAACACGGATGGACCTCGCACCAGCAAGTCTCCCAGCTCCTCTTCTGATCCTGGAGAAAGCAAACAGCTCAATAGTTCTGGAAAACTAAATAACTTTAATATATATATTATATTCTAAATACAACTTACCAGCCACAATACAAACTTGTACTCATCTAGGGAGTACAGGTGTAACCCACCTAGCCACTAGTTTGAGACCTATGTCGATATTTCTCTATATTCAGAGTGTACGAGTGTAAAACACCCAGTCACTTCGAATAAGGCATGAAACATGTCACTTCAGAAAGGGTTAAGCAGAAAAAAAAAAAGATAATAATAATTCACACCAAAGTTAAATTACATGCACAAACATACGTTAAAACACACACACACACACACACACACATACACACACACACACTCACGCACACACACACACAAAAACATATACAACACACATACAGACACTTAAATACACACACAGACACTTACACACACAAGCACACACACACATACACACATACATATATACAAAAGTGCACACATGCACGCACATTCACACACACAAATAGGTTGACATTTTGACAACCTCTTCTTTCGGCAACAAATGTTTTAACCACTTTAGTCTTAGCACAAAATGTTCTAAAACAAGCATTGACTCAACCGACACACAGCCAATAAGTGACCAGAATGAGGAAAATATGTTCTACCAAAAGACAAAGTTAAGTTCACTTTCCAAAATCAATCCGGATTAAACCAGCACAAGAAATCTTGCCTGCATCAGTAGGTGAGGACCCGAGACATCCATATATAGATGGGGACAATCACACCACTCACATGAGCTTCTACAATGAACTCTATGACATGATGTATCTATTAGTCAGTTTTTTGCTTGCAGAATCAGGAGTTCAGCCTCTACAATACCTTTTATGAGACTGTACATCGTACCGATGTTTGAACATGACCAATGACAGCTGACAAAAGGGAGCAAGAGCAGTACAATAGAATTAGAGCAGTCATCCAGAACTAAAAACTTCAATATACCATCACTGTCACAAACCCTGCATTACAAGGTGACTAAACTTGCAGTTACTCACTTTTCTTACAACAGTAACTGAAGACAAACCTGTTCAAGATAACCACCCATTGTTGAGAAGAAAAGTGGCCATCTTATACGGGTGGTCTTTCTGGTCAGTTTCCATATATATGTAAGGCATCGTGGTGAAATCAGGCGCTCGTCAAAATAATGATATATAAGAAAATGACATTTTTCTTTCAGTTTGGAAAGAAATCTTTATTTTCCTTTTTAATTTTTGGCTCAGCGCCAGATCTGCCACTCTATGAACTCTAAAAATTAGGATTTCATAGTAAAAAAAATTACGATCTGGAGACAAAAATCGGGACCAACGGCAAATCAATCATAAGGGGCACTGGGGAAAGAAGGTGGGGGGGGGGGTCCCTGGTTCCCTTTTATGATGCAGGCGTGCAAGACAAAACTTTGGCAGGAATCACATTTGGGCCTCAAAGTAGAGGGAAAAAACTGATAGAGAGCATGTACTCGAATCAGACTTGGATAAACTGGGGGAGTGCAGGTTGCAGTGAGGCTGAAACGGGTAGTCTTGAAAATAGCTCACACATAACTCTACTCATCCACGCAAAAGGTGTGCGTTTTCATGCAGTAACGACATTTGACTTCAGTCGCATATACACTCACGGCACCCCTCAGCCCTAAAAACAATCGGGCCAAGGTTGTTTTGTTTTTTTTCTTATTCCTTTATCCTCAATTTGTACATGTATCAAGGCACGCACTTTAAGCCCAAGTGTCAAAACAATACCCCCACCCCATCCACCCTGTCGTCCCACACTAGTTAAGTCCTGTAAAACATCTCGACCAATGCGACAGGTGTGAATGATCTTTGTTGACCCCGACAGCCGACGGTCCCTGACACACACGCCACTCACACGTAGGAGGTCATGTCACGTGATGCGAACGAGTGTTTGAAAGTTCCACTAACAGGTCTTGATGATGGGCCCAACTAACCAGATTTCGGATGAAGCTTGATTACTTTTAGTCCTATGTCATAATTGTTACAGTAATCAGGCCATCATCTGAGAATTCTGGGTAACAAAAGCAAAAGTAGACCTTGAGAGTATCCAAGTCAGAATTCAAAATCGATTCTACTTCAATTTTAGTTGAAATAATGTGCGTGAGTCATCTACTAGATCTAACATTGATGTTTTAGAATATAGCGTTCCCAGTTCCTACCAATAAAAAGTCAAATCGGTGCTTCCAAGCAAAAAGATTGCAGAATTTTTTATTCTGGGAATCGGACGCAACAAACGCAACAACAAAAAATCATGACACACGCGGGAAAATTGGGATGCTTGAGATTTTGCGGAAAAAAATCAAGATATCACAATTAAATTGGAATGAGTGGCAGGTCTACTCAATTCCTTTAATGTCTATTTAAAAATATATTGCAGGGGGATTTTACTGAAAACACTGATTAAAGTCACAGAAAATGTAAATTTACAATTTTCAAGGACTGTAAAGCTTTGGAAGTCAACAAACTTTAACAACCATTTTCTCGATAATTTTACCACTGAAACCAGGTGACTCCCACCTCCTTCAATCGCAAATATTTCAAATTCTATTTTAGATAAATAGGTAAATTTTTCACAGAAAGCAAGACAAATGAACTAGCTTTAAGATGATACTAATAACTCCATAGGTCCAAAAATTGACAAGTGCCTGATTCTACCGCGTATGACACATACAATATAGAACCAATGCAAGTGGGAAGTGGTCGTTTGCTTAGATGATTGTCTTGGACAGGCGGTCGTTACAGTTAGAGCAGATTCAACTATATATATTCAGATTCCCATTTATCCACTTGCCTTAAACAAACACCACAACCATAGAGCAACAGTCAGAAGTTTAAAAATGCGGTTTACCAGGGGACACAATTGTATGCTTTGAATTTCCATCCGCAATGATGTCATATCCTCGGGGTGAGTACACATTAGGCTTGGAAATGCGAACCTCAACTTCAGGAAAAGGAAGACCTACAGCACCTATGGAACAAACAACAGTGACCTTCGAACTTTAGATTAAACCATTGTTTTTTTCATTCATCAAAATTCATCATTATATAATCCAAATATGCTCCAGGACATATCTTCTTGCTCAAATTCAAAGGAAAAAATTATCTAAGATTTTTCAAAATAAAATTCAACTCAAAATTTTCTACAAGATGACTCATGTCTTATCAATTGAACCCTTCAAAGAGAAAACTGACATTGACAAATCTAAGCTCAGTCTGGTCATTTATAATGTAAAATCACAAAGGAAAAATGAAACAGGAGTAAATATTTTGAGGTAGTGTGATACTACTTTAAAAACAGTATTCTGCTAACAGTCAAACAAATTTTGATCTACCAGTGTGGCATAGGATTTTTAGACTCTAACACGTTCACACAACTTACAATACTTATAGTGAAAACAAATATGTATTCACCACCAAAATGAAGAGTGACATCAGCGTCATACAAGGAAAAATCATGGAACATCTAATGGTTCTTGAAATTTCATAAATACATGCATACTTGTCAGTAAAATGAGATGCTTTTGTCCCAAAACTAGCTAAACTGGACAGGATACCGAATATTTGACAAATGATGTAGAGATCACATTTGGAAAAATATAAAGTACCACATTTTAAAAAACGCAAGGTAGAAATTGTCCATTAGATCTGCACATTCTCCTTACTGCTTCATTTTTTGACACTCTGTACTGAACAGTGGATTTAAACAGCGTAAAGAAAATGTTTGTCTCGACATATTTCTACAACACAAACAAAAGTCATGACACCAGCCACTTCTCAAACTGTAAGGAAAAGTAACACATCTCTTAACTCATTCGCTACGCCGCTCCCGGCAGCTCGAGAACTGATCTTCAATTCTAGCTTAGATTCTATTCCACTCCACATATCCATGTTCAAATAAAGGTCATAATATAATGTTGACTTCTGGGTCGAGCATTTGCACTGAAAATCGGAAATTTAGATTCAGTTTTGAAACGCGATTTCGTAGTTTATTCGACTTTGTTTTCTCGCGATGCCAAAATTATAGCCAGGACACCAGTCTTAGTAATTTTACACAACAAAATTTATCATTATTTTGCCCACTAAAGAAATGTAGGACTCTTTTTTATAATATTGATATGATTGGACTCATTTTGCCAATGCACTGTTATTAAGAAATCAATATTTTTTAGTGGTAGATCTAGATCTAGGTCTAGATATAAATTGTCAAAATATTTTTTTATCCCCAAAATCACTACTTTTGGATGAAATTACACAAAAAGTGCCCCTCAATACAGGTATAGGTTTATTCCAAATGCAATTCTGAATAATTCCATATAAGATACGAGTGGGTTTTTTCTGTTTTTGATCGTTTTTCAAGATGATAAATTTTTTTTTTTTTTTTCAATATTGGATGTTATGATCCAAATGTACAAATATTATGGAATGTATGTAAATAACTGCAAACTTTTCAATATTTTCCAGTTCTATATTCATTTATGGTTATTTTGATGAATCATTTGACTAGGTGCAAACATATTTTTCGAGTTTCACCAAAGATTATTAATTTATTATTTTCAAATTTTATCTGCATCCAATCAAAATTGTGTTGCATAATCGCCTCTTACAGGAACCAAATTTGAAAAATACATAAATAAACATTACAGATGTATTCTACAAACCATACTGAAAATATTGGTATATAATACGTTGATATTTATTTGAATTTGTGGTCCCAAAGACCTTTTAACTGCCCACTAGTCATCATCTCATTCGCCCTCCCGAAAAAAATTCATCCACAAGCCGAAAATAATACGTAGCGAATGAGTTAAGACATCTTCACTTAGCCAAAGATCTTTCTTACCAGGAACTCTTGCTCCATGCAAAGGGTTTGTGAGAGCCATTCCAATCTCAGTCATGCCATATCTCTCTAGCAGTCTGTGCCCTGATAGTTCAAGCCATCGGTTGCTGATTGGCTGAGGCAACGCAGCAGAACCACTCACCATCAATCTGTTGAAAATACATAACACGCTCTACTGGTTTAGTTAAAGATCTACTGCGCTACACGGCAATTTACCATAAGTCCCACATATTCAACCAGGGTCTTTCACAATATGACAGCCTTAATGCAGCTTAAGTCCCTACTGACTGACCATAGTAACGACAGTGCTGGGGGCATTTAGATCAAAGGCAGTGAGACGGGACTGTTTCCCCCCCCCCCTCCCACCCCTACCCCCTAGCACCAATCTGGCTGATGCCCTTAAACACATATATATATTGCAGAGGATAGAAGTATCTGAGAGTTTCCATGCCAAACTAAACCCACATTTACTCAACAAAAACATGTTGAGCATGCAGCTTCTTCCTTGTTCTTCCATGAATCAAAATATGTGAGGTTTTACATTATTAGCAGAAGGAAGAAAAAAAAATCAAGCCATCTTTGAAAATAAGTTGAAACTTCCACACACTCAAAGACCATACCATAGCTTTCAGCTAAAAATGAACTGACCACAGATAAAAATGAAAGAGAAAAAAAAAACAGGTTGGTTTAAACACTAACTCAGCTTGTAACACTTCTTTAGTATGAAATAGAAACAGGATAAATCTTTTTGGAGTAAGAATTTTGCGAAGAGAGAAACCCTCAAGTACATAGACTTCTGTAGCATCAACAAAGGAAAGAACAGCTAATTTTATCAAATCTATCAACACAATATAGACTAAAAAGCAGACAGACAACAACAAAAAAAAGAATTCTGAGGTCTTCCAAATAAGCTCTTTCTCCTTCTCTTCTGAAAGTAGAATATTAAAGCAGTTCATAATGTTCATTTTCTCTCTATCCCCAGTGACAACCAACCAGCTAAAGAACAACTCCACTCTGGGATACAGTGGCCAAAAATTCAGTGAGCACAAGGCGTAGCCTCATAAAGAATGCCATGCAATGTTGGTGCAACAGCTAATAAAGTAATTACAGCGCAGCTTTCTTTGTAAGACTCGTTAATCTTAGCTCAAAAATAGGATACTTCATTGTTATGTGTGTCATAATCAATAAGTCTTTACCAAGGGGTAAAAAAATTCTTGCTTTCTTTTTTTTAATTGAAGAGAGAGCAAAATGCTTCCATTCTCTCATACAACCACATTATCTCATATAACTAAAAAGCTGGTTCAAATACAATTTTATGTAATAAAATGTGTGCGTGCATGCAGGCATGCGTGTGTGCGTGCGTATGAGTGTGTGTGCGTGTGTGAGTGTGGTCGTGCATGCACACAAGCATGGGTGAGTGAGTGTAAATATGGTCCTTTTTAAGCACAAGGGGGCTATCCCGAAAATGTTTTGAGAAAATCGAAGGTAAAGTTTTTGGACCCTTGTTCGGTTTCTTTTAAAGACAAGGACAGTTTTTTCTATAACCTAACAAATATACACACCAATGAAACCAAACTTCTTCTATAGGTAGGGCAATGCCCACATTTGGTGTAGGTCAAGATTTCTGGAAACCTCCAAAATCTGGGTTAGCCCGCTTGTCCTTAAAAGGGACATTTGATTGATTTCAAAGAGTATGAACAAGTGTTAGCGAATAGGACAGAAAGTTTACATACTGAAATTGTTATCATGAACAAAAGCCATCTGACACCCACTTCTGACACAAATTAAAAGTTGTTAATGAAAACACAAGGTGTCCATTTCAAAATGGGATACATAAACAAACCTCGAGCAGCCAAGGGTAATTGATTTTTAGGATACCGTTTAATAGCTGCAGTACATAATCCACAGTGCTCATTTGCATAAGCCCTTGAGTTCAGAGGCCGCACACTGTTCAACCCTCTCAGATTACAGTAGTTATGAAAACATGCTGAGAGGACAACTCACTAACACCATGCAGACAAAACGTGAACTACAGAGTTCCACAAATTTTCATAGGACAGTAGCTTGAAAGTTCTTTGAAACTAAATTTTCTCCCATAGCTAAATATCAGGGGAGTGAAAGAATAGAAAAATTCCCTGGTGCGCACTGACAATGACTTCACAAAGCTGGAACCTAGCCACGCACTTTTACATGAAAGGGAAACTCAAGACCATACCACCATGCCAACATTTCTACCAGTCTAACTAAAACTAGTTTAAAACTATTGAAGTCCTGTCTGAGAATGCACATTTTTAAAGATTTAATAGTCTGAGAGCCAACAGTCTAGTAACAAATCTAAAAGAAACTAAAAGAAACAAAATGTTTCAAATTCACCGGGAGTCACGTCAGAGGCAAAATACATCATACAAGTCTGTCACGCTGTCAGAATGAGACTCAAGTAACTGATGTAACAGACTAAATCATCCCTTGCAACACAAGTTTGTATGTTGATTTGCAATTTCGAATGGTATTAACATTTTCAGAAGCAGAAGAAAATTTTTTATTAATGAAAAACAGAGGAAACCAAAAATATAACATAAAAAATAAATTTGACACAGAAACTTTACAGTTGTTGTTATCAATCCAGAGAAGTTTACCTGACTGTGTGACAAAAGACCTGCGCAGTCCTTTATGAACCAATGATTGAATCACTGATAGTCCCCAAGTATAAGGAAGGAGAAGGAGAAACATCTTCTATCTTGCCTCCATTTCACACAAAACAAGTTTTTTTTAGCAAAGAGACAAGAGCAAAACTGAAAATACATCGAAGAAACTGAACTCTCACCTAAATTTAGAAGACAAAGTTTCTCGGACAAAGTCCACTGTCAAGCCGGTTTTTGAGTTTGCCATGTTCTCATCAAAGTACTGGATTAGCTTAGCATAGACAGTAGGGACTGCCATGAACACATTGATATTCTTGTCAAGACCGGGCACTTTTGGTGAAGTCAGAGTATTCCAAACCTGCAGAGAGAAAGAAAAGGTTACCAAAAAAAAAGATCAGTGGCCCAAGAAAAACTAAATGTAAATTAGTTTTGAGCTAAAAACCGGAACAAGCAACAGTAAGTACAAAAACGGCATGTGGCTACTTCTGAGGTTAGGGACATTAATTCCTTGTAAGAAAACAAGTCGTGTACTGTCACACCTACTTTAACTCACTTGAACCAGAGCTATTTTTCACGCAACAACCATTGCAGCCCGACACTTTTGGGGTATATAGAAGTGTCAACCACAAAAAGACTGTGAATGCCATCATAATTTTTTAATTCAACAAGAGAAAGAAGGAAATGCTCTCAAAGAAAAAGAAAACTGAATCTAATTTGTCCAAATAGTTTTTATTTTATCAATATTTTGAAATAGCAATGTTTGGGGGTTATGCAATTTTTTAGGGCGCCCAATTTATAATAAAATCATCTATCGCAAAGCAAGGGTGACTGACTTAGTTCATTACAGCTCAAAAAGTACTGCACATAACTTAACCAAAGTTTTAACAAAACGGAACAGGTGGGTCAGCTGTTGGCTCACCGCTTCCCGTAACTTGTAACCAAAAAACACTGGAGATAACAATAGATAAAGCGCATCCCGTAAATACATGGAATTAGGCCACTGGGCCAGCGGGGCGTCCTGTTAACACATGGAAATAGGCTCAAGTGAGTTAAAGCCCACTTGTCCTGTACAAACAACCATTTCTCGATTCCCTCCTTGCATTACCAGATATCTGAATTATAACATGGATGGACAACATAAAAACATGGACTGGCCTGGATATAGCAGAATGTGCAACGGCAACTCCCAACCATGAAGGATGGACGGTCATTACACATCAACCTCTGAGTCAGAGACGACACCTCCATGTATCCAGGTATCCACGTATTATTTTTTCTAATATAATAATACAGTCCAAAATGTCCATCTGTCAAAAACAACCACTTTTCACCTCGACAATTGTTGGTCATCTTGGACTATTTCGACTCTACACAAAAATCAGTTCTTTTGTAGGTTCAACCCCTGACCTCAACTGGGAAAAGAAAAAGAAAAAGAAGAAGAAAAAAAACCCCGGAGAATAAGTCCCTACCTGGCCAGGGTCAAACTTTGGCTCCATCACACAGGTGGCACCACATGCCAGGGGAGTGAGCAGCACGTTGACAATACCATGGACATGATGCAACGGCAGCACATGGAGGATTGTGTCCCTTGACGTCCACTCCCAGCTTTTGATCATGCCTCGTGTCATGGCCGCCAGGTTTCCATGAGTCAGGACCACACCCTACACACAACAAAAACGCCATTTGATAAAAACAGTCAAGTCATCAATCCTGTCAAATAGAGACATCTCCTTTCCCTCTGGAAGGGGAGACCCTCAGCTCCAGGGAGTGAAGTAAATCAAAGCAATCAAATTTGGGAATAAAAACAGACAGCAAAGTGTTTTATAATATCTATACATTTCTTTGGGACAAAAATTCTTATTCAAATTAATTCTTTTTTTTTTTAGTTCTGAAAGCTACTAAATATACTTAAAATTTGTTACCTTGTCATACTCAAGTTTTCTGACTAACAAATTTATTCAAGATATTACTTTTATCTCAGAACTTAATCAGACTACACAATAATTTAATTTCGGATCCCAGTCCAAGATTTCTGCTTAAACTTCAGGTAAAAGAATGTTACAATCCAGTATATGAGCTTCATACTCAAAGTTTACCTTTGGTGGTCCAGTCGTCCCACTAGTATATACAATCAAAGCTGGCTTCTTCAAAATGAACTCCTCTGAACGATCAAACCAACGTTTCTTTCTTTGCTCAAACATCCTTGTGATCTGCCTGAGAAGAAAAAAAACACAATGCAGTCTTCTCCAATACAAAAGAAGTACACACACAGTTTGACAAACTTAGTTTCCATGAACCACGAATTCCGAACAAAGTAACAAAGTGTACCAAAAGACATAAAGCCAAACAAAGTTTTGTGAAATAGAGTGCAATTATTGTATCTATTGCTTAAACTAAATCCATGTTAAAGTCAAGAGATCTGAAAATACCAAACATTACAGAATGGTAGCATAACTGGAAATACACAGTTAAACTAAACACTTACTTTGGGTTTGAAGCATGATCAGACTGGAACCATCTGTTTTTCTCATATTCCTCAGAGTACAGTTCTCTTGACAAAGTCTTGACCGGGACATTCAGCTTCTGTGAAATAGGGGTGATTTTGTCGACAAATCCCTCCGAGGCCAAAACCAGGGTACACTGAGAATCCCGCAGAAAGTATTCCCACTCCGAGGGTGGGTGAGTCGAACACAAAGGAACTGAGACACCATTGACAATCCATGTCGCATACTGACCAATCACATAAGAGACACTATGATCTGTTAGGATGGCTATTCTCTCACTATTTAGTTTCATATCGTTTTCTGCATTCCTGAAAGCAAGAATGTCAGTGGCCAGATTCATACTATGATGAAGAACATCAGCATAAGTCAAGCTCCCATCTTGGTCAATGACTGCAGGGTGCTTGAGGTATTTTTCCGCATGAAGAAAAACAGGAAGATGAGACTGAACTGTGTCTTGCGAGTGAACGGGGCGGCCAAGAGATGTAGAGAACTGTCTGGCACTGACTGTATGTCCTTGACCCACGGCTTCTTGTGAGCCAGACTTGACCACAGCTAGGACTGAGGAGATGTTTCTCAGACAGAGAGTGCTCCTTGCTCTTTCCGTTCTCATGATCAAATTTATTTCAAGGGGCTTGCATTTCAAAGAGTTTGAAGAGGAAGTTCTTAAAGCTTTGAAGTTCAATAACCATGCAGGTCTAAGAGACTTGTGCAAGAGCCTGCATTGGCAGGAATGATGAACAATTGTTGCCAGTGGGACAGCCATGACACATCGATTCCCTATAAATGAGAGAATACACAGAGCAATATATTTCAGGCACAGTGGAAGAAAAATCATGAGACTTTAAAATAAAATTAATTTATCACTGTAAAGAACAAAAACAAGTATGGGAAAATAAGTCAGTGTGTGATTTTCTTTTCCTTTGGTAACTGCTTACCATAGAGGGAAAGTTATTATACAAATAAGAAACCATGGTCAAACTTTATTTTTTTGTCCTGTAAAATATAATGGTTGGCAACCATTTAATTATTATGTACTCCAAATTTAATAGGCAGATCCTTCGGAGTTTCTTCCTCAATAAGATCTCTGCCTTAATCAACACATGGGCAAACATGACATTATAAGGATGGAGATCTTCAACTCTCGGACCTCAATCAGCTGTTGGTGACTGCAGCAACAGACATCTAATACTAAAGATTCTAAATAGAACTAGGATCGGGTGGGTCAATTTCACAATATCCAATTAGTGACCTTGCTTCTTGCTCTCCTAGTCTCCTCTATAAGATACAGAAACATAGCTTCCCGTTCACACGTTGGGCGAATATGTGATTTACAAGTAAAATGTTGTTTCACAAATAAAATTATTAAAAACCAACGTCATCATAATAGTTCCCCCTCATCATATGCTTGATGCAGTGCAGTGTAAAAATCTAGTGTGGGGGTTTCATTTGATAGTCTCGATTCATGGGTTCAGTAATTAGCAAGGTCCACACCTGTGACTTTGTGTTCATTTATACACGTTTATTTACTTTTTTTAAAAACCAAAGTTATTTTGCTGATCAGAATAGGCAATAAAAATATGCTACTTGAAATCAATACGCTTTCAAACTTCGGTTCCCTTGCACTCCCATAACTAGATCTAGCTACTAAATCCCAAGTCAACAAGTAGTTTTTCTCGTTACATTTAAGTTGGGTTTTTTACAGGGATAAGAAGAGACAATAAAAAAAAAGATGAATAAGGACGTGCACACAGAAAGAAGGTAAGTAAAAGAATCTCAAAGTACAAAATATCATAAATGTAAAACCAACATATTTCTTAAATAAAAAAGCATTGCAAGGCAACAAACAAAAGAGGCTATAGTCACCCAGCTTATCACCAGAAGAATTTGCATCCATTACCCTGATTCTGAAACACCCAAATCAAAAGCCTGCCCGTTCCAATTGCTCACATCACATACTCCGCTAGCCCCGAACCCCTTCCTTTTATTTGTAGGCTACACTTTTTTGTTGGAAAGCATAACAATTAAATCTACAGTTGAACACAGTAATTATATAATAGAGAGTGGCTTGTAGACTTGAAATGGTATTATATTGCTAAGAGGCTTAGCAGATTACATGTCAAGAATTTGACTTGGCAAATAAAAACCTATTTCTCGTCATCTTATGAGCTAATTTTCTGGAGACTCATCAAGGTATCAGTTCATAAACTTAAACATAACTATTTAACAGAGCTCTTCTTTCATATCCACAAAGGGGACCAAGAAGCCCTTTTAAAGGAAAGGGCAAACCGCCTCGCCCTGACCCGATCCCCCAATAGGCACCCCATGCTTTGTCTGAATGCATATATATATATATATATGTAAATGACATTATTTTATCACTTATTTTCGTTTGCAATACATTTTTTATGTAAGATGTGAAAAGTAAAGTACATATGTACTTGCATAGTAGATCTAGATCCAATGTTGTCTATCCGTACATGCACCGGGTACTTCCATTTTATCTCCTTGGATTATACCTCGCATTGATACACTTCAAGTAGGGCCTATACACACATGCGACTAAACGTAGAACGACGCAAACTATTTTGGCGCTTTTTCGGTAGTTCCCACCCCGCAATTGTTATTCACCAGTTTTGGCCTCAAGAGAGGGGGGTTTCAGTGGGGGCTTGCCCCCCTGTCCTAATAAAAATGTGGTGGGGGGTTTCAGGGGGGCATGCCCCCCTGAATTTTACCATAATTTGATGTTTTGCACTTGTTAGGTTTGATATCTTAGCTCACATCAAACGTACAGATCTCGATGTAGGTCAGGCTCAAAATATAAGGGGGGTGGGAACTACCGAAAAAGCACCATTTTGGGTAAGGCAGCCATCTTGTGCGACGTCAGACTGGGATACCCCTCCAATCACATGACAACATGATCTAAACATATGCCAACCGCATGGCACCAAAGATCGTGTATACATAGGGCAATTTTAGTGCGCTTTATTGTCTTTGCATTTACCGTGTTTCAATTTCAAGCATCACCATTCTTACGGTTCTGAGCATCAACGATCTTCCATCACCAGAGCATGGCTGATGTGCTGCAGTTAGCCGCAAGTGAGAAATTTTACCGTGCGAAACACATCGATATGGACAATATGTCAAGCCACTGACCCAACATGTCATTCCATGCGGAAACAGTACCTCCAAAGATTCTCTACTGTATCGTGTGTATACAAAATCTGGTGCTTTTTCGGCAGTTCCCACCCCCCTTATATTTTGAGCCTGACCTACATCGAGATCTATACGTTTGATGCGAGCTAAGATATCAAACCTAACAAGTGCAAAACATCAAATTATGGTAAAATTCAGGGGGGCATGCCCCCCTGAAACCCCCCACCACATTTTTATTGAGGCCAGGGGGGCAAGCCCCCACTGAAACCCCCCTCTCTTGAGGCCTAAACCGGCTAATAACAATTGCGGGGTGGGAACTACCGCAAAAGCGCCCAAAATCTTTGGTACCTCCACGGCCTTATAAAAATAGTCTGCGGGTATCCCAGGTAGTGATGACATCACATTACTAAAACTAGCAGCCAATCAGGAAAATGCGTCATTCTACTTTTAGATTTAGATCTAGATTATATCTACCTCTAGAGTCTAGATCTAGATCTAGATTCTAGTCGCATGTCCTCTATACCATGCCATCAAAATATCAATTCTGATCTTTAGACTTTAGTCACTTTAGACTCAAGACAGCATACCGTGTAGAGGTGTAACTGTAACAGTGTATCACTTCCGATGTTCAGACAGCAAGCAGTGGAAAAATCAACTACGATCTTCAGACGGCAGGCCGTCGAAATATTTCTCCCCAATTAATAATACAATAGGCCTACTAATGAGAATCTTATCATCATACCTTGTCACTGTGCCTTGTTACGTCTTAGTCTTAGTCTTAGTATACAGCTCTTCTATTCCGAATTCGCCAACTGATAGGCCCACACACACAACTTAAAGAGATGAAAGGAAGAATTTACAAAGTGCTTATAACCCTGCATCAAAAATAAGAAGGGCGAATTAAAGCTTTTTTTAAATTTCTTTCAATCTAGCTGTGATAATCGCAAAGTCACTGACAAAGTGGTTAGGCTAGCCTAGAATTGCAGAACATCAGAATGACTGCTAAATGCTAAAGTCTGACGGTGTGTGACAGTTCATAACAGTATAAAATTATGAATTCATAGAATGAGTATCCATTATTTATTTTAACTACATTGTAATTTAATTTAGATCGATTTGAGTAGATCTACGTGTACGGTCAAAGTACTGTAAAAAAAAATTTTTTTAATAACAAACTGTCTTCTATTATCATTCAGATGCTATTACTGAAAATGTGTCCGACTTGTTTCCTTCTACAAAAACTAAATGTATGAATCCCCTACGTGTAGGGCCTATAGAACCTTGCATTTCTCACTGCCTCTTCCATCTTTATCTTTTCATTTCAAACTGTTGAAGGTAACCATCGAAACCAGCAGCAGCAATTATAATGTGTCTACAGTGGACGAGTAGTTTGTAAGTTCAGCCTCACAATAACGCTGTCAAACATGCTTTTGTGAAACGGTGTCTATATGGATGGTTTGTGCGGGGTGTTCTTGAGCAAGACAAATAACCCGAGCTAAAACACACACACACACACACACACACACACACACACACACACAGAGAGAGAGAGAGAGAGAGAGGGAGAGAGAAACGGGTGCTGCACAGAGCGACCGTGCACCAGCAATAAATGTGTGTGTTGTCTGTTTGTTCCAGTATCTATATATCATTTTTTTTTTTTATTATATATACACAGAAGACTCGAAATCACGCATCCGTTGAACTGTGCCTGTTTTTTTTTCTGTTTTTTTTTTTAAATCTTTGTAAGTAAATTACTCGAAGCTCGAACACAAGCACGGAATAGTCGAACTAAGTACGCCGCCGTAGAGGTCTAAAGTCAATGTCCTTCGGGATGCACTTGATACGAACTAAATTTAATACATGTAATGATAGGGCCTACATGTAATTTTTTTACGGGAAAAGGCAAGGTAGGTAAAATACATTCCTCCCTCCATAGAAGCAGCTAGATGTGCTATTTTTAGCGTCCTGCTCGACACACACACTCACACACACACACACACGCACATCATGGAGCACCCCATTTTTCGTTTCACCATGGCTTCAACTTCAACTAGAACAAAGCATAACAACAACTAACACTTCCAGTCTAGATCTACCCCGCTGCTGCTCCTCAGATCACTATCACGCTCATTGCTGGCCCCGGCGGTCTGAGGGAAAATGGGCGGACTTCACATACGAACTGCACATTCTCATCTCTGCCCCACTTACTCATCAAAGGGCCCTACCGTAGCAATCTTTGTTTCTTCCTCGAACTACGGATCCCTCGAACTACCGAGGCTGGTCCCTGCTTCTTCTTCTTCTTCTTCTTCTTCTCCTCCTCCTCCTCCTCCTCCTCCTTCTTCTTCTTCTTCTTCTTTTGGACCCATCACCGATTTTGAAACGAGAGAGCATGTGATGCTTCAGCCTGTTGTGTACTGTTCTGAGTCTAAAAAGATTATCACTTGGTCGGCTCTTGAGCTGGTAGATTGGGTCCTTTCTTCTGTGTTGTGGGTGCGTTTCGTTCCATTGGGCATGGATTGCTGACTTAATGAGTGTTTCCTGGTAGTTGATATGCCAAAACTATCAACCTAATAAGCCATGCAAGCAAAGTGATGCTGAAAAGTTATACTGAACCGACTGAGATATCAGGAAGAAGAAATAATTGCCGAAGAGTAAGCCAGGTTCAGGCATGGAAGAAGTACAACAGAACAGATATTCAACCCCAGAGTTCTGTGCGAGAAATACAGTCGACACAAGCAAGGCATCTTCCTTGTATTCATTGATTTTTTTAAAAAGCTTTGGATTGCGTGTGGCGTGATGCGTTGTGGGCAACCATAAAGAAATACAACATGGGCCAAAAGTTGAAAGAGTCGATCCAATAACTATACCAAAAAAAAAAAAAAAATCACCAGTGCAGTCCTCGCCCAGGGGAAAATAGGAGAATGGTTTCACACTACTGTCGGAGTGCGCCAAGGTTGTTAGCTATCGCCTACCCTGTTCTACATCTTCCTTGAACGAACCATGTCTGATGTTCTTGAAAATCATACGAGTACAGTCAGCATCGGTGGACGAACAGTTACTAACCTCAGGTTTGCAGATGACTTACTGGTAAAACAACTGGATGAAACATCGACCAGATATGGTATGGAAATTAGTGCCGAGAAAACATAAATGATGAGAAATAATGACGAACCAATTAAAACCAAAATTACAGTCAATGGTCAACAGCTTGAAACAGTTGACCAGTTCAAGTACCTTGGTACCATCATCAGCAAAGAATGATCCAAGCCAGAAGTCCATGCAAGAATTGCACAAACAACATGGGCACTTACAATACTAAGACCATCGAAAGATCGAAACATGTCAGTCAATTCCAAAATCAGACTACTCTATGCCCTCGTCATCTTCATCCTTCTGTATGCTTGCGAATCATGGACCTTGACGGCAGAGCTTTGGAGGAAGATCCAAGCAGCCGAAATGAGATGCGTTAGACGACTCTTTGGTATCTCATCATATAATGACCACGTCACAAAATAACGAGGAAGTGCGCAGTAGAGTGAAACAACATATCAGCTACTTAACTATTTAGACTTGCTGTCTACTGTGAAGCGAAGAGAAATGAATAGGTATGGTCAGGTAACAAGATCGTATGGCCTATCGAAGACCATTCTTCAGGGAACTGTATAGGGGAGGAGAAAGAGAGGAAGGCAAAGAAAGAGGTGGACCGTCAACATTGCGGAATGGACTCGAAAATCCGTCGCCCAAACTCAGGCGCTCGCAAAAAAAACCCCAAGAAAAGTGGAGACATCTGATGATCTGACCAGGCTCTCTATCACTATCAGTGTAACAAGATCGTATGGCCTATCGAAGACCATTCTCCAGGGAACTGTATAGGGGAGGAGAAAGAGAGGAAGGCAAAGAAAGAGGTGGACCGTGAACATCTGATGATCTGACCAGGCTCTCTATCACATAGCGCCTCTACGAACCTCGTGGATTATATTATTAATTATAATGGGATCAGTAAGCAATAAAAGTTAAAAGTAGGGTCTGGGATGGGTTTGTTCCATTTGTCCTCCTTCCCTCACCAATTCGTCGGCACATTCATTTCCAAATAATACGAGTAACGGTACTATGTCGACGCGCCTGGGAATCCATTGCAAGACAACGCTGCTGGCTGTAGAGTTTAGTGCCATGATAGCTCTTGTTAGGGCGTTGAGTTCAATACTCTGGTTGTTCTCTACGGATTGTAGGGCTGATTTTGCGTCGTTCAAAAGTACCACTTTCACGTTGTGTGTGGCCTCCCTGTTTCCAAGCACCTTGGCTGCCTCTTGGGGAGCTTCTGTCTCTACCCTTTTCCCTGTTGGTATGCTGATGCTGGAATTTATTTATTCGTCAAGCCACTCTATGTAGGCCAAGATACCTTCACCTCCGTCTTGTGTTGCTTCCATGGATGATCCATCGGTGAATGCTCTGATCTACTGATCTGATGGGTAGGTCTACTTTTCTCTGAGCATGACTTGGGACAGGTGGATATTGCTCCTTTGTAGACAATTATTAATTCAATAGCCGGTCCCGACGGATTCGAGCTATCCCTGGTATATATATATTGCTGTTGTAGTTGGGTTTTTTTTGGGGGGGGGGGATGGTTGGCAGGTGGTTTGGTTGTTTTACTGCTGTGATACGGTCATATGAGCGCGTGGGACATATTAATATTAATCATTTTCAGTTTGGTATGAATTATTTCAAATTTTGCCCGGGAGGCGACCGAAGCCTACTCTTATAAATTTTAGGACCACAAAGGGATCTTTAAATTTAACGTGGGCAACTTGCACTCGGGACCTCAGATTTTTTGCCCTTATCTGAGAAGGCTAGGTGTCAGAATATTATATCTTACCTACACTAAGATAAGTGGTGAGGCTGAAAGGCAGCAACGAGAGGGAGAAGGAGCCAAGAGATAGCAGTAGGAAGACAGCAGAAAGAGTCAGGAGCCCAGAGAAGGGGCCAAAGGGGGCAGAAAGTTTCTTTTTCTTTTTTTTTTTTAGAAAAGGTCCGAGTTCGGAACAAATGAATCCAGTTAAGAGGCTTCTCACATTATCTCTTTCCCTGTGCATAAGTTGTAAATGCATTAGTAGCACAAGGGCTGAGAGTAAATTATGTCATTTAGACGGACGGAGGGAGGAGGAGGGGGGAAAGAGATAATACAGAAATAACCCCCCAAAAGTTTAGAAAGACTACATGGGTATTAGTATAAGTAGGGAAGCACAAAGACAATCTTACAGCCATGCAGTGGCCAGGAGGGCGAGAGAACAACAAAAACAGCCATGAAAATGGGGAAGCAATACCTAACACAGACTTGGCAATTTTTAAAAATAAAAACAGAACAACTTGACTCTCCCTCACAGCGGGTCAAGATGGTGGGCATTGTCCAAGTAATCCCTCTCCAAACCCTTCACACCCTTTTCCATATTCAATACATTTAAACTATTCAAAGTAGATCTGCGACAAAAGTTGTAGTGACTTACCTGACACTTATGGGCTTTGTTCTATTACATGTACGATGGAGTCCGTTAAAAATGAACTCTTTGGGATCAGAAAAAAAGTGTTCACTTTATTCGAGGTTCAGTTTAACCATTTGGTAGGGTGGAGGCCTAGAAACAATAGCTATGCGCAGTGGTGGGTCCAGGGTGGAGGTGGGGTAGGGAGACAACACAGTGGGTGAGCCTAGACTAGAGCTTTTTCTTTCGCCAACGCCAAGCTGGGATTGTCTGCCGATAGCCGAGGAAAAGAATTTTATTTTCACAGCATGGCAACAGTGACACGGTTGGTCCGTTCTTCTCTTTCATTCATTTTGGGCGTTCACTTTATCCGATTTCCCCATGAAACCGGTTCAGTTTATCGACTATTTTTTAATTTACTAAAACAAAAGGCGTTTCAATCGGGACCACAGAATATTGTTCACTTTAACCGATTGTTCAAATAAAGCCAGCTCACTTTAGGTTGACACCATTGAATTTGCAAAGCCAGCTCAAAAGTTAATTTTTTCTACAGCATTGGCACATTTGTGAGGAGCATTACTGTTACAAGAAAACAGAATACATATCTTGAAAAATAAGAAAACAAGATTTCCTTGCTCAGACCCTTAAAGACGCATTAAATTATGTTTTTTACGTATTATACGTACTGGTTGGCAGCTAGGTTATCAATGTTGCCTTCAAGCCATCTACTTCAATTACAAGACTGCTGAAATGTAGGCAATTTTTCAAACAGTTCAAAGGAACACAGAACTGTAGAAACAGAAACTTTGTCCACAAAACCACTTAGGTTAGAGGCTTGACCCACAGATTTACAACCAACTGTAGGACGCAAAGCTGCTTTCACCACTCACATCTAGCGTAGGAAAAATACATGTCACACCAAAACAAAACAAAGCAAAAAAGGAAAGAAAACCATCGGTGCATTTTAAAACTTTTATTTGTTTATTTTTTTATCATTATTTTTTTTCATTTTTGATTTCTTTTATTTATTTTTTTTGTTAATTTTACATTTATCTTTTTTTTGGGTGGACATTATTGTTACTTGAAAAACAATGGACAAGGGAAAATTAGTCAACAAGTTCATACATGTAGCACAATATCAGAACAAAGGGGACCAACAAAAAAGTAAAGAGACAAAACAAAACCCCCCTTTCCATTTCCCAAATTATATTGCACAGTTGATCTATCAAAAACTAATAGAGAAATTTATTAACTTCATCTTTAAAAAATTGAAAACTATCTTTATTTTGACTGCATTTGCTGCTTATTTTAAATGTTACCCTAGAACTATTACAATCATTTATCTTTGAGTCAATCCAAAATAAACAAAAATGGAGGGGGGGGGGGGGGGAGAAATAAACAAATTTGGAACCTATTTATACACATGCATAATTAAGTAATTATTTTGAAAGCCACAGATTACCTTCTCGTCCCCATCTGATAACTGCAAAAATGATTTTGAGCTATTGTGACTACACTATAAACAATTTGTGATACTGGGCATGAAGACAGATCAACATTCAAGATATGATTAAATGACCAGTTTCACCATAATGTAAAACACAACTTAAAAACATGACACATTTTCATTATACATCATCGTCCATACAGCATTAAATCAATGCAAGACACTACAGAAGGGACGGCATGTCTTGTTACTTCTGTCTCAAAAAGAACACTGAAGCACGCCACTCACAAGCTCAGCAAATGCATAATATACATGTATATAAATATATATATATAATATATATATTATTATCATATATATATATATTCACACACTGCCTAATGCTTATAACCCATCTTTTACACCTAATACTCTCAAAACCATCATACAATACCAATGCAATAAATTATTAAGTATTTTTCATTGTCTATGACTAAAAGAAACATTTGCTTGGATTAGACAACAAACATTGGTCAAATACTTTAGTGGGTCATTTCCAGTCGATACAACAACAGTCTTCCACTTTTGAACAAAGACTGTGGAAAACTCTTGGAACACTATGTCTCATCCATGCAAAAAATGATAAGATTCTGGGCCATAAAAATTCAGAGAGTCAATGCTGATGTTGTGCATATAAAACAAATGTTAAATTGAGAAGTTTACCCTCATGTCCCCTTAACACTGGGAAACATTCACTCGGAAATGTATAAACAATGATCTAAATCTAGCCCCTACTTCAATAACAAGGGCAATCCACAAGTCATTTACTACCCATGTTAAGTCAACCTCACTTTAACTCTCACTCACCATCCAATAAACAACTTGCTGTGGAATAGAACCACATCTGTCAAACCCACAATTGCTACCACCCTATAGCCAGCACATCATTTACCATCTGACAAAACCATATGTATGAGTGGACTCAGCCGCAATAATTTAATAAGCTTCTGTGAAATGAGAAGTACACACCTGTCAACTTATATCTAGCATTTCGTCCAACAATGCTTTCAAAATAAAAGAAAGTACACGTCGATTCTTACAGTCCCTTCACATAAATAACTTGTGCTACAGCACGAGACAGACAGAAGCATTATGACCAAATAAATAAGAGATGACATTTGTAGGCCTACTTGTATTGTGATAGGAAAGAGTAAGAACATGCAAATTTTGAAGAAATATGCAGTCATTTGATTATATCTTACATACAAAATACAATATGCATAGCACAATACAAGGTGACAAACTGAAAATGAACATTGGTGAGCAGATCATAAATATGTCATATGTTCATGACTTGATATAAATAACTTTATGATATTGATGATCACTAAAATGGCTGGCAATAGAGAGAAGTTTATACTTGTTTAAGCATCTACGAGACAAACGTTACAGATCTTTGGATTTCTGACAGACTGCCTTGAACCCACTGACTACTTCTGATTTGAAAATATAACATAAAGGAATCCCAAAACTTGATAAATATAGAACACATGGCTGAATAACTTTTGCATAATTATATTTACAAAGAACTTTTTTTCCAACAGCATTTTTTAACATAAAGATTTCTTGGCAGGACAGTTAACTAATGCTTGTTCCAAGGAAACGGTTAAAAAAGAAATGAAATCCATGTTTAACGAATGCATTTCCCTCACTTATAACTACTAGTAATGTGCAAAGGAGGCTAGAAACTCTTGTCTATAGCCACTGGCTTTAATTAACAATTTTTTAGCGTGTGTATTTTGGCTGTCTTCTCTCTATTTCTTAAATCTGTCTGTTTCTCCGGCTGCACCCTTCACTCCTGACCCTTTCTTGATGATGAAATACATTTTTTTTACAGCCAAAAGACAAGAGGATTGATGTAATTGCCAGCTCAAGTCCACATCCAGCCCACAGACTTAGGTACTTAACCCCTGAGTCCTTCCCAAAATAGGTCTTTTTCCCCTGGCAGGAGTAAGCATTGTTTGTTTGTATTATTATCAAAAGAGAAAGTGAAGAGCACTCTCAGTTTCGATATTCCTTCCAGTAAGGAAGCTATTTTGATTTCAGAAATATAGTGCAGGCACTCTGATGATACAGGCAGAGAATTTTCCCACTACCACTAGGTTTGGTGCTGTCATTTGAGATTTGATGATATGACTTCCCAGTAGACCCATTGTCCTTACCAGGAGCTATGAGACATTTGTAAAGTTGTGTCAACATGAAGACACACATTCTGTCTAACTAGCCAAACACACCATTTACTCGACTCACACTCAGAAAAACTACAAACAATTAGCTCTGTTTATCTTATAAACCACACAAACACTCACTTTCATGTGCATTGAATGAGTCAATTGTTAGCTCTACGACTCTATGATCAAAATCTATAATTCAGATTACTATCCTCATTTAGTGCAAGTGATTGAATAGAAATAATCCTCTTGCAGTCACTCAAACACAAACATTTGAGAAAACAGTGCTAGAGACATATCCTATCAAAAACTTCAAAATGCCCTTCTAATGAGAAATGGAAAGCGTACGTTCTCATTACTAAGAGATCTTGCCCCGATTCATTTTCAAAACTGATCATTTTTGGCGGGGGGGTCAATGACACCAAAACTTTAGATGTAATAATCTTATTGGTTAAAATAGCTAACCATCAAGTCGTAAAAAGCATTTCCATTTTTAACAAGAAATACACAGAAACAAGTCTATGTTTTGGATGTTTTGATAGGACTTTTCCCCTTTCAACTCAATCCTGGAACCCTTGAGGACATTTTTTGTGACCCTCGCAAAGGAACAGATATTGGACTTTGGGAAGAAATGCTGTTCTATAAACAAATCAGCAAGGAGAGATTTAAAGCTGGAAAAAAAAAGTGCTAATAATCCAGTATCATTCTCACTACATATCCCACTGTTGATTTACATATCCTGTCAAATATATTTTTAAAAACATAAAAATGCAGTCACTTAAAGCATAATCAAACAATATGGAAACATAGAAGACCACGAATGAAAAAAAAAAAAGAAAAGAAATGAATGTCAATACTATATAAGATGATATTCAACAAAAAACAAAACAAACCTAAACAACTATTGCTTTCAGTTTAATATAATTAACTGGACTTGTTCCCATTTCTAAAACAACTGACTAAACCCAAGCTGAGCGCTTAAGAGCTCTCAGGGAAATTTTTCAATTAAATCAAGCTTATTTTAATACTTCAGAAACCAGCCATCACTCAATACAAAGTGTCTTTTTGATTTGGAGATTTCCTCTGACAACATGGTGACAATCAAAAGAACAAAAACAAAAAAAACAAAAACTTGTGTCATTTTGAAAGCTGAAGAATGGTGTTCACAGCAAGCCGGATGCACAATCAAATTGTTTTGTTCTCATTCAACAGAGAGAGAAAATTGGAGACATTTTAATAGATGATGATTTAAAACTGAACTTGCTACAAATAGTATATGTTGATTACCTCCCAAAAAGTGCTATTCATCTTCACCATTTCCTAACAGATAACAATTCTCTCATTTAAAAAAATTCCTCCAAAAAACCAAAACCAAAATAAATGTACTAGATCTAGAACATGTAATACTTCATAAATATAAATTCTTGTCTGAAAATATCACAACTGGAAAACAATATAATAAAATAGCAACCATGAACTTAAAGAGAACTTTGAATGTGTATTATAACAACCATGACAAAGCACACGTTTCTCGTGAAAAACTTGAATATAACGTGGTGTTGTATTTTTTTTTGTGTGTGGGCTGTTCAAAACAGGAGAAAATGGAAGAAAACAATAATAAAACAATATCAAGATATTTCTAAATGACAAATGAAGGTGGTTGAACAGAACTGTATACATGAAAAGACAAAAGAATACAGAAATTATTCTTTACTTGCTGCAATATGTTCATGATCTCCAAGAGCATTTGTTGGCAAAAAAATAAATGCTAGGACAACATTGATTGTTGAACATAACAAGAAAACACAAAGAAAATGATCACCCATGGAAATGTACCAATGAAATCACAAAGAATAAATTCAGTTTTGTAATGATCTAACATTATTCACTTGTCAAGTGATATAACTGAACACGGAGAACATACATAAACAGAATAAGCACTTGCACGCACACACACCACACACTCAAAATATACCACTTTCCACTTACAAAATCTACTCTGTTCCGGTATGTTCAAAATCAAAATTACACGAGGTTCTACCAGGGGAAACACACAACTGAACAGAAAAAACAAAACTTGTCTGAAAGGAACCAATACTTAACCGAGCTTCATGAGAAGTGAGCATCTCTAGTTGTGGGGAAAGTAAAAAAGTGTGTGGAAACAATCTGTAGAGTTTGAGATCTAACAACACACATCATTCCAAATGTATGACCAGGTCATCAAGCACTAAAGGCACGGGCAACAAATAACTTCACTCATATACCCCAACAATACTTTAAACATGGATGAAAGTTGCACAACCTAAAAAGACTGAAAACGGCCATTCAGCTGTAAACCCCATCGCTACTTTCATTAAGTCTTCTCAATACATATGTTAACTCTCAGGAATAACTAATCACCTGTTAAGAAAGCTAAAGAAACAAAGTAGCAGACTAGAGTGCCGTGGCACATCCTGTATCTTCTACCCACCACCCCTGTTTCCAAATGTCTTCCCAAACAGCATTTCTTGATCTGGACCACAGTGGTTATGCAGCTAATGGCTCACTCACACCCTGGTCAAGAAACAACTCTTAGAAGAAAACATAAAGGTACACTAAGGGAAGCTCACTTCCACATGTCCAGTAAGCTGCCATAAAAGACAGCATGACTTCGACAAGAAAAATATGGAGCTGAATTGTAAAAATCTATCCAAACTCACCACCTCCCTGAGAGCTATGACGGTAAAAAAATGGTAAGCACTAATGATATTTCTGAAACTGAAACAGAAAGTAGAAAGACTTCGTCCATCTCTTCCCCACTTTCTTCAAACTGCAACTGTTTAGCAACTTCACATGATAAAAATGTAACAACCACAAGGGGCCAAAGTCAAATAGCTTCATCTGTAACAATAACATCTAGGACTTGCAACATTCTAACCCTAAACAAGTCTTTGCCATGAGCCCATATGTTCAAAATCTCACTATCTTCTATCTTCTGCCCAAAACAAGACGTCACAACCAATGAAAAGAAATAGTTACAGTCAGTCCTGCTATGGGGTGGGGATGGGAGGGTTGCTCATAAAAAAGTACCTATGGTGTTGAGTACTAAGGCTCATTTTATTTTAAAAACCCTATAAGATAGTTACTCTTCCCATATTTCTTGATGATAGATTGTCCATCTTCCCCAAATTACAGACAGAAGACTTTCATCCATGTTTAAAGCATTTTTCTATATTTTCGTAACTTAACATACTCATTCACTTACTTCCATTGGACAGAAAAGTTGAATAAAAGACCAGCAGGAGCTTACAGCAAAACACAACCCCTTTCACTGGCTAATGTGATAAAATTCCTGAGCAACACAGAATCACTACCAGTCTAGCAGTCACTCCCTCACAGCACTCCCATCAATCAAAAGCAAACGGAAAGTTTTATGTACAGCTAGTCTGAGCCTGAACAATGCAATTAACAACAAACTTGTGGTCCGTCTTCTTGAACAAAAATAACGGTGACTCATTCATTCATCAGGTCGAGCAGGACTGCAAAAAGTGCCAGTAGAGCCACACTTTCATCATAAGCTAAAAAAAAACCTTATCCAGTTGAACATAATGTCAAAATTATACCTAATTCCTTTTCTCAGACATCCTCAATGAACAACTCCAGTTTCCCACTTTCAATGAAAATATACAAATCTCAGCATCCCGAAATCCAACTGAGAGCAACATCGTACAGACAGCACTCTGAATGACACCCACATCTATATACACAAACCACCAAACAGTTTCACACGTGGCAGGAGATCAAACACGATTCAGACCATCAGAACTAGTTACAAAAATGTCAACGAGTGAAACTACTGAGGATAATTGAGTAGATCTAATCTTGCACCGAGCTCTGTCATCAGAGCTGCACTCTTCATCACCTGGCGTTGCTGGCCCCTCTGTTGGCAGAGTTATCCCGCCCTTTCTTCCTGCGCTGTTTATTGTTGCCAGAGCTGCGGCTATATGTTTTACTACCATTGGCACGGACGTTATTATTTTGATGGGATCCAGGAAAAGGTCCTGGTGGTGGTCTATGATGATTATGGTGCAGGGGAGCTTGGTGTACCCCTCCATTGTAGTTGTTATAGCGCTCTCGAAGATCCCGCGACTCTCTGGCCAAGCCAGGGCCGGCAGAGACCAGGTATTGCTGTTGCTGGTTTGGGGCAGGATAGTAAGGTGCAGGGGAGGACTCATGCTGGGAGGCAGAAGCACCGTTATATCCCCCCGAGTAGCCAGAGGGGGGGTAGTGGTGAGCACCATACACACCAGAGCCACCGCCACCGCCGCTGTTATTGCCATTGTTGGAGCGAGTGGAAGAGACACTGCTAGCGCTGGTATCCCTTTGAGCCTTCCCCATCCCAGACCCATTGCTCAGAGGTGGGTTCATACGAGTTGACTCTCTGCTACGGTAATACTCCTGGCTTTGGATTGGATGAAGACCACTGGATGCTGATGAACGGTTGCCTTTAGCAGAAGGAGCAGGACCTGGGTAGTCTCCACTGTGGTGTGGGATGGCCTGGCGAGAAATGACGCCCTCCTCCCCGGTCTCATAGTCCTGTTGAAGAAACAGCGCCAGCATTCACCTAGGGCAGTTTACGGCATGGTACAGTAGGACATAAACACATGCGTCTTGCCTCCAGTCAAAATGAGGCTTAGACTGCTGAATCAATTATGAAGTAAAATTTTGCCTCCCTCATACTTTCAAGCTTGCTCAAAATTTTAAGAAGCAAGTCCATCTTTATTAGTAAAAGTTTCACCTTAGCGTATGCAAAATATCAATTATCAGCACTGAAACTTTAACTTTTAGGGCTGTCATTTATAGACATACACTTCAGCAGCTTATCCTTCATGTAGACTGGTTACACGACGAGACAGAAAATGAAATACATTTCACATGAAAATCAATAAACTTTTTCCTCATACTCACTTACTACTTCACTAATTTTTTTCTGCATTTACTGCAGGGTTTTATTTTTAAGAGTAGACAGTATCAGATCTGAACACATAAAATTTGCACTTTGTAGATTTAGTATTATATAGTATATATACAATTATGAAATTGAAGAACCCGATAAAGTTCTTCTGTTGTTCAAACATTTACATAAGTATATATATTGAATTTTGTCCTATTAGACTGTAAGTTAGCTTACATTTCGGAAATAAATGATTGCTCTACTTTTGACAACGATTTCAAATGGTTAGCAGGAGAGCAACAGGATGCAATAGTTATCCTCACTCCCATTCAATATTTTTACCTGAAGTCAATCTGTCATTTAAAAGAGCAAGTTGTTTTTAAAATATCAATGCGCAATAAGAAGTGGGCCTTTGCTAAAAATGTACACTCCCTGACCTCATGCGAACAGCTTCTAAGTCAGAAATATTCAAACCATAAAAGGTCTCACCTCATCATCAGAGCTGGCTGATGACTTGTACCCAGAGCTGTTGCCTCCAGACTCGCTGCCTTCACTCTCGTTGTTGCCCTCTTGGCTTGCTATACTGCTAGATTTTCTGACTTCATTCAAGGCACCCGCAGAAGCACTCCTGGGAAAACAATAGAACGATTCAATAGGGTTACATTTCTTTCAACATGTTCAATTTCCGAAAGTTTTGCCCTCAAACTGTTCTTTTTACCTGCACAATGGCATTCAAAACTATCAAATGAACTTATTTTTATCAGGCAATATTTTATATAAAATAAAGCTCATTTGAAAGATTCTGTACAGAAAAATGGAAGTCTTGTTTCCTGGTTATCCTTTCGAGCACCTCATGTCTAAGTGGGTCAATTTGTTCTAATTTCATATGACGAACATCTAAAGCTACCAACTTTGCATGTTTTGAATGAGACGTATGCCTCAGTTACGAACCAACGCAGGCTGTTCTAGAAGTAGGCCAAAAATGCAGAGCTGCGGGAATACACAAGACCCGGTCATCACGCGGATGATGCTCAATGAGCGTGTGCTGATACAGGGGCCTGACTGACATGGAACCGGAATGAAGGCGAGGTGCCGAAATAGGCTTATCGGGGAATATAAACCTGGCTCCCGCAGGACCGGGGTTATCATTATTCTTTCACATAATGTGCAAAATTAAAGTAATAACTAAAATGATGTGGACAAGCACATACCTGGTAACTTCAGCTTTACCAGAGGCTATAGCTGCATATGTCGCTCCTTGACTCTGCTGTTGGCTCTGGGATTTTTTGGGCGAGGACATCCCTGAGCCCAGGCCGTCTGGACTGGACAGAGGAACGGGAATGGCATGTACCAGGTCTGTGGGCTCGCAGGTTGGCAAGGATAAAAGGGATTTGGGTCCAGAGTGTGAAAATCCAGGCATCACGTTCTCTTTGTTCAATTTCACTTTCTTCAGATACTTGTCCTTGACCCACTGCCGATATTCCACTACTTCGTCTGTCACACGCACAATGCGGCCTAAAATGCTGTTCATAGAGAAGGGAGAATAAAAAATGGTTTTAAATTAAAACAAAACCCACAAAAACTTCTCGTTATGATAAATGTGGAAAGACGGTTTGTGGGAATTTTTTAAAATCCAGTTAAAATTGTCCAAGACAGCCACCCATTGACAGGGAAAAAGTGGTTGCTTCAAACAGGAGGACATCTTGGATAGTGCCATTACAATCTTTAAATAATGCAAGGGGTAAAGAGGGAAATGGTAGTTCGTACAGGTGATTGTCTTGGACAGGTGGGGAACACTTCGAGTCCAAAATTTGCCCATTTTTGTACACCCCAGGTATAATTCAGGGTGATTTTCTGACATGACGAAAAGGGCTCAACACTAGTTAAATCATGTACTCATGTACTAGTCAATCATCAAATGAAGTATCTTACCTTTGAAAACTGTCTGTTGCATTGAGATTTATTTTTGATCACTGAATATCTTATTCAGAATTACCTCCCCTTTGTTGGGTCTGATCCCACCAAAGGTTCTCTACTATCAAGATGTTTCAATTGCCGTATCTTGCGTCTGAGCAAGACTTGGGCGTGATCTTGTGTTTGTTAGCGTGTGACGGCCTGTGACACGAGTGTAAACAAACATTCCAGTGCTCTTGAGTTGAAAGCATGCAATTTTGTCTGCGGGCAATGTGTGTGTGTGTGTGTGTGTGTGTGAGAGAGATAGAAAGAGAGAGAGAGAAAGAGAGAGAGAGAGAGAGAGGGAGAGAGAGAGAGAGAGAGAGAGAGAGAGAGAGAGAGAGAGAGAGAGAGAGGGGTAGGTGTTTGTTATATTATAATAAAAATAATTGATTCCCATTATTCTCTCTCTGTGTCAGTTTACAGGCTGAATCAATACAGTCATTATTGTACGTATATGACCAGTCCCATTATCCACATCCATTCTTCTGTTTCCCATCTCTCACCTCTGGTTTGACATGAATTGTATACAATTTTCCAGATACCATATCCTAACATAAATTCTGTAAGGTAAGGGCGCTATGTTTTCCTTCATCTCATGAGATGGAAAGCTTGAAGCAGGCCAAAATATTAGATTTACGTCACTGTTGTCAGAGTCCAAATCCGATGTTCTGTTCAAGTACATGGATTCAACAGTTTGATTATTCAACAATTTGATTTAATACTGTTTTATTCGGAAACAAAGTTTGGTCTCCATGAGATTTCTTTGATGTACCCTCTTCGGAAGCGAGTTTATTTTTACTTTCCCTAATGGTACAATTCATCCAGCAGGACTACAGGGATCCATTATTATTATTATGTCAATTTGGTCAGATCACTGCAGTCAAAATCAAAACTTTCAAGTTAGAAATGTAACAATCTGAGAAGACTTCATATATCAAAAACGCTCTACACTCTAGAGAGAAAGGTAATGTGACTCTCTTTACACAGCACCAGTCATCGTATTTCAAGAACCCAGATGATGAGGAAACTACTAGTTAAATTAAATATTGTTTAATATCACTATGAAGAGACGAGGACAGTTTAAATCAACCACACATTGTTATAAAAGATTGCAACATCAAGTCATAAAGAAATCGTAAATCAAGACTGTGTGTCGCCACAATACGTTCACTTCTTAACTCTTTAAGCCCTGAGTTTTTTCCACTATTTTCCTGAGTTTTTTTCTACAGTCACCTAAACTTAGTGCACTATGTCTCATTATTATAAACCCTAAAGCTTGCCTCCAACTTCTAAATAGCGTAAACAAAGGCTTAGTCATTACTAAAAAACTTGGTTCGGGAATAGTTTTGAAAAACAAGCAAAAACTAACACTAAATAAAACGAAACAGTTGTCACTAGTACTGGGCGCTCCCAGCGTCCGATGGGGAACAGGATTATTACCGCCGGATGCTGATGGGGTTAAAAGAGTAAAGTTGGACAAAGAAATTTTGCTCTCATAGCAGAAGTCATTATTGTCTAGTAATTCAGTAATTAAATCTTTTTATCCGGGCTACGAGTATACTCGTAACGAGGACCAGTCCGGGCTACGAGTATTCTCGGAACAGCGATACGGTCACGTCAAATAAGCTAGCTCTGCTTGTAATTACCAAAATACGCAAATACGGCGATGCTAGCTCTGCCTGAATATTTTAATTTTCCAATGAACAGTGGTTTCTTTGTTTTTGATGGGTGTAGAAGCTTGAAAGTTTTCTCGAAAACGCACATTCATGACCGACGAAGTACTTTTTGAAGTGGCGCTGGGTTGTGAGGGTGAATG